CTGCTCAATCTATGATGAAAGAGGCTCTCCCATTCCTTCTATCTGACAAAGGTATCGAAAGTTCTGTCAAAGAAGTTCAAGCCTTTGCTGCGATTACCGTTATTGAGCTCACCAAGAAGGGCGGTAAGGCTCTCCGACCGTTTATTCCGGAGATGGTTCCCCAGCTCCTTGGTTTGCTGAGCTCTATTGAGCCCGAGCAGATCAACTGGCATTACCAGAGAGCCGGCGAGGACAGTCGTGACCAGATCGACAAGATCCGATCACAAATGGTGAACCGCTCTCCAATTTCTGAGGCCATTGACAACTCCCTTCGTTTCGTGGACGCGGATGTTATGGTTGAGTTGGCACCTAAACTAGAGGCTACTATCAAGACTGCTATTGGTATGCCGACCAAGATAGGATGCAGTCGTGTATTGACGACCCTGTTCACACGCCATACAAACGACATCAAGGGAGTGAGCAATAAGTTCCTTCAGTTGATGGAGAAGCAAACAATGGACAAGAACGACGAGGTCAGCCAGGCGTATGCTCGTGCTACCGCATACATGTTGAGAGCCGCATCAGACCTGGCCAAGAACCGATTCTGCAAGAAGTTTATCGATATGTACTTCGAAGCGGAAGAGGAGTCGCGTCGTCAAAAGACCGCAGATGTGATTGTGGCGCTGGCTAAGATCTCGCCTGATCACTTCACGGCTCTTGAGACACAGTTGCTGCCATTCTCCTACCTTGGCTCTCATGATACAGATGAGTATACCAGTAAAGTATTTAAGGAGGTATGGGAGCAGCACGCTGGAAGCAGTCGCACTGTTGTTCGTTACGTGCCCGAGATCGTAGCACTCGTGGAGAGGTGTTTGGATACAGCACAATGGGCACTTCGGCACGGCGGAGCTTTCACCGTTGCAGCTATGGTATCCGATGTTGCAAGTGCAAGTGATGTCAGCGGTCAAATCAGCGATGCCAACCTCAGCAAGATCTGGCCTGTTTTCGAGAAAACATTGGCCTTGAAGACATTCGCTGGCAAAGAGAAGCTCCTTGAATCGTACCCTAAATTCGTCGAGAAGGGACACAGCTTATGGAAGTCGGACTCGAAGATCGCTGCGCAGATGAAGAAGATCGCTTTTCGAGAAGCCAAGCGAAACAACGACGAGTATCGTGTGCATGCTTTCCGCTGTCTTTGGGAGTTTGCTAAGGCTCGAGATGACCTTGATATGCTCGATGAGATTGCGGAGATCGTGACACCTTATCTTGAAGAGCTTAAGGGCGATGACGAGAACGAGAACGGGGATAAAATGGATATCGACTCCAAGGACCAAGTTGCAAAGGAGCAACTTGCAGAGAAGACGGCCTCTAATGGCTTAGAGGCCGTTGCTCGCGGACATAGCCGCACTGATCTTGGCATTCTGACCAAGATCATCAACCTCCTCAAGCCTTTCCTCTCAAGCGCGAACTTCGCTACCATCAAGCGCCAGGTATGGTATGAATGCGTGCGCGATCTTATGAACGATGCCACGCCTTCATCAACACCAGACGAAAATGCCGTGGCGCTTACTTATCTACTGAGCCTGGACGTTGACTTGGTCGACACTGGCACTGAACCACAGAGAGTTATGAGAGCCAAGGCTGTTGGCGCATTGTTCAAGGCAAAGGGCAAGGGAGTGTTTGGGCCGACTGGTGGTCCCGATGCTGCGCAGTTGAAGACGATGGTGAGCAAGGCACTAGAAGCTGAGAGGTCTTTGGAGGTACAGCGGGTGCTTAGGGACATCCTCGTTGAGATGGAGTAAGAGACGGGTGAAGTTTCTAGAGGATTCAGCGTTTAGATAATTGTCTTTTTACAAGCTCATGTTTACAAATAAATCAGATTATTATGAGCTTAGGAGGATTATCGTGAGGCTTACGCTGACTTGTTACAATACATGTTTGTTTAGGAAGATCATGGCCATATCATTGTAGGCTTAGGAGTATCATCACAGGCTTAGTAACTTGTCACAACACGAAGCTATGCCTATTCCCGAACCCTCAAGCCTACCCTCGCTTTCAATCTTGGCAAACATCGCAATCCCCTCACATCTTACCTCAGCACTCACAACGCTGTACAACCAGAAAAAAAAGGCAATTGCCCAACGTTACATAGTCCCCCTCAATCAAGCCCAATCCGTCAACAAACTCGTTAAACCGAAACAAAAGCAGAATACTCAAGCGACACAAGAAACGCGCGTGGTTTGTGACCGTTGGCTATCAACTTCTCCGGCCGGATCGGACGTTGGGAAACGGCCGGAAACGTCGGTATTTTGGAGGATCCACTGCCGAAAAATGCTTCGCCGTGTGACGGAGGCAAAATCGCCGACGACAATACATAGCACTTTTGTAACGTTGAGCTGGAATGCAAGGTAGGTCCTGTTTCAGTTTATAATTGCTATGTATTATCAGTATACGTGGATCGGAGCAAATGCCGAAACCATCATCATGTTGAGAACAGTTTTGCTCTTGTCAAGGTATCTTGCCAAGTTGAAAAATTAGACATCATTGGCAGAATGTGTCCAACATATTGCCGATAAAATGTGGAAAGGACAAGGATGGCATCGTGGCACGGAAAACTCAAGGCCCCGCAGCGATATTGGCACACCGGCTGTCGCGAGATCGCAACGCAACCGCATCGTTTGGTTTGCTGCCAGTCAAGATTTGATATGATGATGCCAGTCTTGTGTCATGAACATACAGTAACAACTCTCTGCCGCTCCAAGCTACTGACCAAGAGCCAGTAAAATCTCACGATGTTGAAAAGTTCACGATTCAGTCTTGTTCAGGGAGAGCTGCAGCACAGTTAGCGGAGAACTATTCAGGACCATCGGTTTTCTAAGCCAATTTGCGTCACCAGTCCAGTCCGCTGCTGGGTTTCCCACGAGGGTCGCAAGGTGGGATTGAACGATCTGCAAGTAGCAACCAGGCCCCTGGTCCCAAAATTGATGAATGCGGCTAAGAGGAGGAACCAGAAGCGTAGTAATTCGCGAAACCGATGTGCATAGGCATGCCATCTGAAGATATTTGCAGATTTCGAGTCAGAGTGCTATGAGCTCGAGCATCGTAAGCCGTAGTCAAACTTCAATGCTATCGAAGTAGAGTATGACAGGGGATAAAGGCCAGTCTGTCAACAGCGAGCATGATGCACTGTCTTGTAAGAGTGAAATCTTCAACCTGATTGGACAAACTAGTGCTCGCAAGTTTGCCAGTCATCATCAAGGTCAAAAGATGCTTTGTCTTGTAGGAGTGATGCCGCATGGTGGTGTCAGAAAGTAATCTTTGGTGTGCAAAGGATCCACCAGCAGCGATTCCCGGACGCCTGGAAAAACCTCCCATTTGTTGAGCTGTTCAGTTAGCAATAACGACGGCGTGCTGTAGTGGCACGCTTTCAGTACAGATGGTTCCATGAGGTGACCTCGGTACGAAGTTCTTTCAATACAGTGCTATGATTCACGATACGCAAACTTGATGTACGAGACAAATTTGCTGTTCTGGCTTCTGTTCGCGAAGTAAGGGCAACGCACGCTATCACCAAGATGGCTCAACCCTGGTGTGGTCTAGAAGGGAGATCTCGCTTTGAACAGGGCATTTCGATATGGGTTTTGGAGGGCGCCACACTTTAGGTCTGAGTTAACACTTCTCAGGGAGAGTTTATCACCCAGGGATAGATAGCCTCAATTCTATGGACCATGCATAAGCGGCATGCAATTGAGTTGGAAGGCGTTGTCGTTCTTGTTTTGTTACTGGAAGGATAACAGTAATGAGCACTCGATTTTGCGAAGGCGATGTTGAACTGACCACCCGTAAAATGTATGATCCTGTGTGATATCTCGAAATGACCTGATGCTCGAGGAATGAGTGTTGTCTGATGATGTTCGCCCTATCTGTTGTCAAAAGTGAATATGCCTAAACAAAGGCAGGTTGCGATTGCGCACGCTCAGGTCTTCTGCCAACGAATGGATAAGTTCTAAGGCCATGTTGCATGAGTTGTCTCGGCGTTGCTATTCTGAGCTCGCCTGTAGCACGTCGCTATGACGAACATTCGACACCACGAGTCTTGCAATTGATGCAAGCAAGGGATTCTGGGGTTGGTTGTCGCGACAACAATCTTAAACCCTAGGGCTGGTGATCACCATACGATGACCGGAGATATTTAGATAAATGAGATGTTGAAACATTGTCGCTGATCTGAGTGAGCCGTGTATTCGTGAAATGCTCACGCTTCATCCGCAACAAGAAGTTGTAATGCTTTTTGCGCGGTGAAACCAGCAAGCGAGGCCCTGGACGCTCCCTTCATTCCATTTTCACGCTCAATTCAACCTCAGTTGACAGGCCATTTGCATTGATTCAATGCCATGCTCAATTGTCACCAGTTTTTCCATCCAACAACGATTATCGACAACGATCCCTTTTCCCTGCATTCAGCTCTCCGTTGGTCGTCAATCACCGGCTGTTCTTCACAGTGCAGCTTGATAGATCGGGCTACTTTCCAGGCCATCGACCCTCCAGATGCCTTATGATTTCATGATCCACTTCAGCAGGGCTGTTTTCACAGGGGTTGTGTTCGTTCATCTCGCAAGTTCCGTCCTGCTTCCAGCGCCCAGCGCTCAGAGTCCACTGTTCACTGTCCAGCTTCCAGTCCAAACGATGCCCAGCTGTGTCGCTTTAGGCACTAGGCACTGAGATAGCGCCACGCCAGCCGTCAAGGATGGCCCTGGTTGCGGAGAGCCACACAATGCTTTTCAGCACGACAGGTACCCAAGCCCAAACATGGCTGAGCTTGCTCGGTCCAAAAGTACGTATCCAGCTCAAGCGAAACAACAAGGGCCCCAAACAATGCCATTGCAGCCTCGAGTTTTCGAGTAGAGGGTTCGAGCTCGAGCTTTTATATTGTTTCATAAACCACTTTGACCATCGCTATCGCCGTAACGAGTCCGCTAATTGTATGCATCACGATGATCGCGAAGTTGCCGAACCAAAATGTCGATACTGTGCGTAAGTGCTGCTAGGGCAAGGCCCACAGGTTTTGTCCCTGTCCTTCTCGTTCTCCTCCCTTCCATCCCTTCCAGTCTCTCCACATTGCGACACACACATTTTCTCCAGCCACGCCCACCCTTACTGGCTCCCACCACTTCGTAGTGAGCCTTCTGGGCTCTTGACTCCCAATGGAAATGTAATTCGATGTTGTGCGTCTGCTTCTCCAAAAGCCCTCTTCCTGGGCCCCTTTCCCCTCCTCTGTTAAGATGTTGTAGACCTTCCATCCCCCCTCCCATCTTAAACTTCTTGCGTAAACCTATCTTCTTCCGAAGCAACCGCTTGATCGTCTTCTCTTCTCGTCTCTGTCCCTTGTGCAATCGTCTTGAACGCTTTGTTGTATTACGGAGTGTCCGTTGCTGCGCCTGCTTGCCCAGGTCCACGCTACCGTTACCATCATCTCATCTGAATTCCGTGCACCTGCAGCCGCTCCGTCACTCGCCCAGCGACTCAACAACGTCATTCGTCCATTGGGCTGTTTCAGTACCACCCTTAGCAAGCCCGCACCAAGATCCAAGATCCCCTTGTCAGCGGATACCGCAGCCCACACCCCCTGGTCGACAATTTTCCCCTACCGGTACCCTCGTCCCCGCGTGCCCCCGATTGTTCCCAAGACCAAGGCCCAAACAAGGCAAGGTTAAGAAAAAAAAGCTCGTCTTTTTTTCCTACTGTCTCCCGCATTACGACTCATCCCACGACTCTCTTTCTCGTTTCCCCTCATCCATCTTTGTCCTCATCACGGTTTTCACGGATCTTCCCTTGCGCGTGTTTCGGAAATTGGCTGTGACAGTTACTGTTGTTTTTGTTGGCGCCTAAAAGTGAGTTTGCTTTCTTTCATTTCCTTATTACTCGTCGATTCCTTGCACATTTGTTGGTACTCGTGGTTGGTGGAGGGAGGTTTGTGGGATTGGGCCGGACATCAGCTTCAACGACGCTTCATACGCATTGCGCCCACCGCCAGCGACAATTTTCAGCTCGAAAACATGACCAGCTCCATGGATCTTTGAATTTACTTGGGTTCGAAGAATTCATGCTGTATCCGATTTTTCAGCAGTACTCACGGCCTCCCGTCGCATCTGTTCATCCGTTCCGATCATCCGCGAAGCGACAAGTATCGATAAGCAACACCGAAGAAGTCAGCAGCGCAACGAGTCTCCTTTTGGACTTCTGAAACGAAACTTGCAATGCGTCACATACAAAGCCTTCGATATCTGATAATCGAATTTCGACCATCATACCGACTTCACATGCTCAGTCAAGCCAGCTCTTGGTGATTGTGGCGTATCGCCATTGTCATTTCGAACAACTCTCTCATGACTACCGGAAATAGGGATGTTTAACTCCTGGAAATTCTTGAAGAACGCATGATGCTGAAATGAGAGGATCTTCGCGGCTGCCGAGTCTCCTGGAACCAAAACCGTGGATGGAAAGACCTGCATCATGTTGGCACTTCTCGTCCGAGGACTGCTCTCGATATACTGCGACCCGAGATCACGAATAACTTTCCTGTGGATGGTCCTCCATTTGCAACTGAAGCGTCCGTTGAAGCGGTGTCTGGCCTGCATCAAATTTATCGACAGTAAGGATAGGCGAATCTGTTACTGGAATTTGAAGATCTCCAACCTGCGGAAATCAAGATGTTAGGACCAGGTCTACACTTCCAACCATGGCTTCCGGGACCAACATGGATATTGGCATGCTAGGGGAGACCAGCAGAACACTAACGGAAGTATAGGTTCAGCTCATTTCGGGAACGTTTGCAGCTACCTTACCACATTCCTTTGGAATCTTTGGTAAAGCACCTTACCCCGCGTGAGAACGACGATTTGGCGTTTCGCATCCCCATCACTCTCCTCAGAAGCATTTCATTGCTTGTACCGGCGTGACGGCGTCTTAGAGACTTGATTCGCATCTGTACGAATACTTTTCGGAGTCCAATTCTCAGTTATCAGATTCATATTCTTTAAGGATTAGACTCGGCGTGAAGGTAGGAGGATCAAACCTGGCTCTGCAAAATTGCGCTGCTCACATCAGTTTTGCAGGTCTTGCGATACAAAATAGCGACTTACTTCGTTGTGCTTTCGGTACTCGATTCTCTGACGGTACGTTTTGCAATTTCTCCCTGATGTTGCCACCCGATGCCTTGTGTGACTGGTTTGCCTAAGCACGTGAACTTGTCTCGCAAACTTTGTTATGTTGGGGAACGGTTTTGATGAATGTCGATGTGTCCTTTTGGAAGCAAGAATTTTGAGAAAGCAAAATTCCCTTTTGAGAGGAACTAGCTGGTGCTCGCTGCTTGGTTGAGGAGGCAAGAGCCGCATGGATGAGCCACTGTTGCCCGAGCTTCAACCTTCACCTTCACCTTCCCAAGTGCAGGCGTACCACATCGCATTATTTCTTGACTTTACATCAACCTTTCGCTTCTTCACGCTCCTTCGAGGTTCTCGATAGCGTTGCTAATATTTGCTGATAGCTCTTCTACGACTTTTTTTTACGACGTGTACGAGTTTACTACCCACGGTAAGTTGCTCTAGCGCGATGATTTCCCTCTCAAAAGCCATCCGCCTTTGGATGATCAGCCCCTACGAAGTTCACCGGAATCGCATCATTTGATGTGCCTCGAAAGCCTACCGCCAGGTCACGAACCACTCAGGCCATTGTTCGATTCGCGGATCCAGAGTCCACGGGATGATACCCAAAGGATCCACCTGGTGCAAGAGCCTTGGACCTCTGATTCACTCTCCTAAGCCCTGGAATCCAGATTCGGAACAATACTGGCCACGGCTGGAGCTTTCTTCTCTGTTTGTTCGGCTCGGCGCTTCTGATTCGCTGTGGATTGTGTTCTTTGTTGCGGGCTGCTCGAGGCGGCATCCTCTCTTTTTCCCCACATTATATGCATTTCTTTTTTGTCACGGCACAACTTTCATCTCTGCCAGTGCTGTCGCATTGGTGCTCGCTCAATTCAATTTACTAACTCGCGAATAGTCTTCTTTTATTGTTGCTCTACTCTGTAAAGCTTCGCAACATCTTGCTTTTTCTTTGAACATATAAAGCTTGTGCTTGGTTCTCACTCTGGTTCGTTCTCCACACAGATCTCCTCGCTTCTCCTCTTTTGCGAATTTGCTCTTGGTTCTATTTCCTTAGCTGGTCCTCGTTCATATCCGTTCATGGTATTAACTCCTGAAAAGCGCATTATGGATTTCGCTGGTGTCCCTCCCAACAACGCAGCTCCTGCTGGCCCAATGTCTTTCCCCAACGGTACTCCTCCCGCTCCCGAGATGGGCTCTGTCCCTCCTCCCGGTTCTGGCCCTGATTCTCCCAAGACCACTCTTTGGTAAGTCTTCGCTGTCTGTCATGGCACAAGCCGGTGCTGACTATTGTAGGATGGGAGAGCTCGAGCCTTGGATGGATGAGAACTTCATCAAGGGTGTCTTTATGTCTGCGGCTCATGAAACTGTCAATGTTAAGGTCATCCGCGACAAGAACTCTGGTAACGCTGGCTACTGCTTTGTTGAATTCCAGTCCCCCGATGCCGCTACCAACGCCCTCGGCATGAACGGAAAGCCAGTTCCTAACAGCCAGCGCTCTTTCAAGCTTAACTGGGCTTCTGGTGGTGGTCTTGTTGACCGACGGTATGTCCTTCCCCTAAATGCTAAGAGGGATTATTAATAACATGCTTCAGGGATGATCGTGGCCCCGAGTACAGCATTTTCGTTGGCGACCTTGGCCCCGAGGTCAACGAGTATGTCCTGGTTTCTCTCTTCCAGGCTCGATTCCCTTCTTGCAAGTCTGCCAAGATCATGACCGACGCCATGTCTGGCCAGAGCCGCGGCTACGGTTTCGTTCGCTTCTCTGACGAGAACGATCAGCAGCGTGCTCTTGTTGAGATGCAGGGTGTCTACTGCGGTAACCGACCTATGCGTATCTCTACTGCTACTCCCAAGAACCGTGGCAACCACGGCTTTGGTGGTCAGGGACACCACAATGGCGCTCCCATGATGGGCGGTATGCCTCAGCAGCAGATGTGGAATGGAGGTGGCATGCAGGGCTTCGGCTATGGTGGTTTTAACCCTGCCACTCAGATGAACCAGTTCACTGACCCCAACAACACTACCGTCTTCGTTGGTGGCCTTTCTGGCTACGTTACTGAGGACGAGCTCCGATCTTTCTTCCAGGGCTTCGGTGAGATCACCTATGTCAAGATCCCCCCTGGCAAGGGCTGCGGTTTCGTTCAGTTCGTCCACCGCCACGCTGCCGAGATGGCCATCAACCAGATGCAGGGCTACCCCATTGGCAACTCTCGCGTGCGCCTCAGCTGGGGACGTTCTCAAAACAACTCTGGCGTTGGCACTCCCTACCGCCCCGCCCCTCCTCCCCCTCACTACATGGGCATGCCCAGCCACGGCGGACCTGGCAACTATGGCCCTCAGCACTTTGGCGGCCCTGCTCCCGGTCCCCAAGGCCCTCCTGGACCTCCTGGACCCCCCGGGCCTAATGGTCCTCCTCAGGTAAGCGTGGCTTATCCAATCGACCTTCATGCACTGACATATTTAGGAGTTCTAACTCCATTTGCAGTAATTTGACCACGATAACTCGTTGACGAAGGGGCTTTTATACGACCAATCCCCGGCACTTATATTTCCTTGGGCTCAGTTATCTTGCCTTATCATGAGCTATCGCGTAGCAGTTGTATCTGCTTTTCGGCAGTTTACGAGTGATACCCAACCTTGATTTCGATTTGGGTTCATGACTTTAAGTTTTATGGCAGCTCAGGATCTCAACACGACACCACGCTCACTCCATTTCCTTGGGTCTGAATCATGATTGGCGTTGGAGATCTTTGGTCCTCCGGTGGATTGTCATCAATTCAATTCATTTAAGCTACTTACCTGTACCCTCTGCGTTTACTTTAGTCACTCACTGCTTTTTCCTTTTTGCTTTTGACTGTCTGTCACTGTCTTTAACCATGGATGTTCAAGTCGCTTTAGCGTGATGATCACACGTCGTCTTTGCAAAGCTCTGCCTACTGTTTCCTTCCAAATCTTTTCTCGTAGTCAAATCAAGGCTTTTTTACTTGGTGGGATTTGGCTTTGTGCATTTCATTGGCTTCTTATAGGAGGATTGGCTGTACAGCGACTCTGTTTGGCATCGCCCTGGGGCTCATGCAAGCATCGGACGCTTGCTCGGCGCGTAGGTTTCACGGTTTAGCACGGTATACCTGGTGTGCTTGGGGGGAAATCTGGTGTGCAAAAAAAAGCGGTTAGGAAAAGAATGGTCTTGGCTACGAGTGTTGTTTCTGATGAGGCGATGGGGAGTTTGGCCCGCGGTTTTGGGAGTCAATATTATTCGAAACAGACCGATCATTGAACTGATGAAAGCAAACTGACTCGCGTGACCATGGCATGTCGACACGTATGAATCCCCTCTTCTGACAGCTCAACTAGAGGTACAGCTCAGCAAACTAGCTTCACAACTCCGCATCTGGAGACCTCCACATAATGGAGAGGCTGACGTAATTTAAGCCAAGATATTTAGGGTTCGAGTCTGATAGCTGCTGTCATTGGGCGTAGAAGCCGTGGAAGATCCTCGTATGTAGCTAGTGCTGTGTTTAAGCTGCAGCATGATATCTTCATGACCTTTGAGTGGAACTTTATTTCGAAGTACTTTAAGCTCAGCACCTCCTCTTTCAAACTTTACCTAAAGATTATCCCCTCATTTGACGATATCATCAAATATTTGACAATATTATCAAAACAATTATGTCTTCTATCGATCTAAGTGCTTTCCCCGCAGCAGCTCCAGCAGCTCCATCATCTGAGATTCGTTACGCAGATGTAAGTCAAGTTCACCCTAAAGCAACACATCTCTGACCGTTCAGGTCGCTGTTACAGCTACCGCGAAGGAATTCAAGGGCATATACCGCGAAGATAAGCAGTATCACGAACCGGACTTCATCAATACCTTAGACCGTGCAAAAGATGCTGGCGTCAGTAAGGTTATACTGACGGGCATGTCACTCGCCGACGTGCCTCACAACGAAAGTATCGTCAAGCTTCGCCCCTCGCAGTGTTACTATACCATTGGTGTTCATCCGTATCATGCTTCTGAGCTTGACTCCGGTGGGAAGTCATACCTTGACGAGTTGGAGCAGAAAGTGAAAAATGCACTTGCGCAGGATACGCCGCACATTGCTGCTTTTGGGGAGCTAGGCCTTGACTATGATAGAGAGGAACATGCTTCGAAGGATGTTCAAAAGAAAGCGTTCAAAGCGCAATTGGACTTGTTCGTCAAGAATAGCTGGGATCTTCCACTCTTCTTACACTGTCGCAATGCCTTTGACGACTTCGTCGAGCTGATTTCACCTTATATGGAGAAACTTCCCCGCGGCGGTTTAGTACACAGCTTCGTCGGCAGCACAAGCCAGATGGAGAAGCTTGTATCCCTTGGTTTAGGCATCAGCGTCAACGGATTCAGCTTCCAGAGCACAGAGAGTTTGGAGATGGTATCCAAGATACCGCTTGACGCACTGCAGTTGGAGACAGATGCGCCGTGGGGAGAATTGAAGGGCGATGTTGTGAAGAGGTATTGTGAAAATGCGAGACCGTTGCCGGCGTCGAAGAAGAGGGATAAGTGGGATGCTAAGTGTTTGGTTAAGGAGAGGAATGAGAGTTGTTATATGGAGCGTGTTGCGCTTGTTGTAGCGGGGTTGAAGGGTGTTGGTGTCGATGAAGTTGCTGAAGCGGCGTGGAGAAATAGTGTGAGGATGTTTGGACTTGGAAGAAGATAGAGTCTAGGTAAAGAATTCAACATTCATATAAGTCTTATGAAGAGTTTAGGTAAAGAAGTCAGCATTTATAAAAGCCTTATGAAGAGGTTAGGATGAAAGACGAGCCATCGGGGCCGGTAGTTTTGAGTAATTGCCTACCTACCTAAGGTACTATAGTAACCCATGTTTATTGAGTCTTTCTGATAGCATAGTCCATAATGAATTCACTCAATCTCTGTGGTATCGAACGTCTGTTGTTCTGTACAAAGGATGAGCGTTTTGTACCTCTGCATCCTTCAAACCCCTGTGGCATCTCATCCAACCAGGACCCCCCTAGAAGATAGCCAAAGCATTGGGCGGCGATCCAATCAATCCAGGCTGATTCAAAGGCGTCGAAGTAATCATGAAAGAATACCTCTTCTTCTCCTTGCAATACCTCGCCAACTCCTTCAAATCCCAGAGCTCACCAATCGACATACCAAACATGTTCAAGCAATACATATGAAGCACTACGCCAATTAGCAAACACTCACAGTCTCCCAAACAGTAAAGAAAAGAACAACTCACCGAGATCTTTCATTCCACCGATAGATCCATCAGGTTTCAGAGGGGGATATGCTTCAAAACTATTCGAGTCCGACGCCGCAGCAGCAAATCGCTTATTCCACAGCCATCGCGCCGTTTCTTCACAACCGTGAAGACCTGTGAGTTTCGCAGCGGCCATTTTGCCCAGATCAGCTGGGTTCATGTTATCGACTACTTCGGTTGCGCCTGTTCTGACGAGGAGAATGTCGCCTGGTTGGAACTCGACTTTTTGGTGTGCTGCGCAAGCTTCGAGGTCTTCAACCGTGATGCGATTCCCATCAAAGGCATGGAACTCAATGCCTTTTTCTTCGGAATAAGAAGCGTAGTCAATCAGAACGCCGCGACCGGCGATGCAGCCTCGGGAATGCCAATGATCTAGGGTTGGCATCTTGTTGGACTCGGTTGAGTCAATTGACAAGGCTTCTCTATCGGGATTCGCGCCATTATATGCCAGGCCTGAATCTTGATGCTGGAAGTGGCACAGGCTATCCCACTGACTGCTACACTGAGTGTTGAAGGATAATTCATCGTCCCACGATTTACCCTGTTCGAATGGGAGGGCAGACATGCTCTCGGGTATGTAGAGGATCTTGTGCTGAGCGGCTAATCGCCCTGGGATGTTGAGCTTGTTCATAGCATTGAGCGGCCAGCTATCAAAAGTCAGTGTCGAACAATGAGAATTTCCAGAGGATGTACTTTAGAGATATGGACACTCCATCTTTGACCTCGAGAGCGGCATTTCGAACAACATCGGGAGTCAGGAAGTTCAGCGTTCCAACCTGATCTTTCTGCCCATCACGATCAAAAACACCCCAGGCACAGCCCTTAGGCATGCCTTCAACCAGAGGGAGGTCGTCAAAGTCAGGGACAGAACTCATATTAAAGGACATTGTAGTTGTTGGTAAGTGAGTTGACTGGGAAGAGATGGTGATATGAAGCGGTGAAGTTGGAGATGTCGCCTGCTTTATACGACGGCGCGAACCAACCCCAACTCTATACACTGCAGGTGAATTAAACTGAATTGGGATCAATTCATGAGAAATACTGCAGCCTGGCTGTATCATATCATCGTGTTCGCAAATGAGTATCCACTGGCTCTTGTCAGCCACTGCTCCAGGGTATGTAGGCAGCCATTTAAGAACTGAAACTATTCCCAGATTTATGTCGACGGGGGAGAATATGGCATGCATGATAGGAGGTATGCTGGAACTCTGTGCCTGCGTGAAGGCATCTGAGGTGATGGGGTAATTGATATGTGAATTGTGTCATCAGTACGAATTTTGCAAGTCATATCCTTCTGTCAATTGATGCAATCTACTCCGGTCAGGTTCGATATGCTTTTCAATACTCACAACTTCAATCCGCCGAGCTTCTAGTGTCTTAGACCAGCCGAATGGTTACCGGAGATTGTTGTGGGCGTGTAGACAAGGCTCTGCTTGTCCACTCCTCGCGTGAATAGGAACATCAACTCTACACGGAGCGCCTCCCAACTAAGCCTTCATTCAACACCAAATACACAACTTTCGCTCCCGGAACAGGGAACATCTGAAGATAGAAAAGAAAACCGGTGGAATATGCTCTCGAGTTCTGTTCAGGAGATAATGGAAGTTGCAGCTTCATACGAGTCGAGTTTCACACGTCGTTCGTCGCAGAGCTTGGGCGTCTTTCGGTTAAGTTCGATCAAGAGGAACAGCAATGATTGATTCGACTGATACACCATCTAACTGCTAGTTAAGCCTCTCACGAAGAGAAAATTATGTGGTTTTGGGTCTTGAGAATGATTGTATGGAGAGAGATGTTGGCCCATCAGTCTCACAAAAGAAAATGACAGAGGGTGATTTGAGGTAAATATCGTGAGCTCTACACAACTACTCGAAGAAATTGAAATCATTAGAAAATAAATAAGGCGTATGCACCGCTCTGTTTATTGTGAAAGCTCAGAATTTCTAATCCTGTTTGCTCCAGCAAGTTGTTCTTCAGAACAATCAACTTGGATTCAGTTCAAGCACGAATACGAAATTGCATAATCGTCCTGCATTTCATGTAACTCCAGAGGTTCCTGAAAATCCAGAACCTCTTAGTAAAGTCGTCAAGAACTCTGACACAATAGTCAATTTCCTAAATAGTCCGGACCATTAGCGAGCTGCAGGGACACCCGCAACTCAATGGCTCGAACAGGGTAATTCACACTAATCCGATTGGTGCAGACAATCTATTGTCTATCTAGATCAGATCAGATCGTTATCTTGAGCGATTATTCCCCCGTAATAAACTGGAACGCGTAACGGTGAGCGGGAGAGTTGATGGTTCTCGCATTCGGGTGTGGGGTTCGTATTCGTACTCTGTTTCACAACATTACCTGAAGGAGCACAACAGCGTCAGATATAGCTCTTGTTCGTTTTCGCAAAAGGATTGTATCATAATTGTAGGAATTGATAGTTGGAGCAATTGTAAAGAGTATGGAGTTGGGAAGGAATCCGAAATATCAAAGGACCAGCCTCCTTATCACAAGGGCTCGGAGTTATCAGATTTCTATTTAAACAAGAACAATTTTCCTCCAACGAAAATCAGACCACTCCAGGCCCATCAACTCTTCAGTCCTTTCTCTTCTTCTAAATCTTTACACTCCGACTTCTCGAAACTCCAAAATGTCTTCCTCAGAACTGATTTCCTACGACGAGGCTCAGAACTCAGCTTTCGACAATGTCCTCCATCGAAAATCAAAAGAGTCAAAAGGAGGCATGCGAGCCATGATCAACAAAGACAACAAAGCTCATGCAGCAGCCGTCGACGAATACTTTCAGTTCTGGGATAACAAGAAGGCTGAAGATGAAGTTGAGGCTGTAAGACAGGAGAGAACCGACAACTATGCCAGTTTGACAAGACAGTAAGCTACCCTTAGCTCTAGTCTTTTTCTGTTACTGACTTTGAAAAACTAGGTACTACAACCTCGCAACTGATCTCTACGAGTACGGATGGTCTCAGTCTTTTCATTTCTGCCGCTTTGCCTACGGGGAAGATTTCAACCGTGCTATCGCTCGACACGAACACTACCTCGCTCATAATATCGGTATCAGGCCTGGTATGAAAGTCCTCGACGTTGGATGTGGTGTTGGTGGACCTGCTCGAGAAATCGTCAAGTTTACTGGTGCTCATGTCACTGGGTTGAATCTCAACGAGTATCAAGTCCAGCGGGCGACTATCTATGCTGAGAAGGAAGGACTTTCTGATAAGCTTAAGTTTGTCCAAGGAGACTTCATGGTAAGATCATATTCGTTAAAGGAGTGTTGAGTTGCTAATGAGGCGGTAGAAAATCCCTTTTCCGGATAACTCTTTCGACGCCGTCTACGCTATCGAAGCAACCGTCCACGCACCCTCCTTAGAAGGCGTCTACAGCGAAATCCGACGAGTCCTCAAACCCGGTGGTGTTTTCGGCGTCTACGAATGGCTCATGACAGATGCCTACAACAACGACGATCTCGAACAACGCCGCATCCGTCTCGACATCGAACAAGGCGACGGTATTGCCCAGATGTTCAAGATTGACCATGGTCTATCAGCTATCCAAGCAGCTGGTTTTGAACTTCTTCACCACGAGGATCTCGCAGCTACAGATGATGGAACAGCGCCTTGGTACTGGCCTTTGGATAGTGATATGCGATATGCGCAGACAATTGGTGATTTCTTCACGGTTTTGAGGATGAATAAGTGGGGGAGACTTGTGATGCATAATGTTATTGGGGCATTGGAAGCTTGTTGGATTGCGCCGAAGGGGACGAGGAAGACGGCGGATAGTCTTGGTCAAGCTGCGGATGCGTTGGTTGAGGGTGGGAAGAGAAAGTTGTTTACGCCGATGTATTTGATGGTTGGACGGAAGCCTGAGGAGTCTGAGTAATGGTGCAGTGGTAAGCAGTTCAGTGGGAGGGCATAGAGAGTTATGGGGTAGCCTTTGATAGAGGCAAGTATTGGCAAGGGGTGGTATACCCATAGAGATAATAGATCGAAGATTGATGTTAGCCTACACATCCAAGCAAAATATTTCATTATTAATCGCAATTATTACTTTCGCCTTCTTATGCATTGCGGAATCTCGATGCTCATAAGCCCAGGGTAACATCCACTCTGTAGCCGATAGGGCTGGCCACATCATATCTCCATAGCAGTGAGCAAACGTCAACCCTGCAAAAGCCATAAGCGGACTTTAGGACAGTCAGAAATATGTAATCCTCCAATATCCGCCCATTATAACCTCTAAACCCGCAAGGTCCCATGTTGTTAAGGTCCCCACGTGTTGAAAGCTTAGCCGTCTAGCTTATCGATAAGGCTTAGATCTCCAACGGCCCAAATATCCACCGCCGATAATCTCACCAAGCCTCCGAGACCGCGCGTCAATGACCAATTACCACGGGAAAAACAGCTCCCGGGTGGGAACACTCATCCTATGACTCTGTGAATAGAATTGTGTATGGATTTCTGAAGGCGCAGCTTGTCGGAAGATGAGAAATCCGAGGCGATTGATTACAGATGTGTATCTTTTTTTACTGCCGTACGCGCGCTGAAATATCGGGATAGCTCAGCGGGATCTGGGGGGCTGGGGCCGATGTGGGACAGGGCTGAATACGATCGTTTCAAAATGGGGAGCTTCACCTCAAGATTCACCAAATAAAGTATTAAGAAGATGGGGGAAAAAAGACAAGGCTTGGTGTTGTAGATGATTACGACATCATCCTCTAGGCATTGAAGCTCACAACTTGTTTGGGAGCAAATGATCATCAACGCCCAGCAAAGGGAACCGCCCGTCTCACGTCATCATCATAGTCGTGGCGGTATAGCTTAGACCCTTCGCATCACTCATCAGTGGCTGGCCACCCCTGCTGCTCTGCACCTTTTTTTTAATCCCCGTGTTCCCCTCTCATTCTTTTTCCTCCCCTCTCTCTGTTTTGCGAGTTTAGCTGGAACACGGGCCAAACAATCCAGCGATAAGAGCGTCATCGAGGAAACGGAGCTGTTACGAGAGATACGAATCTTCGAAAAGAACGATATTTTACGATTGAAAAGGACGATACGATTGATAAGATTGCTATCTAATGAGTGGTTAGCTAGTTGGAGCTTGATCGATATCGTGGCGCACCTTGCAGCTGAATCATAACAAACCCGATACGAGACCGAGATCTATCAGCCACGATGTTGAAAAAGAAGGAAACCCTCACCATCATCACGCCCATCCCAGGCTTCATCCCCCGACAACTTGCCATCGATCTTCTTCACTCCCACGGCGAAATCATCACCGTCAATCCTCTCGTCCTGTCGCATAAACCCATCCCCGCTCCTCGCCATGCCGCCGCCGACGAGTACTACAGCACCTGGTACGAGATCACAGAGCGCATCCAGTATATCCCCGGTCTAGGAAAGATAGGATCTGGAAAGCTCACTTTTAATGGATGTTTCCATGATATGCCGTGGGGTATGCAGTCCCATATTTATATCCCCCTTGGTATCGACATGCGAAACAAGTACCGCATTATGGGAAACCAACCCGGTCTCGAGCCACCGGAGCAACCTGAGCTTGGACTCGAACAACTTGGTGCGCCGAAGGAGGGCCTTTATCTTCGCACTGATGTTGAGCTCAAGTGTAACATCACCTTGATGGGATTTGTCAAGGCGGAGTCGAGAAAGGCTAGTGTCGATATGGTTAACCGTATGGTTAAGAAGGCGGAGTTGCTCGATGCTGGCCTTTTGAAGGCTATGTTTGAGGATGGAAAGCTAAAGACGTATAATCCTAATGATCGATCGGACGCTAGTCAGGCGAGACAGCAGGCTTTGAGACAGCAGACGACGCCGGAGGGCCAGTTCGCTACTGCTGCTCCTGGTCCTGGACCCATGAGCCCAGGTCCTTCTTATGCTCAACCCTACGCATATGCTCAACAGCAACAACAGCCTCATCTTCAACAACCTTCTTCACCAACATACGCCTACGCCCGTCCCGACGCCACCAACTCTCAATACCCTCAAAGCCCATACGCTTATCATCCAGGCCAAACACCCCCACCCAACGCCCAATACCAACAACAAGCACCGCCCGTCCCACCAAAAACCAACATCCAAAGCTTCCCCATGGAACTCCCCGGCGACTACTACCACCCACAGCAATCGCCAAATCTCCAACAACAACCTAGTCCAGGACATCCACCCAGCAGCTATCGCAATTCCACAGGGTCGTATGACCCGCGATGGTCGCAGTCTAGTCAGTCGGCTGCTGATTCTCATCGCGCGAGTATGTATTCGCAGCATTCGGCGGGATATTCGTCGCCGGCGCCTGCGCAACAGACGTTTGCGGCGGAGTTACCTTCACATAATGAGACGTCGGAGGAGCATAGGCATTGAAAAATGGGGTTTGTTTAAAAGTAGCCAGTCATTTTTGATGGTTGGGGGATGATACACGGGATTGGCGTTTGCTTGGGATGGATTTGGATGCAGATACCTTTTGTTAGTGAGAGAGTCAATAGTGAGTGTCAGTCGATAATTTGGAGAGAATCTAAAGCAGACTCTCTGAGTCTCTTGATGTAGAGTGTGATGAGAATACCCTTTTTGGATAATAATGAACAATTTGCGATGGAAGCATACTGGCCTGCGTGAAGTTGACAGGTGGTGAGTCCCAATGCCGCAATGCAAATGGCGCTTCTGGGTGATGCGATGAAGTAAAGTGAACGTAATTCGGTTTCTAACTATCCAAACTATTATTCTGGCGCTAGGTCTAAGTTCTCGGACAGATTTACGAAATCCGGCCTTCGGGTTGTTGTCGGGGAGATAAGTCTGCCTCTTTTCAGCCCTACGGACGGAGTTCATCAGTGCGGACTTTGGTGGAGTCGGGGTTCGAACAACATTCTTCGGCGACTTTGCATACATGATAGGGGCGTATTGAGAATCAATTTGTCAGTGATAATGAATGGTAGTAATTGCGGATTTGTAATGGGAATTGAATCAAGGCTGCAGTTAAGACATGGGAGGCTTCAGGATGTTGAAATAAGAAGCACCATAAAACCCGAAGAGAGATGAATGATCAAGACTCAGAACCTTCCCTTACACTACTAATTCGACATGTTCCCTCGATAACTTCAAAACATCTTTTGATCTCAAAATGCCTCTCAAACAGCCCAAGGTTGAGCCCCTGCCGCCTGGCATCGACCTCACCAACAAAACAGCCATCGTCACAGGTGCAACAGCCGGTATTGGCCTCGAACTCTCCCGCCAACTTCTCAATCTCAATCTATCGACTTTGATCCTTGCAATTAGAAATGTCTCCAAGGGCGAAGAAGTCCGAAACTCGCTCTCTGCTATCAATCCCAAGGCAGTTGTCCAAGTGATGAAGCTCGACACAACGGGTTACGCCAGTGTAAAGGCCTTCGCTGAGACGTTCAAGAGCAAACATGGCAAACTTCACCTACTCATGTTGAACGCCGGTATAAGTGATATTAGTTTTGAACTTGCACCAAGTGGACACGAGAAGAACTTTCAGGTTAACTACCTCTCCAATGTTCTTCTAACTCTGCTTCTTCTCCCCACTCTTGAGCGTACAGCAGAGCTTGAGGGCTCACCTACGCGCATTACATGGACAGGAAGTCGAATGCATTGGCAAACAAGCCTCGCTAGCAAAGTTCCTCTCAAGAAAGATGAAGGCATCTTTGAACACTTTGACGCACCTGGTGTCATTCCCCCTCTCACCCGCTACGGCGACACAAAGCTTCTCGTTCTTCTCTTCCAACACGAACTCGCCAATCGCTATCCGCCCAAGAAAGTCATCATCAACCAGTTTTGCCCTGGTATGGTCGATACTTCTTTAACGGATATTCTGCCTGTTTACATCCGGCTGCCGGCGCTGTTGCTTAAAGCTCTGCGTGCGAGATCGGTTGACAAGGCAGGCTGGATCGGATTACATGCTGCGCTTGTAGTGGGAGAAGAAACGCATGGGCAGTTGTTGGGGGACAAGGAAGTTGCTGACTTGGGGGATTTTGTGCCGTCGGAGGAAGGGAGGAGGATTAGGAAGATGTTGTGGGAGGAGACGGTTAAGGAGATGAGAGGTTTGGTTGAGGTGCCTTCTTGGATGGAAGGATGATTAGATGCCAATATCACTTAGCTTTGCACTCCATTTGAACTTCATAGTTCCCTCAAACTGTGAGGTTAGTAGAGGAGGATAGCTGCCCGTATGGCTTATTGAGGCAAGCAACTGAAGCGATGTTTCTCATTATCTCATGTTTTTAATGCTTCATTCGGGCGAAATGAACAATAAGAGATGACCTTCATGCCCCATTGCTGAGTAAACGAAATAATATTGTTTTCAGACAGGTCGATGCAAAGTTCAACATACGATGAAGTATGTAAACATGTTTTGACCGCGACTGAATCAACTCTCGGGAAATTCTCTCATGATTATACTAACCCCGGTCGTTGTTGATATCGAGCCGAGGAAACCGTCAGGTCTAGATTTCAATAGTCTACTGCTGCACATACCTTATTTTCCAGGGTCTAGCATCTTCAGCTGCGTTGTAGTCCATGAATTGAGCCCTTATTGGACCGGCGATAAGCGTGCGTTTAATAGTCTCTTCGCTTACGGGTTTGTTGGTGATACTTTTTTGGTTTGCTGTTGGCTTGGCATTTATAATCCTGGGGATCGGGCCAGCGCATTCAAAATATTGGAATTTTTGTAGAATAGCTCGATAAGAAGAAAATGATCTGATTTTCTCGGTGTATATAAGTTGAAGTCGTTGGGCACGATGGTTGTTCGTTTTCTGCGAATGTTGTTCACTTTTATGCGTTGAAATGGTTGCATTCAAGTCCATTATCTTTTTCCTCGCCTTTGGCACAGAGGCCCTCGGTGTGACAACCGATGTCATCTGCCAAAGCAAATATGGCACAAAAAGTATCGCGTCTAATAGAATCCCACGGGCTACTACTACTGTGAAGAATCAGATCACGGTTATCAAGAAGGTCATTCGGAAAGTCAATGTTGTGGTTGTCCCCAAGGCCAAGACTACAACTGAGACGGAGATTGTGATTGAGAGGACTACGACAAGTGCTGATTCTGATGTTGAGACTGCTACCGAGACCGAGACTGGTGAGTTTTATGGAAGTAGGACCGAAGATGTGAGTGGTGCTGATGGTTTAGATGTGCAAATTACGAGACGCGTTATGCTGCTCACACGAACTTCAACATCGGTAGCTTCTACAACCACGACGAAGTATACAACCAGCACCATCGCTGCACCAGCTGGATTTGTTCCCATCAAGGAAGTCCAAGGATACGTCGCCAGAGTCAAAGCCCGAGCTCCCGCACCTAGAGCTGCCGCCGAGTACCTCCAGCGCGTCGATTGTGTGAAGAAAATATCCTCTACTACAACCAAGACCACAACTACTACAGTTAAAGGCGCTAGAATTACCCTAAAGCCTAAGACTATTACCAAGAAGACTACAAGTGTTGTTACTATCACGGAGACGGAACATGGACCCGAGATTACGGATACGGAGACTGAGACTATTACTACGATGAGGGTTTCTATTGATCAGAGTACTCAAACTCAAACAATTCCCGAGACCGGTAAGTAACACACCTCCATATTCTGGTTTCTATACCAACATAACTAGTCACTGTCGAATCCATCATCCCCGCCGATCCCTTCTACGCCGCCTGCTCCTCCAACAATCTCGCCAGCACCGCCAACGGCGGTAAGAGAATCGCCGACTTCTCCGCCTGGACGGCCAACAGGCCCGTTTCCATCTCTGGTCTCACCAGCTCGTATGCATGCTGTGTTGAATGTCAGAAGAAGCAGAATTGCTTCATGAGTCGGTCAAGTGCTGGGGGTTCATCGTGCTGGCTGTACTTGACGCCGAGTGATGATGTTTGCCCGGCGCAGATTAATTGGTTGACTTATCGGACTGATAGCGGTGTTAGTGTGGAGTGGACTTATAGTAATGGGCCTTGTGGGAGGGCTGTTAACGGGGGAGAGTCATCCTGATCATCGCATCATTGTTGAGCTTAGCCTCGGGTTCATAGTCATGATTGTAGCGGTCACCACACATAGCCCAAGCAAACCGAAATAGAACATATATTATATAAATAAGTAACGAATATTAGAATTTAACCATTATATCAACTCGTCGTAATACCGTCACAGCCATATGGGGTGCTCTGTCACTACTCAATCAGAACTTGCTTCTCCTTCTTCAGGCTCTCAACAAAGCTAATCGAGACATTGAGAGTCTGGGCGACAACATCAGGAGGAGTCAAAGCAAGCCATTGAGTCAGGGAGATATCGGCGACGCGATCAGACTTGTAGACTTCAATCCAGATGAGATCCTCATCTTCAGAAGTGTTCTCAATGTAGTGACTACCTCAAGTTAGTATCGTGTTCACACACACAAGAGTTGGCAACTTACCCAGAGTTATCAGGAAACGCAGCGGTATCACCCGCCGAAAAGTCAAAAGTCCTCGCCGCCGCATTCCCAATAAAAACCGTCGCCCTCGCCTTACCCTGATGAAAATACAACCACTCCTCTGCATTAGGATGCCAATGCAACTCCCTCAAACCACCCGGCTTGAGGGTAACAAAAGTCGCAGCGAGGGTTTTAGAAGCTGGGAAGTTTGTTGAGTCGATCTTCCAGAACTTGCCGCCCGTGCCGCCAATCTTCTCAGGATCGTGCTGGAAGGTTCGGTACACGAAGGAGCTGTTTCCTGAGAGCTTGCCGGCTGGTCCGTCGGTTACGTTGTGCTTGGTTGGCGTGCCGGGGAGGATGTAGGGGTTGGGGGATGTGACGTTTTCAAAGACGGAGGCGTTGACGCCGAAGTTTTTGGCGAGGATGTCTTTGGGGGTGTGGTTGATCCAGTCGTCGACCATGAAGGTGGTGCTGTCTTGTGTTAGTGGTGTTGTGTAACAAGGATAGGTGACTTACCCGATCTTGTCAAAGTCGGCTTCGTCAAAGACTAAGAGATACTCGTTCTCATCGGCAAGACCTTGAACGGTATGGGCAGCGCCCTTGGGGAAGTACCAAATGTCGCCATAATTGAGTACTTCTTCCTGATACCGCCCAAATTCATCAACAGCAGAGATGAGAACGGAACCATTGTATACAATGCCCCATTCAGCCTGTAAAGTCAGTACCTGGTGATTGAGATGGAAGTGTTAGACTTACAACTTTATGCCAGTGAAGTTCCCGAATAGCGCCCTTGACGAGATGCTGCTGAGCACCGGAGATGTCATGGCTAGAAGGCAGATCCTGAATGACCTGTTCACGAACCCAGCCGCCCTTCAAGAGACGAGTCTTGGAATCGGAGAAGCTCCATTTGAGATTGGGAACAACGCCGTTGTCAGTGGGCTGTTGACCAAGGTTGTCTGGGTTTTGAAGATCGAGCTCTTTGTTTGTGCCGCCTGACCCTGTTGTCAGCATATGTGATGGTGATGGGGATGAGTGACAATACCTAGAAGAACGGCGCCTTTGCCTTTGCCATCATAAGGCTGGCCTTTGTCAAAGCCGGGTTGCTGAGTATCCTTGGGAGCAGCAGCAACGAGGGCTGACCCGACCAACAAGGTCAAGGCAGAAGAGAGCAGAGACACGCCCTTCATGATATTCACAGTGTAGCAGATGAACGAAAGAAACTTGTACAGAAGGGATTGATGAGATGAGGGATGAAGAAGGTCGAAAAAACAGGGACTTCTGTCTCACCGGCGACGTCTTATACCCTCAACACCATGAGCTTCATCACGACATCATGCATACAGACACATCCATCAATCTGGGAAATTACGAGAGGCGTAGCTGAATGGTAATGACACCCTGGGAACTTGTACAAATGACACTACGAAAAGTCGCGCTGTCTGAAAGAAACAATGATCGGCATAGCTGCATGAAGCTATCAAGGAAATTGCTGTACCAATTCCGACTGCGAATGGCGTTTGCCTACCCTGAACACAACCATTTCGAAGACTCAGAAGACATCAGGTAATTGCTTTGATATGGTTACAATTCCTCAATGTGAGATCCTATCTGAATGTGTAATTAAATCTTAGCATTAACTTGGGCTCATAAAGTTTGTAAACATCTCCTCGTTCAAGATTTCTGTTGCTATTCCGGTGCAATGCCTTGATCTTTGCCTGGTGTAACCCATTATTCCGCGCGCACCCATCACGGCCAAGCGATACTGATGATCGACAATCCGCCTGCCAAGACGGATATAAGCGTGATGACGGGCTAGGATTGATGTAGATCTGGGGTTGACGACATTATTAGTGGATTTAACGTGATCGATCTGCCCGTTTTAGTGCGGCTCAACATGGGTTGGACGAACCAGGCCCCACGCTATAAGCATAGATTTATGGTAATTGATAGTGTTGTAATTGCCGGCTTTCGGTATGTTCCTGATTATCGCGGGCCCCTAAGCCTTGGTATGAGCTCATGTTCTTGGTATTGGTATAATTAGTGAAGATACACACAAGAGCCAAGTGTTTGGCCTTATGATTTATTGTATAGTACCTGGAGTATCGCAACTCGGAATGGCTCGCCGCAAGACCGACGGCCCCTCGGCGTGGATGCGGTCACAGCCTTCCAAGGATTATAATCGCAATCCAAACTAACAAGACGTCTTCCCAGACAGTCAAAGCACATAGAAGATCTCTCACAGATTCAGCCTAGCAGGAAAACAAATGTATAAGTCATTTCCCAAAAGAGATGTTTAGTCTATTACCCCCACCGGTATTTCCAACTGCCGGGGACTCGTGTCAGGGGTAGTCCAGCGCCCGAGCTACTGGTGCCGAGTCAGGCAAGGCTGATGTTCAATGCCCTACGGATGGAGCAATTCCGCACTATGGTATTGTAAGTGCAAGGCTGTCTCACTGATAATGGTCAATACCACGCGAAACTGATGTCATTCGTTAGAGCTGTTGATCCAAATATCCCAGAGATGTGGGATGGGACAGTGTCGCAACCTTATCCTGGGTAAGCTTGAACTCAATTGGTGCAAAGAGATGTAACACCCAACATCGTCCTGTAAGCTGAAGAATGAGAAATCGGATACATCTGAAGTTCTTTTGTGATTTTGATTGATGCGTGATGTCGTCCGTCATTCTTGTGCTATGAATAGTTACTCTCCGACCAAAGCACCTGACACTCAACCATAGTTGACCATGCGAACAAACGAAGCGAGGTGCGATTGAACACCTTAGTATATGCAGGTCTCAGCTTCGAGGTAACCCTAAGTGAGCTGTAGTGATCCCAACAAGGTAATTGAGCAACTCAGCTATGCCAGATTGACAACCATCAGGGGGCATCACCGACAACCCATCGCTATCGTCCCACGGACGATCGGGAGGTCGGTAACTCAGTCATTCTCCTCCGAGAGTATGGACCAACAACTTTTGGCTAGATTTGTGCAGATCAGTGGTATAGTTACCGGATGGCCCAGTTCCGCCTTGCGTTTGTATGTCCTCCTTGCCAGCACATCAACCAAGCTAGACGAGAGAAGTCAAGGCTGAGGAGCAAAACGTCCTGAGAAGGAAATTGTGATAGCCGTGTTGGAGAAAACCTCATCATGAGGTTCAATTGTGTCTTTGTGAGGCTTGATGATACAATTCTCGAGATTGAAGTCGTGGAGAATGGTAGAATGTTGGACTTGGGACAATGAGAAAGAATTTGATGACTCGAGGACTCTGTTGCAAGTCAGGACCAAGATGGGTATATAACACCTTAGAAACTCCCTCAAACTTTCTCAATCATCAGCTCAAATCATCAACTTGCTCACTTCCCACCATCAACCACTGAGCTTCATCTACAATGCCCTCTCTCTTCTCTATCACGGCCCTCTTAGGTGCCCTGGCCTCTCAGGTCTCGGCATCTCCAGCCAACATCGCCAAAAGAGGCCTCAGTCTTCCTCCTCTGATCCCCAAGATCCCAGGAGTAACTGAGCCTCTTGCCGACAACGCTCCTCCCCTGCCCATTCTCCAGCTTCCTACTCCTCCTTTGGATAGCCCCCCTTTCAAGGTCTCCAACATCAAGCCCAAGAAGATTGGATACTTCTGGACTGGCGCTGGTGATAACAAGCATGCTGATTTCTTGGTCACTGCTAGTCTTGATGATGTAAGTTCGCCGAGCCCACGATGGGAGGTGTGCTAACAGACTAGGACACATTTGGTGAAATCATCGACATCACTGATGTCAACACCAGCGGTAACTCACCCCACCATCTAGGCAGCTCCCTCGATGGCAAAACCCTCGTCGGAGGCGGTCTTCTCTCTCTTCTCAAGACCCAAGACACCGCCTTCTACTTCGACACTTCGGACCCATATCATCCCAAGTTCGACCACAGCAACCGCGGCATTCTCGGCTCCATCGTCGATGAGATCCGCGCCAAGCCCGACGGTGGTTTTTTCATCACCTACATGGGCAGTGCCGTCGGTACATCACCCGGTCGTTTGATCGAGACTGACGCCAATGGTAACATCATCCATGAGTGGCCTGAGGATGTTGAAGGTACTCTCAACATTCTTGGAGAGCAGTTTTCTCCTCATGGTTTGAGCGTGGACTTTGATAAGAACATTATTCTCACTTCTGACTTTGTTGTTCCTATTACGATTCTGAAGCCGACTCTTGGTATTAAGAAGGCTGATACTCTTCGCCTTTGGGACCTCAAGTCTCGCAAGATCATCTCTACTATCACTATTCCTAATGTGAGTTACCCTGAGCACAAGTGTAAGGAAAGCAGCTAACAGTCACAGGGCCAAGGTATTCAAGACGTCAAGTTCATCCCCGGTAACAAGGAGAGTGCTGCTCTAGCCACGTAAGTCTCCCTCAATACTCACCACACTCAAGTACTAACTCAAGGTCTCCAGTGCTGTCGGTCCTGGTCAAGTCTGGATCATCTACCCCTTCCGAAAGGACTCCAAGGGCAACCAAGGTGTCGCCGAACTCCTCTACGATCTCGGCGACAAAGCCAAGGACTCCCTCGCCATCTACTCCGACATCACCGACGACGGAAAATTCGCTTACTTCACCATCACGCTCGGCAACCACATCGCCGCTCTCGATATCTCTGACCTCGATAACGTCAAGCGTCTTGATGATCCCGATGAGGACCAGCCCATCATTGGACCTCACTATGTCAAGATTTCGCCTGATAAGAAGAACCTTCTCGTTACTGGCTACTTCGTCCAAGGTGGAGCTGTAAGTTCTCATCACTGTATTTCTTGGTGGGTTTATGCTAACGCTTGCAGATCTCTATCGTCAACACTCCTGCTGATTACAAGGGTCACTGGATTGACATCAACGATGACGGATCGCTTAGCTTCAACCGTACCATTGACTTTGAGAAGATCTTTACCAAGACTCGTGGTGGTGCACGACCGCATAGTGTTGTCATCTTTGATCTCACTGATCCTGAGAACCCTATCTACTACTAGAGCTCGCCTGTAGAGAGATACTCCAAGTTTGAAACAGCTCTCGGTATACGTTCTGTGTTGAGAATGCGCTCTAGGGATGATGCAAGCTCTTGGGTTAATGGATTTCGATTGGATGATGGACTGGATGTGTTTGTTTCTTCGTACCTCAACGAGGCTTTCATTTAATGGCCTGATGTCTTCGCCTATATATTCTACTTAGTTCGAGATGACCAATAATACTTTCCTTGCTCTCAGATGCCTTCCCTTCTCGCTCAATTACTCTGCCCTTCCTCCTCCACGGACTTTCGTTGTCCTATGTTCTATTCTAAACTTTGGCTCTCGCTAACATAACTTAACCATAAAGCTTAACCACTGGGGCTGCATGCATCTTGCATAAGTCAACAACCAACAGATCCGAAACAAAACGAAAACTGCGAAATTACGTTTCGCGAACACAGCCGCATTATACCCTGTTCAACATCAAGGAAATGGGCCGAGTAGCATACTTCATTGGGCTGGACGGCTAAACACACAGCCCGTCCATCAATTTTGGCAAGGATGTGTCAAGTCGAACCAACAGCAAGACCAGCCTCAGGAATAAATTCTCAATGACCCTTTTCACAGGCGCCTTACAACTGTATTCTCGCAACGCTTAGTTTATGTATAGAATCTTTAGGCGCATACCTATTCGAGAAGCTTGTTATCAATCATGTCTGCCAACGCTACACCATCCTCGCCCACGATTGCGGTGACAACTGGAGAGTGCATCGCACTGACTACTCCATTCTCGCCGCCTAGTAGTTGTCAGCCCGAAAGAAAGTACACTAATTAGATCATTTAGCGGTTTCACCTTTGATCCCTATGATCGAGGTGCCTACGTTGCCCGCGAGTTCTTTACCAGCGGGTGTGACGATGGATCCAGGCCATAACAGACACATCCCACGTCGATGGAACGACTGCAACACAGTCTGGCTCATCCAATTACCAAGATGCTAGCGCAGTGGATGGCACTTTCATGGTTCATCAAGCTTGGGCAATATCCTGGGGCTCATCTGAGAGGTCCGATCTCACGCCAATGCCTCTCACGTTGACTGATGGCGAGAAGGCATCGTCATGGAAACCAGGCGAAACACTTCCCGACGACAGCCGCCCAACTGAGAGTTTTGATCAAAGCCAGGGGTACATCAGTAACTCGGCCGTGTGGGTTTTGATGGTCGGGCTGCCCATTATTGTGTTTCTGATGATTGCCGGTTGCTGCTGGGTGTGTATCAGGCGTCGGATAAAGGAAAGGAGGATTAGGAGTGCGGCAGCGAGAGTTTCTCCCCTAACTCAAGCTGATGATAGACGTTCTTCTGTGACACTTGTTTTTTGAATTCACATAAATTTCATAAAAATAATAAATAATACTACATATAATAGTGTCTACAGAGTAAATATAAGAGAAATAAATAGAATTAGATATAGTGATATCACCGTAGGCTTGTAGTTTGGGTGCTAGTCGATGGCTTTACTCCATGAGATGAACCTTGGGCTACTGGCCACATTCTGCGACCATCAAACTTGTCATTCGCAATCCACTCCTTCTTCTCACCCATATGCGTCACGTTCATCACCGGCGGAATCAGTGACTCACTCCCCTTCGGCAGCGCCTTGAGCCGCATAGTCGATGTATCATATGCATACAAGCTCAAAAGAAGACATCCACCTGTATTAGGAGGATCAAGAACATAAGCGCCTCCATAGCTGCTCTGCCGATCATCTTCATCATTTGGACACGAATAAGCCGCATTCCAGCCCTCCAAACAAAGATTGTGGTTCCAGTCATCTTCGGCAAAGGAAAACGCCTCTTTGTCTCCGCAGCCGCTCTGATCAGGTGCCCATTTCGCTGACACAATAACTGTGTAGCCATCTTCTTCTAGAGCCACGTTCTGACCGAATGTGTTGTCGGGGTCGAGCGTGTAGCTAGAGTCGCAGAATGATCCTACAACTTGCCGTGCTTCATCTAGGGTGAACTCCAGATAGTCCGAGTCACCTTCGTAACAGTAGGCTTCAGCTTCGTTGATGGCTGTGTTGGTAGGGTATGATGTGGTAGTTTCCGATGGCTCTGTGGTGGTTGACTCTCCAACTGTTGTCGTCGCTTTCGGGTATGACGTGGTGATGAAGGAAATGCCTTTGATAGTGACCGAGATAGTACTGCCGACATAAGAGGGGATAATAATAGCCGACGTTCCTCGCATCTTGGTTTTTGATGCCGACTCGACATCGGGGATAGGGTAAGCGGTTCTGTCAACGGTAGCATATCCGTCGTTGACGGGATACGGTGTTGAACTGACGATCACACTTGCTGAAAAGATTGTCTTGTACGTGGAGCCCAAGTTTCCGAGGGCGTTGTTGTCATCACCAAAGTCATCGCCATAGTCGACAGGGGTGAGAGGACAAGAGGCGCCTGTAGTTGTAGCTGTTGCCGTGAGAAAACAGCCGGTGATAACTTCAGTCGATGTAGTTGTGCATGAGGAAGATTCGCAAGATACCCAGTAGTCGGTTACTTGAGAGGTTGTGCAGTCGCAGCCAAGATATGTGTTACAGACTGTGGCGCAAGGTTTTGTCGTGCAGACTTGATGGCACTCGGTGTTCGTCTCTGTAGCGCAGTCCTCATCTTCATCGTCATCATCATCTTCGTCGTCGTCGTCGTCGTTGTCATCATCATCGTTCTTCTCACATCCAGGGCCAACGCAATTCCCTCCTGGCCCAGGACATCCCCCACCTATGCACCCAATCGAGCCACCACCACTTCCTCCGCCACCTCCGCCTGGGGTGCAGCCGAATAAACATGGCTTACCGCAGCCAGACTTACAAATAGGTCCGGGAGGTCCAGCGGTGATGATGATACCTGGAGCGATCCCTGGTGGAGGTCCAATATCCACATCACCAGTCGGAAGGGGTCCAGGCTTATAAGTGTAGGTAATGCCATGTGTTGGCTCAGTCAATGTGACTGGAGATGGAATAATACTACCTCTTACAGGCACAGACTTGGATGTTGACTCTGTCAGTATCACATTGGACACGCCAATCTCTGATGTTGTAAGAGGTGGCAGTGTGATCCTGACAGTGATAGTTGTTGTCCCATACTTGGTGACGCCGCTGGTAGTCTCCGGCCATGTCTCTTTGAAGGTCTCGGTGATAACAGGGAAACTGATCGTCGTCTTGGATGAGAGTGGCCATGGTGGGAGAATGAGAGTACAAGGTGGCTGACAACCTGCTGTAGGGTTCTTGGAGTCCCAGATCTTTGGATCGATGTAGACAACGTCTTTGTCACCACCGTTGCCTCCGCCGTTGTCCCCATCACCATCCCCACCCCCGTCACCACTGCCACCTCCGCCGTTACCACCATCACCACCGCCTCCACCATGACCAGGCTCAACAGGAATAGGCTGGTCAGGCTTATCCGGTAGCTTAGGCGCCCAGTCGTGATCATTGAGATACGCATTAACCGCACCCCCGTCAAAAACAACAAGATAGTCAGCCTTCCTATCGCCATTGATGTCCGCGTAATGAACAGGACCCTGGGGACTAACGCCTGCCGCGATAGTCCCCATGTCATTCCACTTGCGTCCTTCACCAATCGGAATCTTGCCATTGTTGCGATACCCCCGAGCAGCACCGCCATCGTACTGAACGATGTAGTCGGCCTTGCCATCTCCTGTAAGATCCGCAAACCGTATCTTGCTACCAGGCTCACCAACACCAGTGGCTACAACGATGCCTTCTTTCCAGATGCGGCCACCGTTCTTGGGCGGTATGTTCTTGTTGTTCTGCCAGTACTTGACTGCTCCGCCCTCGTAGAGGATGAGGAAATCTGCATAACCATCGCCATCGAGGTCTGCAAACTCAACCTTACTTCCTAGCTCGCCGACTCCCGGGGAAATAGTTATACCCTCTTGCCAGATGCGTCTATCCCCAGGGTCTGGCAGGTTTCCGTTGTTGAGATATGCCTTGACAGCTCCTCCGCCGTAGATGATCAAGTAGTCAGCGCGCTTATCACCGTTGACGTCGATGAACTCGATACGTGAGTCAGAGAGATCCTCTTCAAAGCCTGGTGCAATCTCGCCGATTGACTCCCACTTGTTGCTGCCCTTGTTGATCCAAGCCCGAGCTCGTCCTCTGGAGTCGACAGAGATTAGGTCATCCCTTCCCTCACCTGTCAAGTCGGCGAAGCGGATGCTCTGACCTTTGGTTCCAGTGATACCAAGGTTCTTCCACATGCGGATGCTTCCATCATCAGCAACAGCAAGGAAATCAGCCAAGCCATCACCGTCCATGTCGGCAAAGCGAATCATTTCACCGGAAACGCCCTCTATACCAGGGGCAATTGTGCCCAAATCGTCCCAGTTACGGCCGCCTTCTTTCAGGGTATTGCGGAACGCTTTGACTGCGCCGCCATCGTATATGACAAGATAATCTATGTCGAGTTAGTATATCAGTACACTTATCGGAATACTCGAGACTCACCAGCCTTTCCATCGCCATCAATGTCTCGGATACTGGTCGAGCCTTGTGGTATACCAGCTGGCCCAGGGGCGATAGTGGTTTCAGTCTCCCAGTTCTTCTTGCTGCTGTCCTTGCCATTGTTGTGCGTATTGCGAGCCCATTTGACAGCGCCTCCCCCATACACGATTACATAGTCTGCGTATCCGTCACCGTCAATATCCTCAAATCGAACCTTATCTCGAGATGCAAGGCCGGTTGCCCACTTGGAATCGAGGGACTCAAATTTCTTTCCATTGTCCACGTTCTTCCAGACTTTTGCAGCGCCATCTTCGTACAAAGCAATCAGATCTGCCTTGCCATCGTTATCCACATCGGCGAGACGGATCATGTCGCCGTTGATGGACTTCCAGTCTGGGTTGATATAACCGATACTCTTCCAGTCATTGGGCTTGCCTCCGTTGATCCAGGCTCGCATTTTACCATCTTTGTCAGCAAGAACGTAATCGTCGATACCATCGCCGTTCAGGTCAGCCAGAATGACCTTTTCGCGTGAGGAATTCTCAGCAGAGCCTCTGATGGTCCCGACAGATTCCCAGGTCCGAAAGCCTTCAAAGACAGTACCTTGCTTCTTCCAGATCTTACCTACGATCTCCTCTTGAGCGCCTCCTGCTCCTCCACCGACACCGAGACCAACACCAGGAAGGCCAGCAGCGTCTATTTTGGTGGGAGTCTTCAACCAGCCTCGTTTGTCAGCCTCGAGGATAGCTTTCAGCCAAGCGTCGGCCATCTTCTCATAGCCACTGTCGTTTGGGTGCTTCTCATCCGAAAGATCACCTGCATTGATGTCTATCGGAACTCCGAGGATATGCTTTCCAGCCTTTTGTCTCTCCTCAATGATGGAAATGACTTGTGGATTAAAGCGATCAGTGTTCTTTTGCATTCTGGGGTTATTGGCCCATATGACAGGAGCAACAAGAACCGTGGTATCTGGAGCGTTCTGAAAAAGACCATCAATAATGGACGCCAGCATATGAGGGGAGCCCTCAAGGTCAACTTCCAGGTCCATATTGTTTGTACCAGCATGGACAAGAACAACGTTGGGGCGTGCCGCGATAGACAGCTTCCAGTAGGTATTGATCTGCGCAAGGACCTTTCCACTGTGGCCTTCGTGGTCATTGTCTGCCATGCCAGTGGGAGGGTGTTTCAAGCTACCGACCATGTCTACCGAAGTACCTCGACCGATGAGCTTCTCACGGAGGCGGTTTCTGTAGCCCTTTTGGTCTTTTGAGCCGTTGCCTTTCGTGATTGAGTCTCCGAGGGGTAGTATGCGAAGACTCGGAAGTGCAGAAGCAAGCGGTGATATGAGTGCTACGAGCACCATCATCATCATGATGGCGCCCTGAAGCATGAAGGGCAGCATAAGGAGTGATGGTATTGAAAACTTAAGAGATAGAGATGGATATGTCGTAGACTGTGATATGAATAGAATGACAATATCATTTGTCATAAACATAAGTGATTTCACCCCTTCCTTCTTATAAGTCAATTTCTCATGAGAGAAAGAACCATATCTAACTACTACTCTTTCCATCAAAGCTACCACGGCCCCCAACTCTCGTTTACTTCGCCTCGGACACATCTCTCCGCTTCCTTAGTGTTGTTGATGAACAGTTGTTGGTTCCAGGATATTGTGCAACCTACGAAAAAGGCGCAGCAGAAATGGTAAGCGGAGATTTCTTCTTTGACTTCTAAAATTGTCGATCGTGAGCCAGGTTCAGCTCTTGATTGCATCCCATTATTATCGTGAACAAGTGTGCCTTGGTGGTTAAGTCGGCTGTGTCTTGTGTTGGTTGAGCGTGGCACCCACCGCACGACTTAGAGTTTGAAGGTTAGCTCTGTTGGTTCTAAAATACCTCAGAATACTCATGCGAGAGGATCCTACGGCGAAACTATTCAGAAAGTGTGGTCATTCAAGAATAAGATGTGATTGCCCCTGTTAGAAATGCTCACAAGACTTGGAGCAGCATTGGGTGCTTTGATGGCTATCGATAATCAGCTTCGTCGAACCAACATAAAGTAACATTCCACTCGAATGAGTTCAAAATTAAGGCCAATGGCACGACGAAAGTTGCTTCAATCACTGTGAACTCAGCAGACTTCACTTCTCTAGTATGATTCTAGTGAGAACAGCCTACAATACTCATGCCTTCGCTTCACTGACTCGTTATACCAACTGCGATTGAATCGTGACTTTATTCACTCTGAAGAAGGAGAGCGCTTGTGGTAGCGAATTATGCCATTGATGCTGCCCCCTTCCGCGCGGTAGACCGCGGTAAATAACGCACGCATTGGGGGCCAAGACATGGGCCTGAATAGAGTACAAAAATAAGAAGTGGCTGCTGCGGGATCATGCAGGAACCTTTGACGCCCCATTGTGAGAGACATCTCGTGTTTATCTGATTGGGGGCCAAGCGAGGAGTCTGCCTTGTTACAGCATGATGAGAAGATGTTGTTGGCTCTATTCCCAAGATGACATACCTCCGATGCTGTTGGTTTAAGCTTACAGGATAAAGAATCCTCGAGTGTAACCTCGCGGACCCGAAATAATCTGCCGATGTTGTATATGAAACCTCCGGGTTCGTGATGCGGCCCGGCTCCGTTGTTGCAGCCACCAATCACAGCATCACTTGAAGCGCTGCTGAAGATCCCAAGATCACAACTCACAACACGCCCATGCTATCTGTAATCCTTCCTTCGAGCGGCAGAAAAAGCCTCATGACTTGAATCTGGCAAGATACAACCAACAACAATGCAAGTGTGCCGCAGTAAGGTCAATGAAACGACGCAACCAACAGCCCCCATCTGTTATGGCGATTGTGCGAACTCGACCTTTGCACTGCGGTTCCTTCAAACTTGCTGCAGTCAAAAAAAGGAACTAAGGTCTTGAATGAGTCTCCAAGGTTGTGGTTATTGCTATCCTATAACTATGTGTCCATTGCCAGTCCAGAGTTTCTCTGGAACAGTTCTATATCCCTTCTATCATTTACAATTCAGTTGAACACTGATACAACCATTGAATATGCATGCAAAACGCAATGTATCAGGGAGAGTTACCTTGAGTTCAATTTCACTCGTTCTTTTGTCACTCTTCCTTCTCCATTCCTCCTTCACCCCCTCCTTTCGTCTATCGTCTTGGAGTTCTCCTGCTGTCAGCCTTGAAGATGACTTTCGTAACTCTCTCCCCCTTGGTATTCTCACCAAACGGGAGGATGGGCAAGTCGATGTCTTTAAGAAAGCCCTTGACAAGGGCAAAGGGCTCTCCTGTGATATGGTCAAGTCACAAGAAGAACTCGAAGAAGAAAATGGAAAGTCACTGGAGTCACCATCCTACCTCCAGCAATCTGGCATAGAAGAGATAGAAGGTTGGGAAATAGAGGGAAACGCAGAACCCAGCTTCAAGGACTATCTCGATGAAGCGCTGGCAGCTCTTGGAGTTTCCACGGATCTTCATCATCAGAGCTGGATGCACACATCGGGAGGAATCATCTCAGCCACTGATCCGGGTGACTTGGCTAGCGGAACAAGAGGCACGGTATGTCAGATAATTCTTGTCCTACTCGGTCCTAGATTACAGAACTCAGTCAACTAATGCCACTCGCAGCAAACAGGGGCCTACTTTAGGAACTCTTTTGTTCTCAATCCTGGTGTCATAATTGCTGATGTCAATTATGCAGTCTCGGCCGCTACAGGAGGTAATGATAACAAGATGACAGTTACTCATGTCAAAAAGGTAACGAACTTCTCCCCAATACGATTCTTTCTGCTCCGAGCTGACAAGATACCAGTGGAGTGATGCTACCTGGATGCAATGGGTAAGTATGCCGGGCCATTCTCAACCCCTCTCAGTATAAATTCTTCAATACACTAACTCGTTCTGATGACAGGATAGGGTCTGTACTGAAGCTGGCGGGGACGTCGAAGGTCTGAGGTACATTATTCGTTCCAAGATCGAGAACCACACCACTCTCGAAATAATATTCAAGGCCATCCTTTCCAGACACGATAGAAACCCAAGGAGGAACAAAAAGACAATCGGAACCTGGAGAAACAGAATAACGTTCACTGCCGCAAAAGACAAAGAGGAGTTCTCCGCCATTCTGGGTAGCCCTAATGGAGCGGGGGCAGCTTTCATGTTGATCAACCACAAGAAACGGCTTGGGGTGAAGACGATCAAAAGGATCGACGTGTTTGTTCCGGAAGGAAGCTTTGAAGTTACTGAGACCAAGGTTGAGGAGAAGCACGAGAAGTGGAATGTTATGCTACTGATGTATATTGTCAACCCTTGATAAGGCTGCCATGTGGTTGAAGACTATGGGCAATTGGGAGATCTTATTACAACAGATTCAACCTAGTGCGTAGTCTTTGAGGCAATAAGCCTGATATCTTACCCTCAGCTTACAATGATATTATTATAACTATTATATAACCTAACATAAATACGTGTAGGGTTAGATTGATACTTGTTATAACTGTTGTACTTCTTCATCTTGAATTCTTGATGCTTGTGGCCCTGTCACCAGCTTCTTTTGGCATATCAATTTATTCATGTGCAAACACCGATCAGGTGCTAGCTTGGAACCGCTACCTGTCTGTATGCGATCTTAGTATGCGGCATCAGAAGAACAAAGGTAATATGCATGGATAGCAACAACCCGATGCCATATTTAGAGACGGTATTCGGCTATCGAGGTCAACTATTCGACAGTTCTTTGCTTCTACGTTGTGCCTCTTGTCGCTCCTCCAGCTCTTTCTTCCATCCAAGCCTCAGTCCAGCTTTTATATTTACAACCTCATCAAAAGGCAAGACACTCTCCCAGGCGAAGAAATAGAAGGTATCATTTCCCAGCCAGTGTTTGCCAACTGGCGAGTGCATGCCCAAAAGATACATCCTCCATACGTCCCAGAAGGCAAAGCCGAGAGGGCGGAACGAGTTGAACTTTACACCTTCGATTGGGGATGCGCCACCGGTAGGATGATGACGAGGTTTGTTGAGAGCTTTGAAGATGGACATTCCGGGAGCGTCGTATCCCAGGCTGTCCTTGGTTCGGCCCCAGCTATAGTCCTCGGTTTTCTCAACGCGCGTAAAAGTACTGCCATCTTTACGATGGTGGGTAACCTTTGCAAACTGAGGGCTGAGGTTGGGCGGCGCTGTGGTCCATCTCGCAAACCGGGGAGGTCTGGGTAACTGGTAGTATGTATCTTGTATTAAGTCCCCAAGTGTCTTCAGATAGTCCATCACAGATCTGACCTCTTCAGACGCCATAGCCGGGTTACCTCCAACGGCATCGGCAAAGTCGGCAGCTTCCATGCGACCAAGTTTCTCAATGTCTTCCGTCGGCCAGCCCAAGTTTTCCTTCTGGCTCTTTATCTCACCAACAAGCTGTGTTACCCACAGAGCACGTACAGCTCGCATCTCCTCTACCCATGTAGGTTGTCCCGCGTCAGTCACCTTGGCAGGTTCACCTTTGAACACTTGATCCCAGGCCCGAATGCGTTTACCATCTGGGTCAGGTCTGTATAAGCTGGTGTAGCGATCCTCTGGATTAACAAGATGTAGTGGTCTGAAGCTAGGATCTCGCACTCGTTCAAGACATGATGTCAAAAAGGCTTGGGCAAGAGCAGTTATGTGAGCGGCTGTTGCAACAACCGATCGAACGACCACCACGCAAGGCTCCGCAACAGACAGCATCTCACGGTCAATAATTATAGGATCAGGATTGCTTCCCGAATCGCCCCATGTCGATTGAGGGAAAAGCGAGCGCAGGAACCGGATTTGTAGGTCATAAAGGTTCCGAAAAGGGTGGTCATTTGAGCGTACAAGTATGACAGCACGCACAGCATTCGCAATCTCGGATATAAGTATCGCGTTTGGGCCGGAGAGTATAGCGTCAACAATGGTAACAGCATGATCGTTGAAGAGGCGCCATACTTGAGGGGATGCCCTCATAAGGTCCCAGAGAATGTCCAGCCCTGGAAGGTATGTGACAATAGGAAGTAAAATGTCGGGAGGTAGTGTCTCTAGGGATGCTGCTGAACTATGTTGGAGGATAGACATGATGTTGGGTGTCAAATTGGTGAATTTAGTGAAGAGAGAAGAAGGTTTGAATGAGTGAAGAAGATATCCTAGCGGGGAGGTGAGCGCTTAAAACTCACAGTCGACATCCATCCTTCACGAAACATGAGTGACCAACAGTCATACCCCTGTAAGTTGTTGGCTGCACTCGCTCAAAAGTTGCACCCGAGTTGGATACTTCGCCGATCATGGCCTATTCTTGTGGCCGTCCACCTCCACAGTTCATGGCATGGAAACCCAGTGGTTCAAAAGTGTGAGGTGGTGCCGCCCTGGACCGATTTATAGCGCTAGCTAACGGTGGGGGGCTCACTATGGTCATAGGGAGTTTGCTGATGAAATGGCATTTGTTAAACTCGATGAAACAAGACAGCCTGGGAAGAACATATAAATGCCACTAAGCATTATCATAAAGATATAAGCATTAGAGTTGAGGTATCAAAGTTCAGGCTCGAATTGCCTGGCATTGTCAAGTTCAATTCCGGCGCACTCCATTTACTGGCCTCCTGTTCCGGCGCCTGAAGCACCGTACATAACAGATAACGACGACGACAAGAACAAATACCCCAATCATAGGCAAACCGATTACCAGGAACTTCCCTCCGCCCTTTGAGGCTGGTCCATCGTCTGGGGGGTGTCCTATCCCAATTGCCATCGGGAATCTCATCTACAGGAGTCCAAGTCGGGACATTCATATTGTTGGTCAAGGTCAGCAGCTGCGGCGTCAACGTTGAAGTGTCGGATTTATTCCAATACACAGTCCAGGCTTCATGCAGAACCAAGGTACCGCCTGTTTCAGAATTGCCTGGATTAGTTCGAGCATCGGTATTTTGTGTCCAACGACCGCAATTCTTGGTCGAGTAAGACTCAGATAGGGCGATGTCCCAATCTCGGTCCTTTAAAGGAGTATAGCCACTGAAATAGACCTCCTGGTTACAATTCGTTCTCAGTATAAAAGTATAGTACATTCGAACTTGTTACAACAACGGGCCATCGATAGCTCAGAAGTTGTTGTTTGCATGTCGTAGTATATCCAACCGCTCGGGCAGACTGCCGGATAAAAGTCAAAGCGACTTGTACGGATAACATCCTCCCAGCCAGATGGATAACATGACGAATCAGCAGTCGAAAGGATAATTGGCACAGGAGACTTTGGATGGCCAGAAGGGAAGACGCTTGTTTGGACAAAGTTTGAGTCGCATCCAGGTGGTTGTTCAAATGGCGTGGTGAGACTGAGAAGTTTCGTCGCTGTAGGCGTGATTACTTGTGTCGTTGACGTATTAAAAGAAGAACTTTCGCTTGTAGACTCGGTGTTAGTTGACATTGTTGTGGCTGAAGGTGTAGGCAGAGGGCTTTGCACGAAGAGGCTGCATCATGGGGAGCTTGACTTTTAACAGTTTATGAAGTAGTGGCACAGCCAACATTCAGACAGGGTTCCCTAATAATATTGCAGGAGAATACAAGTCAACCAACAACCAACACATTCAAAAAAAAAAAAAAAGTTACCTAGACCTAGTAAGATGATCCTTGTCGTGGTTGAAGCATGGGACCGTTAGTGGGTTCTGCACCCAACATTCAATTTTAAGCTTAAAGGTTACTTGAGTCCCTTAGTGAGTGTTCTTGGCAGCCTTTGTGGGGATTCATTTACGGGATCTAGTTGAACGGGGCGGAAAGAGAATAAGGCAGAAAGTCAGCTTGTACTAGACTCGCTTGTCTCTTTGCTACTGCTCCTCTCCCTCTCCCCTGTAGAGCCAAGCCGCAAATGGCGCCACGGAAGACGATAGAGAATATAAGAGCACTGCCAGGCCATATACTCCTTGAATTACTTCGAGAACTCAGGAATAGACCTGTTAAGACTGTTCCGTTATAAAAGTGGTTCACAAGATGGCACAGCCCAGCCAGGTACAGCCTTGCAGTGAGCCTTCCCAGTTGGCCAGCCATGTCTTGTTCAGCCAAGCCGAGGTGGAACAGGAGCGGGTTTCTCCACTGTTTCCCGCCCGTTACTCTGTCATTTCATTTCTTCCATCAACTGGCTCACCTTACCTCAACACCAAGTTCAAGTCATGATACCAATATTCATCAATCCATTTCACAGCCTCCAGAACGAAATTGTACCTGACCTCATGCACTGGATCAGGCAACCCAATCGCTACGATGCCATGATTACAGGGATCTCCCCCACTGGGCTAAGATCGATCGGGGTTCCAGATGCAAGTGACCCCTGCCTAATTTCCTTTGCGATGGCTACATGAGGCTGAATTTTACCCCTTCCCCGTCACGATGCGCCATTAACAAACTCCCATCGCGCTGCCATGTTCAATCGAAAGCGTCGCGGCGTCGCGGATGAGGAACGGCTCAGCAGTTACGAGCTCGACTGGCCAACATCGCAACGATGGAAGCCAAACTACTCTGTCCCGCGTAACTCACTCGAGTATGATCCCAATGCATCACGAGACTCATTTGACCCAAGTAAAGAGCCCGAGAGACGGCCCAATGTACCGCATCCAATGTCTTTCGGGAGTCGGCGCGACATGGACACACTTGCGAAGGCTATTCGACAAGGAATCCCGGAAGAGGGTGCCGACGAAGAGGAGTTCTCTAATCTGAAGCTTTGGATCGAGACGATGTCGGAGTTGTACATGAATGATCTCGATAATCGAGCTCGGTGGGATCCGCGATGGCTCAATGTTACTCGTAGAGAGCGCTTCGAAGGACTGGAGTCAGTGGCCATTTCGGTGGTCGACTACTTTGCTAATGAGACGGTGGAGAAAAGCGAACTCATCACGACAAAGAAGGGCCTCGCGGTAGCTCTCGACTCGCGACCGGAAAGTTCCAAGGTGCGGGTTATCATGGTTAGCGATTTGAGTCGCTTCGTCATGGGTGTGCTGGGTCAATTGTACTCAGTCGATCCCGAATTTTGGTACGAGCATCTCATCGCCTCAGGGTACTGCGCAAGCGACAGTGGTCTCAAGTTGAAGAATGCAACGTGGATGAACTGGGCCGAACAAGAAACGCGCTTCCGCCATCGTCCTCTCCCGGGTATTGGTCAGCGAACAGAATGGAATCTCTCTCGTCGAACGAAGGCTCGGAAATGGGCGCATCTTCGTTGGGGTCGACTTGGTCTTCTTCACTATCTTGGTCGCAAGGGTTTTTACGAGGATGAGATTGCGAAGCGTATATCTGATGGACGCTGGACTATTGAACGAGACGTTGTTCTTGACAAGTATGGGTTACTTCTGACTGACAAGAGAAAGAAGCGTGCAGAGAAGAAGATGAAGGAAAGGAAGAAGAAAGAGGAAAAGGCGAAAAAGAAGAACCCAGAGGTGTTTGATGTTCCGAAAACATCTAGTGGCCCCGAGATTGAAGGCACGACAACGAGGACCAAGACATCCAACGTGTACCGACCCTACAGCACGTTCCACCCTGTGCTACCGCAGAACCCAACGTACTGGGACAATCGAGATCTCAGAGTCATGGCTCCAGAAGGCATGGGTTATTGGTCAAGTGTTGACAAGGAAGGCCGGAAGACAAGTGAGTATGTTTCCAAGCAGACTGCCAATGTAAACTGACACGCGCAGTCATTCTGATATTTGACCCACCACGAACTATGCAACATGATAAAACCAAGGAGACAACACCATCTCTAACATTCATGCCTCGAGCCATGGAGTTTGAATCGTATACGGATGAAGAGCTTTGGCGTGTCGCTGACCCCGATGAGACGTACCTGGATCCACCTGCGCCAACCTTTACAAAGAAGCAATTGAAGAAGGACAAGAAGGAAGCCAGAAGAAGGCGGGCGCAGGCTAGAAGGAATCAACATCAGCAGTCAACTGCTGTCAATGAGAAAGGCAACGACACCGATTCAGAATACTCTAGCGACTCCGAATTCGACGAAGAGTATCGAGACTCACTTCGAAACGCCTACAAAGATCGTCAACATTTACTGCGCGATCGCGACTTTGCGCGCAAGTACTCTCTATCCACTTTTGATCTTGTGTACCGATACATCAGCAAGATACCCACCAGCACGCTCAATCAGGACGACTCGATGATACCATCGGTCCTCACGCGACTCCCATTCGATGATATGTGGCAGCTCCTAGCCGAACTCCGTCTGATGCAAGATCATGTTGATGCTGATCTTGGTGCGGATTTGCATATTCACTTGCTTGAAGCTGCTGGCACAATGACAAGACAGAACGTCGCGTGGATAAGGTCGACGTTGCAGGAGTTGAGTGAGTGGATTGACCATATCAAAAAGTCCAAGAACATTCTCAATCTACCCGAAGAGCTGGAAGAAGAGATGACCGAGCTCACGGCTGATCTGCAATCCCTGCAATCACGCTCAGAACAAACGCTCAATCTCCTCGTCGCTTCAACAGGCATCGCCCAATCATCTCTCGTCATCGATCAAACGTCTGGTATCAACAAACTCACCGAACTTGCATTCTTCTTCATCCCCCTCTCTTTTATCACATCCGTTTTCTCCATGCAAGTCGCAGAACTCACCGAATCACCACCCAAGATGTGGACATGGGGCCTCTCTCTCGGCCTTGTCTTCCTCATAACATATCTCATACGCACTTTTCTCCGGTCCCCTTCCGTCAGGCTCTACGCAATGCAAGTTCGTGTAACAATGCTCAACCGTTTTACGCCTAAATCCCGGTCTGCATCGCACCGGCTCAATTCCGTTGGCAACCGTGCTATCGCCACGTATCTCTTCTTCTTCCTCACCTGCTGCGTCTTCATCCTCATTATCGCCGCTCTACTTCTCCTCTTCATCTTCCTTGTACATTTTGGTCTCTGGGCTGCTGCAGCTGGCACGGCGATATACTTTATCATCACGCGATGGCCCGAGCCGGCAGTGCTGGCACCTTGTTTCATCGTGATTGTTCTGTCGGTCATTGGCCTTTGCGCTTCGTGGTATTGGGCTACAGACATACAGGTGTTTTGGGAGAAATGGAGTCTTGCGACGGCAGAAATGATTGGGAATCAGTTGCCTGACAAGTGGAGGTTTGATCGAGTTGATGATGACGATTTGGCGGATGAGGGTGTCAATACTTATGCTCGACAGGCAATCTTCTTTGCGTCAACATAAGCTGCCAGTCGGGGCTTGCATGAATGCTTGTGTTACCAGGGATGTTTCTGGCTTTCAGTAACCCTGGCCAATTCTCTGCATCTACTGCCTGTGCGTTTGTGCATCCATTGGTCTGGATGCCCGCCAGCGCCAAGCGGCTGCGAGAGTACTGCAAGCGACCTCATGTGCCATTTGGCATAATCTTGCGCGCAGCACACAAATTATATGGCGCATTGGTCATTCTCGATAATTAAATGGATGATGCCCCTACCCGTATTGACATCGCGGGGAGAGTCGCAAACAAGTCACGACAAGCTTTTGTGAACGCCTGACAGCTTTTGGCTTCAGTGCTGGATCGAACAGTGACGGGCAGTGGCATTCTTCTTGATCGTTTGCCTGCATCTGCTGATTTATTAAGCGCATACGGCCTTTCGTGATTTGCTGCGGGTAGTCGCTTCCGTGAATAATCATTCTGCTCACATCCCTCAGTCGTTTGCCGCAAACCACCTCCGCCTCATTTCACAACAAACATCTCGTCAATTTGAAACTCATTTATGCTCTCAACATGGCTCAGAAGGATATCGATATGTCTGACATTGATCCCGCGTTGTGGATAACATCCGAAACTCACTCATACAACGATTGTTCTGAAGAAATGGAAATCGAAGAGCAATACGCCGTAGATGACCTGTGCGCATCTTCAACACGCGCTTCTTCCTACAAGCTCCTCTTTGGAGGGAACTACTCCGACATATCGATCGTCTGCCGCGGTCGCGAGTTCAAAGTCCATCGTGCTGTTGTATGCACTCAGTGCGAATGGTTCGAGAAGGCATTCACAAGCCCGCCTAAGGTACGCTCTCTTTTTCCCCAACAACGATCCCTCTTACTGACTTCTTTTCAGAAGCGCACCATTAGGAGTGTGGCTCTTGATGAAGACCCCGAAGTCTTTCAGCATTTGCTCGAGTTTCTCTACACCGGAACATACACTGCTCAAAAGCCCTCAGTATCGGATGAAGCCGAGAGAGCGAAGGAGATTCAAGACAGACTTGAAGGTCATCCACGTTGCCCCATCGCCAAAGACAATGTGCCAGAGCGCCCTGTCAGACGATCAAATAGGTTATTGTCAACTGCACCCGCCACGACACAAACAGAACCCTCAGCCAAATCATCTGAAAGCTCACCACTCGAACTAACCCTTGCGATGAATCTCTTCTTCGTGGCTCAAAAGTTCAACATTCCCGCTCTTCAACTCCTCTGCCGAGATCGTTTCTACACCGCTGCCAGAAACCGCTGGGTCAGCAAGACGTGGACCAACTGGGAAGCTACCAAGGAGTTTGAAGACGTTGTGCTGGAGGTCTACGTGTCTACCGAGGAGGTCAACACGCCGTTGTGGAAGGCTTTATGCAAGTTGATTTGTGTGAAGAAGGATGGTGATAAGATGAAGGAGAGGATGCTGGCTGTCAAGGGGGAGCATATTGAGCTTGGTGCTGGTGTTGCAAGGTACATGCTGGAAATGGGTGGCAGCTAGTTGACGGCTGGTCTAGCGAGACCTTGGGGCAGGATCACGCTTTGTTTTGACGCTTGGTTTGAGCTTTTTCAAAAGATAGATATCAAACTTTCCAGCTTTTATGAACAGGAAGTTGCACAGAATTGTTTGAATGGTCCCTTTTTCGAGTGTCTACTCCTCATTGATTGGGAGTAGAGCTTGGTTCGTGTCCCAACTATCAACAACCGTAGCCTTGACCAGCTCAATAGCCTTCGCAACCAACTCCCGATCATTCTGAAAAGTCAACTTCTCCAAAACCCCTTCATACCCACACCACTCAACCTCAAACTCATCCTCACATCTCCCGACAGGTTCATTCTCATTGACAGCAGCGACATACCACCAAATCAACTTCATCTCACCCTCGCCAATCCTTCTCATCTGCACTGATGTCGGTTCACAAACACCTTTGAAAACACGCGCTACATCAGGGACATCCGTTTCTCCAGAAGGACAGGCACGAGATTTCATGTTGATGGGTAGTAAACGACAGCATATTCCTGTTTCTTCGGTTGTTTCGCGGATTGCAGTGTACCAGCGTGATTCGTTTACATCGCGACGTCCTTTGGGGAGGATGTGTTCGTTGCGCTTTACATCGCGAAGAACACAGACTTCGTGGGTTGAGAGGCGGAAGAGAATAGTTCCTGCGCTTTCGACGAACTTTTCCGATGTTAAAGTTTCTGTCTGGTAATGGGAGGTTGCCATGTTGGCTGGACTAGTACTAGGCTGGTCTTGTTAGACTGTCTAATGAGGCGATTTAAGCTGGGTCTTACTTTCTCAGTGTGTCAAGACAATTATACTGATTTCTCAGGTGCGATACTGGACTTTTATGGAGGAAAAATGAAATGCGAAGTGAGGAATGAGTAGAAAAGGGATAAATCGGTGAGATGAGGTTGAGCGCTGAGTGCTGCAGTGTATGTGTGAAGTGGGGCGCTTCGAAGGTTAAGTCTGATACAACCTGAGCCTATCAATGCTGCCTTGTATTCACTATAACGAGGACACTTGAGATAAATTTGACAAACTCAGCAACATCTAACAACAGGTTTGCTACCATAATATCCATCATCTCAATCTTTGAATCAATACTCTGAATGGCCAAGAAGGCTCTTATGAATGCGTTTCCATCACAGCAATCTCCGACATAATTTTGATACAGTGGTGAGAGCACAAACGAAAGAATCCTGCGATAGTGAATGTCGGTATCGACACTTTTGTAGATGAGAGATCAAATAGTTTCCTACTAAATAATGCATACTCAACAAGCTATCCGATACTACGAGAACATAAGCGTTCAAGCGACACAAAATCATCTTATACGTTTTTTTTTTTATTCAAAGTGCCAGTGATCAAGTGAAGTCACCTGAAAGGTGAGAGACAGCATACCTTAGTCAAAGAATCAAATTCACTTTGATGATCATAATGTTGTTACCTAGACATAAAGCTCAAGATCTACCATCTGGACAGCGTCGTGCTTGACGTATGAGGGATCATGAGACATCTACAGGCAGACTTCAAGAGCTACCTACGACTTTATTTCTAGAGAAATTCTGATAGCTACGGCGTAAGACCGTGACTAATACTATATTCTGTCCACATCAATTGAGACTACTATGGAAAGAAAACAGAGCTCAATTTATGTTCAGGTCACCACTGTCACGAATATCACCTGGTTCGCTTCCACAAAACTCAAATTTTACCAGTCATTATTAGCAATAACTGAAGATGAAATGAGAGCTCGGCAATAAAAGTGCCAAATTATTGATGAGATTGCCTCGCCATCAGCAAAACTTACTTACCCGACAATTCCATCTCTTAAGCCACAGCATCTCATCTCAAACCTTAACACCACCCACCCTACACCAAATCCCTCACTCGATCCGTCCCGCGGGGCAAAAGATCCAGACCGGGAAAAAGATCTAGACCCCTCAATAAACATTCCCTCTATTCTGTGGCGACAAACTCCAACTCTCCCATATTCATATCTAACTCCCAGCCATAACTCTCTTTATCCATACCAATCCTTCCAAACCACTACCGAAATACCACTCGATGGCGTTATACCACGCCGCGTAGATCCCGACGGCGCAGCCCATCGCCAAGACTGGCACCCAGAAAAACTCTCCGGCTTGGTCTAGAAGCATGCAGGTACAGCCGATCCCTGCCTAGTGCGGACATCCCCTGGGCGAGACGTCAGCCAAGAAGTTTGGCAGACGTTGGGGATGCAACGCAGAATCTTGGCCATGTACGCCATGTGTCACGAAACTCGATTGTCAGAAGCCTCAGTTGCACAAGTCATGCAAACACAATTGACGACAAGCAACAGTCTAATGAATTGGTATATGTCATGAATGGTCAAAAACACGCTATGAATGAACTCCTAACCAAATGGTTATGATCAACCTCTATAGTAAACCCTTTCCATCCCTGAATACCTCATCATACCAGCGTGACTCCATCTCGTCCGCTTCATTACTGGCTTGACAGATCGTATCCCAATCTGTCGACCGTAATTCCCAAGCTTTTGTGTCCTTGTTTTTTCCGAACAATAGCGACGCGCTCCCCTTAGCCTTTGCGCCGTATGACCAAACCTCCAGGTTGCCATCATTGGCGGTAATGCTCGCTAACGGTGTTGTTGTGTTTGCTGTCATGTGCGCCTCGAGCAGGTTGCGCAGCTGGGGAAAGTACCACGTCTTATCCCACCATGTCGATCGACGGGCCTTTAATCCATCTCTCCAGGCGTTGTGGTGTATCGCGACGGGGACCGATGTCGTCCAGAAGTCCACGTAAAGCGAGACGTCACCCCAACCGCCTTCATGGTCATCCAATTGAGAAAATGGAGCTTCAGCCTTGGAAATGTCGCTTGGCACACCACCTACGCGAGGGGGCGAAACACCAGCTTGGCTTGACTCCTTGGCAATTGAAGAGGGATCGTCAAGTGACACGAAAGCACCGCCGTAGTCAGAGTAGCAAGTCGGGTAGAAAAGTTCTTGTGTGTAATCCAGGCCGACGTGATACTCAAACTCGTCTCGAGCCGAAATCGCTGCCTCTTTTCCGGGGTTGTCGCCGGCAAAGTCTTCTTGCTTGATCTGTCGGCGCCATAGTTCCTGCTCGCCAAAAATCTCGGCAAAAATACCCTGGTCGCCAGCGAGGTCCTCGGCAGACCTGACCTCAAGGAGATCTTGGTCCATGCGATCTTTGACACGTTGGAAGTATCGTCGCATGTCGCCTGCGGGACCCATGAAACTGCCACTGTTGACATACTTGGGGCGCATGTATTTGTATCGCGATACAGTATAGTCGGTGAAGAAGCCGAAGACGTTTTCGGGGAGGGTGCTATCGGGGACGTCGTTGCAGTAGAGGTTCGAGATCTTGTCGCGCGGGGCGATGCAGCCTTTTTGCGCGGCGGCAACGATGGTCTGCTGCATTAATTCTTTGTCAAAGAAGCCATATTCCTCTGCAATACGTCGGTTCGCTCGCTCGTTGCTGCTGTAATATCGGTGCATCATGACGCTCGGAGGTAGTTGTAGCCAAATGTCGTGTGCATCCAGCATGAGCACGAGGTCATCTTCCCCAAGCTTCTCCTCCTCCGATACCTCATCGCCTGTAGCCCATTGTAGGTAGTTGAGGGTACCGGTAATCTTTCCCAGCTGCGAAGGTCCAATACCGTCGGCCTCAGTGTGGAAGTCTTTCTTCCAATTGACAATTACTGGCGCGGGATACCCCAACGCCACGGCGCTGCTGACAACCTTGCAGAGATCGGGACTCGAATCGTCGACGGGCAAAACGATAACGAACTTTCTTTCCCCCGACGAGATGTTGGCTGGGGTGACTAAAGTTTCTTGTAATATCGGACCTGTTGGTCTCCAAATACTATCATTATGGATCTGTATGGTCAGTTTGAGCTTCAACCGGGAAGAAATGAACATACTAAGTAGTAGATTGTGAATGCAAAAGCAAATAAGGCAAATAGTAAAGTTGAACCCTTCTTAACCCATCTCCAATTTGAACCGTTGACACGAAATCTAGGGCGAGGACGCGCAGCGCCAGGGAGAGCAATGTGTGAAGGCATGTGTCATGAGCAGGAACACGTATGTATAGTGTAAAAAAGAGAGAGGAATGTATCAAGGGACAAGAAAGAAACGAGGTTTTCGGATAGGATTGAGCAAAATGTCAAGCCAGGGTTAAGGGAGAGACAGAAGTGGACCTTGGTGGAACAATATACTGAAAGAAAACTGGGCTATTGTAAACGAAGGAAGGACGATCAAGAAGGATGCACACAAAGGAACAGAAAGCAGGATGTTGAAAGGTTGAAAGTGGACAAGGCAGACAGAGCCAAGGAGGGAAGACAAGCACAAGACAATCCGGTATACGGCAGTCATGACAAGGTAGCTGCAGCTCTTCCCACTATAAGCCCGGGCGGTGGAGCACTAATCTTAATCGAGTCGCGCGAGTATCTTGTCGGTGTGAGGCTCATATTAAAGGTACATCGGCCCTGCGGCCCCCAAGCACCGTGAACACGGCATGCTTCACACTAGCGGGCTGATTCGAGACAGATCATCACAGTGGGAGAGTCTGTGATTCGTCAGAGTCACTGCTAGGGCTTGCCGTTGCCGAAGTTAGCACTGGACTCGTTGCTGATGCTCAATCCTTCAAGGCATTTCCCGCTCGTTGTCTCCGTAAAACAATAGAAGCGCCAAACAATGATCATCATTAAAATTCCTGACATATCCAGTGACAGAACTTTGTAAATGTAAGCCAAGATTGTCGTTCCAAGGTTATAACCCTGTTGACTTGCAATACCAAGCATTGGCATCGAGATTGCACCAAAGGTAATTCCCGAGTTAAATGCTAGAGCTCCACCAGCGCTAACCCCGGCCCCCAAGTCGACGTACCACGATGAAACATTCCTTCTCAGCACGGCCGCAAAACTCGTTCAGGAGATGTATATCAGGGGAGCATTGTGCTGACGGGCTCTGCCTAGTGTCGTCAAATCATTTTAGCTCTTCGCGCAGACTTTTTCTCATGCAATTTATCAGCTGCAGAACAATTTAAGACAGTAAGCAGCGCCCCTGAGTCTGGAAGCAGCCACGTTCACGAGTCCAAACGCAAAACACTTGACTGGCCAGAATGAAACAAATCTGAGCCACCACCAGCGCCATTTCACAAGGTCTATCGCCCCATTAAGCCCTGTACATATCAACATGAGATACTTTCCGGTTGCCGACGGACCCTTCGAGGCGCAGTAATTAATGCTTGTTTTTATTTTTTGCCGAAAAAGTCTGTCGCAGCCCGCGGCGATGCGAGAACCGGTTACAGAATTGTTTTGAACTGTTGCAAGGCGCAGGTGTAGATCAGTAGAGAGGCTCACTAAAAATGACGACAGGAGACAAGACGCACGCAACCACAAAATCGGGCACTTCTTCTTTGGGTGTGACTCGTTCTTCTATGGGACAACCGTTTTGATTTGGCTGCCGTGTTTGCCGCGCGTGGTTGGCGGGGCTGACTTTTTGGGGCTGAGCTGGGCCGGAGTCGGGCGAAATGTCATCACAAGCCTCCTGTTCTGACCACGAAAGGTTCATAATCCTTCTATTCTTGGCATATTCTTATGTATGCTTATTATTGAGTCCTAGACATGGATGGTCATCCTCAAAGCTTCATTCGTAGCCGAGCTGGAGACAAGCCTGACAAGCTACTTGCTAGTGAAGACGCTATACGTAAATCCCCAACAAATACGCAAATCCTGGAATTGTCATTTGTTCGAAACTGGATGCCTGCTCAAAGGATTCACATGCATAGCCTCGCCTGGTAACAGATGTCACAGTGAAGATGGTGGCCTTGCCACGTATATTTGTCAAATTTGGGTAATAGCCGAGCTTTCAGCTTTTGCAGCAAGCAGCATTAGCCGGGCTACAGCTTGCCATGGGTGTCAGTCACTTCAGATCTCGACACTAAAGGACAGAAATACTCAAACAAGCTGAGCATAACTGATGATAAACTCAACAGGTTCTTGACTACCTTGGATAATTATTTTTGTACACTCATGAAGTCTAACTCCTTATGCCCCCCGAATTCTAACGCCGGACACTTTCAAAACCATCATGCCATCTCAGTCATCTGACCAGGACCAAACTTAATAGCATAGTCCATGACTCCAAAAGCAAACTCCCCATGCTTTTCAAAGACAGCCTTCAGCTTGCGTCTGACCTTTTGGTCATGTATCGCAGTCCCAACAAGCCTGCACAGAGTTTCTTTCAACACAGCGCCTCTCGGGGGCATAGTATCATACAACTCATCAACCATGGCAGGGAAGCGCTCGGCGTCTTTCCAAACGAGCTCTACGGCATGGCAAAATCGATCAAGCGCTAGAGTTTGAAGCGCAGGGACCTTGTACTTAACTGCAATGAGGTAGAGTCGGAGATGTAGTGTCATGTCATCGCTTGGATCAGCGTGTCGCTTGGATCCTTCTGATTGATGGTGGACTGCTGGTCCATCGGTCTCCATAGGGAGCTCGTTGTTCTCGTCGCCAGCTGCAACATCGTTGTCTGGGGGAGTGTTCTGTTCCTCATCGCCGGAGACTTCCTGCTCAGATCCTTGCACGGAAGACTTAGTATCCGTTTCTTGGTTGCCGCACGTCACGCCGTCACTGTAGGTCCCGGTGTATAAGAACTCGAGCAACCGCTCCACGATATTAGGATCATCTTTCTCGAGCTCAATAGACCGTAACGTGGCTTCCTAGACATTTCGGTACATTAGAAGAGTCGCAATGCTGTCGGGAACAGCTTTGAAAACGTACCTTGAAGTTGCTGGTCATGGCTCTATCAATGATAGATGATTGCGTGCACACAATCGCGCGATGGGCCTTGAACTGTCGTCCGCCGCAGATGATGATCATGTCTGAGAACTTCTCATTATCAAGAAGGGTTGAAAGTGATTTATGAATAGATGTAGTATTTGATGTCTGGATGGAGCCACGGTTGCCGTATCCGAATTCGTCTGATGCGGGAGATGCTCCGCGAGAGCGGTTTCGTGCCGCCAGCGTGGGCGATGATGCTGCTCCCGAGTCCATTTTCTGAACAGCCTAGGCTCGAGCCGGACCTCCAGAAGGAAGTGTTGTCGTGATCTCGTGGTCTTGCCCTGAGGCCTTTGAGGAATCGCAGCCCGAGGTACGGTTAGGTAACTGGTATATCCAAAAAGTCAGTTTCAGCCGGGATACTGATGTATGCAGGGCGAGCTTTGATTTTTGAAATGATGATGCAGAAGTTGAATGATGGAAGTTTTGAATGTTGGTTGCCAAGTTGTATTGCAAACGGGAGTAGATATTTGGAAAGTTCGATCTTAGCACGCCGCAAGATGCACCGTCTGTTGTTTCCTCCATACGCTCAAGTTATTGGGGGCGTGACTTGCCTCGTTCGATTCTCTGGAAATACAAAGCAATTTACTTCTGAATCGTTACTACCTTGCTCTTCGGTTCTCCCGCATTGAGGCACAGGAGGGTTTTTGTGGTGCTGAGTTGGATCGTCTTGGCGGACGGATTGGAGCTTCTTATACCCTGTGAAGGGAAGCAAATGAGTCATCTTTTAGGTTTTCTTCTTATTAGTATTTATGCTATAGTAATTGGTCAGGCATTGTGGTATAATGCCCAAGTTGTGAGCTAGATGTATTATTTGCAGTTGAGACCTGTGGCTGAGAGCTTATATCACCACACAGAACTTAGCTCTTTGAGTAGAAGCTTATATTGTGAAAAAGAATATCGTGTCCTCATTATCTGTGTTGGCAGCCTAAAGTTTAACCTTATGGCCAGCAATCAGCTACGTAGTTGCCTAAGTTCTAGCCAGTCTCCCACTTATGAACCATCAAGATGGCATCGGCAAACTCATCCGGAGCTTCCATTGGAAAGGCATGTCCAACATCAGCCTCTCTTCTCTCATAACGACCAGAAAAGTGCTCAGCATGTGCAGCAGTACCACCCGGCTTCAGCGGATCCTGCAGTCCGTCCAAACTGATAGTCGGAACATTTATCTTAGGCTGAGCAGCTAAAGCATCTTCCAACTTCTGCAAAGCTAGATCACCTTTTGCATTACCAAAGCAGAACCTGTAAGCATGAATGACAACGTCGACAAAATCAGGATTATCAAAAGTTTCTGCTGTGCGGTTGTAAAAGTCCTCCGTGAAAGAGAATGAAGGTGACCATTGCTTCCACAGAATTCGACAGAGCTCCCGTCGACTCTCTGTGAGACATGCCACTCCCCGTTCCTGTTGGAATAAGTGTTGATACCAACAAACACATTCCAAGCTTGGTGCAAAAGGTCTTTGATAACTTGAAAGGTCTGCAATGTCATAGCCTGCATATGAGACGAGTCCGACAACACGTTCAGGCCAGAGAGCAGATGCAACGCATACAGACATTCCACCCCAGTCAAAACCGCCGAGAATGGCCTTTTCGATGTTCAAAGCATCCATGAGCTCAATGACATCCGAGCCAAGAGCTGTTTGCTGACCACTTCTCATGGTTGATTCTGAGAGGAAGCGTGTTGGGCCGTAGCCACGGACATAGGGAACGATGACTCTTGCGCCGCTCGAGACGAGTTTTGGAACGACTTCATCATATGCGTGGATGTCGTATGGGAAGCCGTGATATAGAAGAACGGGCCAGCCTGATGAGGGGCCGTGGTCGTAGTACCCGACTTCGAGGGTTCGTGTCTTGATTGTTTTAAGTGACATGATTGTCTTAAGTAGGCAACTGCTCGAATTGACGGAGATGATTTTTAAGTCACGAAAATGCGTGGTGTTTCATTGTTGCTTTACGCCTTGTGTTTGACATGTACTATCATTCCTGATGCAACAATGTGACGTCAGAGTATTATTAACAATTTGGATAGTAAGCATAGTCAATGTCAACCAATGAATAACGTCTATATGATCCGTAACGTTAGTATCTTGTATTTTTGCCTGCATATAAAAAGAATACTATATTAGGAACCTTAGTTGTTCATGAGTCAGTATGGTCTAAATACTCGTTCAGAGGGCTAATTAAGCTCCGCATTCTGGGGTTACGTTCTTCCTGATACTTGATAACTTCACTTCAACTTCTAGGAACCATCTGAGATTTAGCAAAGATACAATTAGTAAGAGTGTAGGTTAAATGTCAAGACGAATATTATCAGTAAAAACAAGTAAAAAGAAGTTGCCATCAGCGTAACTTTGCTACTGATAGAAGTCTTCGTAAAGTTGACATCAACATCTCTCTTCCTTCTCTCCCCGAAATTTCCAACAAGCCTGATAGACATATTCATATGACATTTAGCTTCCTCCTGTTGGTGACAGTAATACTGAGCGCCGGTGAACCCATTGTTTAGCAATGTGATCTCTATGTCCTTGATATTCAAAGAACGGCGTCTCCAAGAGTGTAATTGATAAGCAAAGGACTGATGAGTTGTATCTCTCTGGCTGTCTTGTAGAAACAAAGTCTGGTAACATGTCTCAAATCTCTGCTCCAGCCACTGTTTGAGATGCGGCCAGGTTTTAAATAGTGAGCCACATGACCTTCTTGGATTTGAGAACGGTGGCCGTGATGTTCTTCGCGAATCGGCTTATTCCCCTTTTCAGGTCATAATTTGACCTGCTGCTTCTATGTGCTTCCAGCTAGGCAGCTACAGCTATATGGTTTGTGCATTTCCAACTTCCAAGCGAGTTGTGTGTGATTATCTTGTGAAATCTAACAGAAGATTCTGGATAATGCATCGTCTCAGACTTCTGAAGTGTAGAAAAATAAAGAGCATCAACTCAATGCAGATCGTTGGTGTATCTTACTCAACCATTAGCCAAGTGGTAAGAGATTGACCAAGTCACAGACGAGGATTGCTTGAGGCGGTCCTGATAGTGTTCCTTCCTGCTAAACTGGAAAAGACAAAAGTTGCAGATAATTCGTCTTCTTCTTGACTAAAGTGTCACTTTATAAAAGGGATCTTGGTAACATATCATATAGAGAAGATATGAGAGATAAAAGGGTGATAGTGTGGTGATAAGCAAGCGGTATAGACGAACTGTGCCAAGCCTGCCCCAAGAAAACTTGTGTTTTTGTGACGTGGGAGAGTGCAGATGCATGTGGCTTCATTGAGACCATAAGAATAGCACATAGCCATATTTATACTAAGATTCTGTTAGTCAATCACCCAATTTTAAAGGCATCCCTTTACTTACAAATCCACCTTGGATCTCGGTGTAAGACTTTCTTGTAATCCTTTGGCGGACACTTTGGGCAAAAGAGGTCGTAAACAGATTTATTTGCACCCGACATCTTTCCACAGGCCCCAAATGAGCCCATGGCACCCAGGCTCTGTTCATAATGACAAAGAGTCTGTTCCATTCGTGAATCGTAGAGCTGTTGGCACCATATACAGGTGAAATGTGTCATTGTATTTTCACACATGTTTGCTGTTTGAAGTTGAGAGATGTGGGAAGTTGGTTAGCGTGTGGGATGTATGTTTTCCGGGAGAAGTTTAGGAGACATGAGCATTGGGAAGTGTAGTCGTATTTATAGAGTGATATTTGAGAAACTATATCTTTACACTCTCTTGTGACTCCTATGTGAATACTTTGGAAAAATTGATGAATTTTTCCAAAGATTTTAGGGTCATAAGCCCCCCGTTAATGAAGTTTGTATGCTATTTGGAACTCAAACCGCCATTCACAGACCATTTGGCTTTTTATCTTTGTCAACTGAACAGGCTTACTGCATTTTACTGGTGGATTTAAACGTGAATGAACAAGCATGCAAACAATAGGCTGCAGTCTTTGGAGAAAAATGCCTTTCAAGTCAAGTAAGGTAGAGAGCCAATGGATAGCGCAAGTGTTTGCCAGTTACAGTTAAGCTCGCCAATACTGAATTAAATCTCATAACGAAGCCTCTCGACCACTCGTCAACTTTAAGCTCGCCGAGTCTCACCCGTGACTCATTTATAGACTCTCTCCTTACCATGAAAAACCACTGACGAGATAGATCTATGTAGATCCATAGGGGAATGGTGGGGCTTAGGGCGCATGCTTTGTCCAGATACTATTAGTAGGAGACAGCTTCAGAGCCTGGGGCAACGAGAGCAAGCCAATGAAATGTAGGGTAAGAAGACAAAGCTTTAGTTGTTTGTCCAAGTTAAGCCTTATTGAACACCATTAGTCACGAAAGGAGTTCCAAAGCTTGGTAAATCCCTAGGATAGATCATTGTATTATTTTATAACCCTTGGGCTCAGGATCAAGTCTGTTATTATCGCAAATACTTAGGCCTATCAAGATTGAAACCTCGCACACATTAACATTTCTCTCTACGCTCTTAGCAATTTCATTTCGATGTCTTTATATCGTGCTCAAATGCAGCCCTTGTTCGAATTATATACAGCTATAGTGTATTTGAAGTCCGTGTCCGTGTCCGTGTCCGTGGCGCAGTAAGATAGGCGTCTCGAAATGCAGGGATCACACTCCGCAGCATGCAGCCTGACGGAGCTCGGCAGATATAAGACGAGCCAAGTGCCTTGACTCTCTTTTCATCTCATTCTCCATTTCACTTCAGACCAACTAAGCATCCCAACATCATTCTTACAATGGCCCCGAATCTAAAATCAATCGTCTCCAGAAATATCCGCGATCATACCACAAGAACAGTCATCAAAAAAGTCCTAGAAGAAAAGGATGGAAATTCTTTGGCGCAATCACCAGAAACTGCGGCTATGGTCCGCGATTGGGAGAGTCTCAGTCAGAAAAGGGGAAAGCAGAGTCTGGAGAATCATGACAGAGTTATTCAAGAGAAGAAGCCAGATGTTGATGGCATGACGGATGAGGAGCTCAGTCGTATCAGCGTTCATATTTCTTCCGTTGAAGAAGAATCTGGAGAACATTCGGATGAGAAGACGAAAGAAGAAGAGACGGCCAAGTTTGATGAGTACAAGCATCATCAGTTTGTACGTCGATGGGGCTTATTACAAGACTCGGATGGTCGCGATGAAGAGTGGTTTATCCTGGATCCGCCTGTTCTTGAAGAAACAGATCCCCAGTATCTGTGCGATATGTGTCGGCATATTGACTTCAAAGTTCTACTATCACAACGGGGCTTGCCGGGAAATCAGCTACCAGGACAGTCCCGCATTTCTGTGTATGGCATCCCTAAGGTCATGGATGACCGCAGTCCCTGCGCATTTTGCAGACTGATTCGCAAGAGGGCTATTCACGATGGAATACTCACGGATGTTCATCCCGATAATTGGCCAGGGATGCAATTGAGTATCAGCACTTTGGATGATGGACCGGGGTTTCCTCTAAGGCTCGAAGTCGAATTCTCAGACCTGGATCGTTCAAAAGTTTCAAGATTGGTGATTCATCCAATCGAGCAAGAGGAAAGTCAATCGAAGCCTCTTCAAGGCCTCGTGGTTCGAAAGGATTCTGCTGATATATCTCGCCTTCGAGGGTGGCTTCATACTTGCAAGGAGAGCCATAAAGCATCAGAAGCTGACTCTACTGGATATCTCAAGCCTCTCATGGATACCCTACGAGTCATTGACACGACCGATAACTGTGTGAAGGAAGTTGACACGCCATGCGATTATATCTGTCTTTCTTATGTTTGGGGAACCGGCAGCCAGACACAATACACTACCAAAACGAAGGACCAACTTAGCAAACCTGGAGGGCTTGAGGACGCCGAACTTCCGCAAACGATTCTTGATGCAATCAAGGTTACAAAAGAGCTCGGTATCCGTTATATCTGGATTGACGCTCTTTGCATCACGCAAGATGACAAGGAAGACAAAGCTAGGATCATCTCCAACATGGGAACCATATACGCCAACGCCATGCTATCTATAATGGCTTCTTCCAACGTCGACCCAACCGACGGATTGCCAGGGGTTGGTGTCCCGCGATCACAGGAACAGAGCATAGAGAAACTGCAGGGGACCACACTAGCCGTTGCATTCCAAGATGCCAGGCAGAGGCACTCTGATATTGAAGATCGACTATGGAACACCAGAGCTTGGACTTTCCAAGAACGAGTGCTCTCACAACGATCTGTTTATTTCACAGATTCGCAGATGTGCTTTGTCTGCCCTCACTTAGCCTGCTTCGAGGACACCGTTCCTGTCTTGGACCCCAATTCATACACGATCACGCCTTTTAACGACCAGCTACAACTAACATCTCGAATTCATGATCTATGGGTCCGTATATGGTCTGATCCAACTCAGGCCACGTACATCAACAAAGCCTTCGCAACAGAAGATGACATGACGATCTTTATTGGCGAGGATCCTGCCACTGGCGAAGCTTCAGAGGATGGTGCCCCATTATACAAATCCAAAGCCATCCCAAGCTCAGACACAGTAGATGCACCTCTTATCAAGGGGCATACGCTCTGGGAGGCGTACGCTCACGCTGTTGATGCATATACCAAGAGAAACATGACGTGGCAGTCAGACGCCGTGAATGCCTTTATTGGTATTGCGGACCTCATTCGCCGTGGGACAAATACCAAGTTTTGGCACGCCATGCCCGAGTTTGCTCTCACGCGATCTCTCTTATGGTACCCCAAAGAACCCCTTTCTCGAAGACGATCACCAGATGGAAAGATCTTGTTTCCCAGTTGGTCGTGGGCAGCTTGGCAAGGTCACGTCACATATCGTGGCAGAGGTTTCCATAACGCCGTTTGTTATGCCCCAACGAGCATGATCACGTGGCTCAAATCGGCTACAGTTGAAGAGTTCATGGAAACGTTTGTACAAGTGGAGAGATCGCAGGAAGAAATCGAAGAACGAAGACGACAGGCCGAGAGTTCACGCCTCTTGTTGCACAAGACTGATGTTTGGTCGCTGTTGCATGTCGACTGCTATGAGCATGGGTGGGTGGTTGAGCGCAATGAGGATCGGAACCAGCATCTCTTCGTACATGATGCGTACCCTGGCATGAAATTTGAGTATCCGATTAATCTTCCTGATCAGCCTATTGTGGAGTTGCCCTTTGAAGATACTTTGTACTTTCGCGCAAAGGCCGTATCAGTACGGTTGTGTGACAAGCCATCTGAGTCGTATTTGGCTTCGCCTATACAGGACAACTTCGTCCAAATAGGAGTCAATGATGAAGATAGGTCCGCCAACAACCGTAGACCTTGGCAGCGTATCCTCTACCATCAAGGTTACCGTGCTGGAAGTCTAAGTCTCAACGTTCCGCTCGATTATCTCAACATCCCCTCAACAACCGAAGAAGCCCAAATCTCGCCCGTGAAGTACATCCTCGTGGCCATATCTCGCGACAGCCTCTCTTACATCGCACCTCCCCCATTGGCTGGGAAATGTACTGGGATGGTGATCCAATGCGAATGCAGTATGAAATTCTTCAAGAAGAGTGGCTACAGCGCAGCCGCTTGCCTGAGGGACCTGATGAGAGCGTCAAGCCAAATGATGAGAAGGTTAATGAGACAGGGGATCCGCGATGGGATCCAGGTCGCTTTGGAAGCACCAGTGTTCTGGATGTTTGTAATGTGCTGTTGCTTAGGGAGGCGAGGGACGGGGTGTCTGAGAGAGTTGGCGTAGGGAAGATCAGTTATTGTGCGTTCTTTGCTGCGAAGCCTGAGCCCGATGTATTCTACTTGAAATAAGTTGGTCTCACGTATCAAGGTCATTACAAGACTTGGGAAAGTTCGACATTTGGGGATATATTTATGCTGTTTACCCTAATCCATCCTTCAAAATCACAAATTTCAGCAAAAGGGTGGCAGGCTTTTATTGTCTCGATATCCCTTCAAGACTCTTCTTTTGTTGTGGTCATTTAGATATCTTACTCTCCTGTCCTGATTATTCTGCTTTCTTTTTATATTGGGATGCATCACCTTGGCAGATAATGGAGTGGTATTCTCGTCGTCCTAACTCGACGTGTCTCGTTGGCTGAACTCATTCTCCCTCCATCTCTACTCTAGCGATGCCATATAGGCGCCCCAGGAATCCAACCCTTCTGCCTCTGACAAACCAACAAATCCTGAGCCCCCTCCTCGTCCTCCCCCTTCGACCCAATCGTAGCATAAATCGTAAATCCACATCTCTCCAACGTCTCAATCAACTTCAGCAGTATGATTCTCGTCGTGACAGTATCTGTCCCCGAAGGATTCCACGGCATGTTCATAAGATGGATCTTGACCCTGTCAGATGTAATCTCACTACGTCTGACATCACGGCCAAACGTTTGTAGGATTGCGTCTGTGAGGTCTTTGGGCGGTGAGTCTACGATCTTCAATTTATCGCTGTTGTCGAAGGATATGCAGATCCAGTCGCAGGGCGGTGGGATGGGATCTTGTTTTCGAAAAATGAGCGAGTCTGATACGTCAGTCAAGTTCACAGAAGAGTAAAAGAGTCTTACCTTTGCTCTCAGACTTGAGCGTGATTTCCATTGATCCTTGCAATACCCAACCCATATCAAACAGTCTCTCCAAAATTCCCAATACTAACCTCCTGGAATCATCATTCCCACCAGCTCTATGCGACCATGGCCTTCCACGGAGCCAAAGCTCCATTGACTCCCCATATGGCTTCACATGCACAAGACCAAGTGACCACCGCGCTGTGACGACTTCTTTGATGCCTGATGCTTCTGCTTCTGTGAAGTTTATGAGACGGATTCTATCTGACATGTTGAAGGTCATGCAGGCGAATTGAGTTTTGAAGATGAGTGGTGAGGAGGCCATTGTTTCTTGGAATGATGGGGGAAGGTCGGGGATTTTTTCAGGCATTTCTGTAGGCACTTCTGTGGCTTTGGAGGTAGACATCTTGAAATAAATTTATAGGATTGGGGTTGTTATGTTAAGTGGAGAGAATGACAAAAACGCCATATGCCGGGCTGAGGTTGTATATTGATGCTATGCAGAAATGTGTCGCTTCAGGTTGGGAATAGCGTCACTAGCTTTAGTTCAAAGAACACCCAGAAAATCTTCTAGAAGTGGGTTCCAGGTGCTTTATACACCTAATCTTGCCAATCCAAGTTCTGTTGGTCCTACGGCTGCCTTACCGTGGCTGTGCGGGGCGCAGCATCAGGATCACCACCACCCTCAGCTCGATCATCGCATCTTGGCAAACAGACCCCAAAGTCGGAGCAGCAATTGGCTTTCATTCTTTCTCATCATCAAAGTCTTACAAGTCTAGTATAACACACCCTCCTCTCCCCGAAACTCCAATGCCATCTACCACCGCCAACCATGATAGGCCAAATTCTACAAGCAAAAAAGTAAAAACTGCCGTGTTCTGTCATGCCGCCGCGCCGTTTTTGTTTCGCCCAAATGATGTTACTAGTATACAAAATGTCTTTCGTGGTATCGCCGTGAGTGGCTATTATGTGCTTTGGTTATCGTTTGCGTGTGTCTTTGCCTTTCTTCTTCCCTTTCTTTTTGTCCTTGGGGAGTTCGAGTTTTGTGTCTTTGAGTTGCTCTGCCATGATGCTGAGCATGTAATCGTCAATGGTGTGCATTTTGTGGCCCCATGCGTTGTACTCCAATTCTTCTTCCACTTGAGGTGTGTCGAGATCGTCGAGTCCGCCGTCGAGAACAGACTTGCCGGCGGGAGTACCTTGTCGTGCCGTTGATGTGCCGGAAGCATTATTACTGGGCTTCTCGGTGAAGTCGGCGTCGTCTGCTTGGATTTCCTTCTCTGCGACACGGGCAGCTGCAACATCCTCTCTGTCTTCCGCTTGCTCCAGAGCGCGACCAACTCGTCGCTGGTCAGTATTGGTGTCAGGGCCGCCGAGGACTCTATCCAGGGCAGCGTCTGCAGCATCCAATCCTTCGCTCTTCGTGTCAAGTTTGTCGCTTAGAACATCCCGTACAGAGAGTTTATTGAAGTAGTCGGTGGTGAACTCTCCTTCTTGAATGACCACATCGTCCAGCATTTGCTTCTGCGACGCTTTGCGAAGAATATTGGCTTCAATTGTGTGTTCACTGACTAAGCGATAGATGTGTACATCGCGAGTTTGTCCAATACGATGACATCGATCTTGACATTGCTTGTCCATGGCGGGGTTCCAGTCTTGGTCATAAAAGATGACGGTATCTGCACCTGTAAGGTTGATGCCGAGACCGCCCGATCGAGTTGACAGGATGAAGCATAGGATTCGCGGGTCGTTATTGAATCGGTCGGTAAGAATTTGTCGCTGTTCCACCTTGGTAGCACCATCCAGACGGAGGTACTTGTGGCCGTGAATGTTCAAGAATTGCTCCAGAATGTCCAAGACCTTGGTCATTTGTGTAAAGATGAGAGCGCGATGACCACCAGCCTGAAGCTTTCGCAATAGCTTATCGAGGATCTGAAGCTTTCCGCAGTCGTATTGTAGCAGGCGTTTATCGGGGAACTGAATGCTTAGTCGCATGCGCCCTTCATGCCAAGGATCTGGTGGTGCTTCTTTCGGTAGGAATGGTGCCCATCGGACGGGTTTCGAAAGTTTGAGGTCTTCATCTGTAAATGCTTCAATTCCTTTGCGACCGAGGACAAATTGATCCATGTCTCTGGTCACAACCGCTGGGGTTACACATGAGAACTTCTCAATGGTCGTTTTGAAGCTGTCGGCACGTTGGTTGACGGTCGGTATCATCGATTGAATGAGCCTCGATTCCTCTTCGAACCAAGACATGACCAGACGGGGGACTTTAGGGCGAGGCTTGTATGGCCTCTTATCGGTACCAATAGTTAATAACTCTACCAAGTTCTTGCCATAAATGGGCTTCTTCTGGCGGCGTAGCGCGTTAAGATATACGCAGTGTTGAAGTTCTTCAAAACGTCCCCACCTTGCGCCACTTTCCAAGTATGCGATATTTGATGCGACTGTTGAAGGGTCTAGGTTGTCGTTTGCTTGATGGGCCCGAGTTCTTTGGGCCTCTTTGAGGTCCATCAAGATTCGATGAGAGCTTAGTTGTGAGATTCGTTCAGCCTGTGTTGTGGAGAGGCTCTCTGATTGTGTAGGAATGAGGTTGAGGAAGCCTAGGCTGACGTCTTTCATGGGCTTGGGATCAAGAAGTAGCCTTTGAACCCTCTGCTCGATGAAATCATAGTCTGAGACGACAGACTTGCTCATTCGGAAGGATGTCATGATCGGTCGGTCAACGAAGAGATCTGGGTGATTGCAGACCTTTCGCAGTTGCATGAGACAGTTGATGATGGACAAATAATTGCCAGAGTTGAGTGTCTCCTTCGTGTCATTCCGTGAGAGGAATCCATCGTAGAGCTCACGTTGTCGTTTTGAGAGTCGGCAAAACTCAACGTGCTCATACTTGGCAGGCATTTGCTTCTCAACGTCGGCTTTCAACCGTCGTAGCAGATAGGGTCGCAGGACCTTGTGTAGCTTCGAGATAATAGCTCGCGCCTCATCGTCCATCTGTTCTCTTCCACTTTCGAGAATTTGTGATTCAGGCTTGGCGAACCAATCGTGAAACTCTTGCAAGTCAGCGAACCCTCCAACACCATTCTCGGCCGGCATGAGGAAGAAGAGGAGTGACCAAAGTTCTGTGAGGTTATTCTGAAGAGGTGTGCCAGTCAATAGTAGCCTAGCTTGAGTATTGAAGCCAAGTAGCGTCTGCCATCTTTGGGATTTGAAGTTCTTGATGTTGTGTGCTTCGTCAAGAATCATGTAATGCCAGCGACGTCGCTTGAACACTTGTTGATCTTGAAGGACAAGCTGATATGAGGTAATACAAACATTCCACACATCATCATTGTTCCAGCCTTGTCGCTTGCGTTTTCGTTCCTCCTGAGATCCGTAGTATGCCAAAATTTTAAAGCCTGGACACCATTTCTTGAACTCCATTTCCCAATTGAGCATGACACTAGTAGGGACTACAACAAGATGTGGTCCCCATACCTCGTGCTGGCATGCCAGATGTGCAAGAAGGGCGATAGTTTGGATCGTCTTGCCAAGACCCATCTCGTCAGCAAGAATACCATTGGTGCTGTTGGCATAAAGACCTGCCAGCCAGTCAAGTCCATCGCGCTGATACTCTCGAAGCGTGCCTCTAAGAAGGAATGGTACGTCAATTTTGTGATTGGATGATTGCTGTGGTGATGCAGATCGACTTGGTCCGGTTTTGTCTACAACCATCATCTCCCCAGAAGAAGCCGTGTCCAGCTCAGATGGCTTGGTTTCTGATGTAGGAGGGGGAGACATGCTATGAGCACGACTTGGAGGATTGGTTGGTGGTTCTGATGCTGATCTGTGATTTTCCAGGGGTCGAGTTGTTGCGGGTTCTTGTTCCTCGGTGGGTTCTGTCATGACGACTTCAGTGTCTTGTGGCGTGGAGCCCTTCGCTGATGGGACCTCAGTGATGGTATCACCATTTATCGGTACGTCCTTGGTCACCGTGTCGGGCGCATTGTTCTCTGGGGTCGGTGTTGAGGTTTGTTCCTGTGCTGTATCGGCGGCCCCGTCGTTTTCCTCGGTTGTGTTGGGCTTCTCAACGGGAGGCTTCTCATCTTGAACCTCACCATTGACCTTTGGCGTTGACTCTTCTGCATCAGGCATTTCGGTGTCCCCATTCAATTCAGCCGGCGCCTCTGTCGCAGCTTCATCGTTCATCTTCTTCAATTCCGACTTGCCGAAAAGAAGTCCAAGCAAACCACCTCCAGCATCTTCATCAGACTCTTCTTCCGATTCATCGTCTCCCTCATCACTATCCATATCGGTAGATCCCATATCATCATCCATATCAACAGATTCATCGCTCGTATCGGCATTTTCTGTCGCGGTCGCTTGGGCAGTATCAACTGCATCAGTGTCATCGCGGCTTGGTTCGGTATTCGGTGTTTCTACATCGGCCGGCTTTTCGAGTTCTGGTATATGGGCATACTTCGCGCGCAGCTGCTCTTGTGTCAGGTTCTCATCACCAACATCCTTCAAGTCCTCCTCTTCGTCACCCTCTTCCTCATCTGATGACATTATATCACTATCGGGGTCGTCTTCGTTATCTCCATCTTCTCCCGACGCCAAGTCAAGGTCATCATCGTCATCGCCTATGCTCATGTCGTCGCTAAAATCATCGAATCCATCTTCTTCCTCCTCAGAAAGCTGCTCGGAGTCTAATCCTGCTCTCCGGGCTTGTAATTTCTGTTCAGAGAGGTTAACAGCTTCATTCAAAGCTGCCTTGACTCTCTTCTGCTCTTCTTGTTCCCATTCGGCCAACCTTCGACGATTGACTTCAACACGAACATTTTCCCATGTACCAAAAAGCGCCTTCATCACAACACGATATCGAGATATCCATATTGCTCTTTGTTCAGCCTCGATCTCTTCTTCTGACTTTGGTTGACGCCGTAACCACTCGTCTCGACAAGCTTCGGCTACTTTTTTCGCGGTCAATCGATGCCGTTGTTGCTCAGCCAGCATCAGTTTTCGGAAATTCATCATAGCTTTCACCATGTGATCTTGTCGAGCCCATTGTCTAGGCGGCTCTTCCTCTGCTTCCGGGAGAAATACTGAGCAGCGCCCTTGGGAGAGTAGCCCACCATCTTCAACTTCTTGTTCAATTCGAAGGATGGTACGAGCGTCCTTGGCAGCCATTTCATCAGTATAAGGAGGCCCATCTTCAGATGCCAGGAGTCCACCCTCCTCAACAGGAATATCGCCAGCTCGAGCCCAAAAATCTTCAAAATTCGTGCCAATCTTGGGTTTCTTTCGAACTTGATCAGGATGCACTAGAGGAATATCGCCAGATCGTCCGACTCGTAACTTAATGCGGGGCGATCGATTGGTACCATTTTTCGATTCTTGAATGTCATCTTTAACAGCATCGCTAAATCGTGCGGATCTTCTGGATCTAGTCGAGGTTTTAGGGGGCGAAGGACTTCGACGTCGGGTGGTTCGGGAAGGTCTAGTTTCTGTCGTAGGTTTTTTTGCGGATTTTGGAGTCGATGCGGGTGTTTGCTTCGAGGGACCTTTGGTGGCGGGGCTAGCTTTGTGTGAGCCGTTGGGCATCTTTCTCGAGTTGCCATTAGTCAACTGAATTTCTGCCTTTGGTTTGGAAGCATTGGAATTTGCGCCAGTAGATCGTCTCGTAGTTCGAGTTTTTGTTGTTTTCGATTCGATTGGAAATGTATTGATGCGGCCAGATTTTCGACGTCCATTTTCCGTGAATGACGTTGGACCGTCGGCAGATATCTTCTTCCATGGTGGCGACTCGGGTTTAATCTTTTTTGGTGTGAGAGGAGGTGTTGACTCTCGGGTGCGTCGTCTTTTTGCAGGTCGTTCATCGTCATGGACATGACCGTTTGGCCGTGATTCAGGCGCATCACCGTTCGCTTCACCGTGGCCGTTTGTCATCCCGTTCAACGCGTCATCTCCATTGACATGCGCCTCAGGCGCGTTCTCATCCTTGATGGCATCAGGGTCCGACTTGGGCAGCACGTTGGTCGGCGACGCGGTCTCGGGCATAGTCGCAACGTGGAGACAGTGGACGCAGGGGGCGTTTTCTCTGCGAAGCTATCATTTGCGGGGTCGAAATTAATGTCTACAGAATAGTAGCGCTTCAGCGGATATTCATACAAATTTTGCACATGTTCAGATGCCTTGCGGGCGAACTATGTGGAATTTAGTGGTAGAATCCAATGTCGTCAGCAAAACTTTTGAGCTGGGGAAGAATCGAAGATGCACGCCCCTGGACCTCCAAATAAGCTAACCGAAAATGGCCCGAACGCGCTTTTGATGCCTGAGGCCCAATTTTTGGTTGAGAATCATCACAGCCTCCATTGGCTAAAGCTTCAACGAGCATCACATCACGTCACAGAGCAATTGGTCGCCGACGACACTGTCACTCGGCCGAGGTATGTTGCCATGAGGACTTTGATACATGCTCAATTGATCGCTAATTTCTCAGATGCTCCCTCAACGAATTGTGCGGGCCTCGGCCCTGCGCAGCAGCATGACAGCTGCTCGACGACTTCCTACGATCCAACGCCGAACTTTCCTCCCCGATCAGTATACCGACAAGAAGGTCATTGATCAGAAGTACCCCGAGCCTCCCAGCATGACCGAGGCCGAGGACCCCGGAATGGTCAGTGATAGACGGATATGAGGAGGAGCGAAACTGATAATCTCGCAGAACGGCGGCTACATCAACCCTCCCCGAATCAAGCGACAGTTCCGTGACCCTCATGCGAACTGGTGGGATCCTCAGGAGCGACGAAACTTCGGTGAACCTATTCACGAAGATAACGATGTTCTTGGAATCTTTTCTCCCTGGGAGTACACCTGGACTACCGCTGGTCCTGGTGCTATTATGGTTGGAACCTTTATCGCCGTCTTCATGAGCGTTACCGGAATCGTCTACCTCAACTACCCCGATCGTCCTGCTTATCCCCGAGCGTTTGAGGGTGGTTTGGAACGAGAGCTTGGTGGTCCCGGAGCTACGAGGGTGAGTGGACAAGGATATTGGATATTCGTGTGCTAACAGTTATAGGCTCGCATGGAGGGTGATGAGGATCCTTGAGTAAAATGCTCAATTGTACATAAGAAATAATGGATCAATGGATTAAGTTCAATGGATGTTTAGGACTGTGTACCAATGCAATTGATATGGCTAACAAATGGTTTGACTGTGTGTAAGGTGTAGTATGGTCTGTAGCACTGGACTTGGGACCAACAATGAAAGCCAATGACCGGTTGCGGTCGTGATGCAAGGCAAGGCTTCTTGATTGCTTTTTATTTAACAAAGTATCTTGCAAACCGTCCTGCTTGCACCCTGGGTCAAACTTACACCACTGTGTCCTGTCGTTCTGTGCCTCTGGACCTAAGAGCCTGCCACGGTCCCTGGAGTCAGCCCTATGGACCACGTCCGCGTTCACTAAAATGAGCCAAAAGTCTCCTCATCGCCTTCCTACAAACATAGCATAACATCTTGGGCAAGAGCAATCACATACAAGCCATGATGTCGTCAATAACATCTCCTCATCCAACTCTCATCCATCACTTCTACTCTTCCATATCTTGACCATCCCATCACCAAGATGCGGTACGAGGATTGGGATGTCCTCCTTTTCGAGGAGGGCTTTAGTATTCCCTCTCGGGAATTTAAGGTGGCATGTCATGTCGTTCAACATGCGGGTAAGTCAGTGTTTGGAAGTGCCAAGGGCCAAATCTAATCATCGCAGAGTCCATGGGCTCTGCTCTCCCGACCCTCACGTGTTTTGTTCCTGGCCTTAACGCTGGAGTTCCCTTTCGGATTTCTATCCATTCTTGGAAAGCATCAAAGGATTTAAATGGTGATCATATCCTCAATATTAACAATTCGATCCTTGAAACCAGGCTCTTCATCGATGGGACTCTTGTTGCGTATGCTTCCCGTTTGGCTCTTGGCATCATTGCTAATGTTGGCAGATCTACCTCCACCACCGGCAGCATTCGCTTCCCATTGATCATAAACAGGCAAGGTCACGAGAGCCTCAAGTTTCCCATATTCCAGCAGGAACTGCTATGTCAACGTCACTGGAGCCCAGCCGACAACCTTGGCCGTATCAAGCTCATCATCAACCAAGGCTTCTCTAGTGCTTCGCCGAGCGTTTTGTTCACGGGGAACGTCAACAATACAGTTGTCTTTTCCTTTCAACATGCACCCCAACACATTTTAGAAGGCCTTCAGATTGCCTGGCCCAACCCAGCCATGTGGCATCGTCAACGCCAACCTTCTGCACCAGCTTCTACCGATAGCTCCCATGTCAACTCACGTCAACCACTTTTTGCTCGTCGTGGACAAGCGGCTCCGCAACATATTAACGATGCTGCTCTTGGAACGATGCCATTTTCTGGTGGTAACGCTACAATTGGATGCCCAAAAACTCCGGTGAACGGGCCAATGTCACCATGGAGTTATGTTCTCGTGCCACCGCCAGTAAGAGAAGGATCACCATATTTGTTGGCTTCCGAGATGCAATCTCGCAGAAATCACGAACATTCCGCGTGGCCGACTTCTCCAACTTTCACCGACGCCACGTTAAGGTTGGATCAAACCCAGAATGCATCGCAACAGATGTACCCCCAGCCAAACAGTGCTCCGATGTCATTTGTACAACCTCAACTACATAGTCCTGCGATTCAAGGGTCGATACAATTCAGCCGAGGAACTCCTGCAAGAAATCATGCCAGGCTTATCTTTGCGCCGAAACGCAACAGTCCACAGGAGTCTTTCAACTTGGATGTTATTGAAAGGGCGACAAAGAGAGCTCGAACCAACACTCCAAAGTCTGCAAAGACGCTTAATCACGAACACCAAAATATCAGCCCTCACTTTGGTAGCCCCTATGAGTTGATAAACCTAGCTGAGGATATCATTTGATATCTTACGAGCGGATTGTGTGGCCTTCCTGTAGTCAGTATTACGGAACGCATCACATGGCATGGTAGGGATATGTTATTTCACTGTTTTCCGACATTGTTGTTCTTGTCCTACGTGTAGCATTAACCCATGTTTTATCGCATATCAACATTTGTTGTCTAGCTGGTTAATGCACAAGCTTAGTTTCGACCTTCTACAGGCAGTCGTTTTTAATACAACACGCGATGATTCATCAGCTTTTGCGAAGGTTCCGGGCTTCCGTGTTAATGCCTTGCATGATAAACGACTGTACAGAGATGTGAATGGCAGGCTACTAGCAGCTTATAACACCTTGTGCGACAGTTGTAACACCCAGTCTCGTCATATTGACTCACTCAACGTGGAGATTCGAGGTCGGTAACCAAAGCTCCGTCCTCCGGCCAAGTTCATGATCCCATACATTATACGTCTGGAAATAGCGTTCGGTCTCGGGGTTTATTGTAAGTCCGCATGCTGCGAAACCTCAAAACTAGGGACCGTTCTGACCATCTTGTTCTCTTCTAAATGATCAAAATTGGCTTGGTTAAGGTCGCACAACTTCTCAACTTCAAGCCTCTTCTTATATCGTGTAGCCCATTTGCACCCAACCTACAACGAGATAACTGCCGACCTGATACGATTCGTGGCTTTAGTCTTGTCGAACTATGCGAGCTCGCCAAAGGATCAAAGTGTTCACATAAGCATCCGCCTCAAGGCCATCACCGTCGACTAGATGAGGTTGCCACGCTCACCGATCCTAAGGCTATACGGGCTTGCCCACGGCTGAAGCTGAACGGACATTGCGGCAGTCATCTGGGGCTTATAGACAAATCCGAAGCTTCCTCAAGCCCCGACGGCTTCCGGCTTCCGCCTAGGCCGCAATTTCTGGCCTGGAGGAGTAAATGCGCTACACGATCTTATCGTTCCACGCTTTCTTCTTGGTCGAGGCCGCTGAAGTCATGTCAGGCCCCCATATGCATGGATGGAATGCCACACCTTAGTGCCAGGCCACAACTGCAGGTGAAGATCTTTTGTGAAGTCTTGTTGCTATGGTTTTCTCTGGCCCCCGAGGTGAGACGAAAAGTTCATCATCGACTCAGCATGAACTTCCTGAAAAGATTCCGTCGTGTTACATTACTCTGCAGGCTTCTCGTGGGTGATTGATGAAGCTAAAAGGCGTGTCTTTCCGCATGCTTGGCTGTTGTTGTTCCAGTTTACTTCCAACAGCACTCGTCGAAACTCCTTCAAGATGGCTTCTATCATGTCCGCCCCAGACTACTCAATGGCTGCGACGAGTCGTTCGCACCTGAGTGTACGTCTGCCAAAAGAAACTCTCTACTCATCTCTGAGGGAATCTTCTCGTTACTTCAACTTCGATTTAGAGACGGCCAAGCTTGCCCGGGATGCTGATGAGTGGCTCACGACGCATCCTAACGGTTCGGGGTCTAAGGAATCCAAGGATGCTAACGGTATAAGTCGACCTTCGTCAATTGCCCCAAGTAACTTTAGTGTTCGGTCTTTACCAGCAGACTACAGTATGCCAGAGTATCATGGTAGAGACTTTCCTCATCCCGTGATGGGCTCAGTGCGTCACAACGAGATTAGACCTCGATCCGCTGCTCCAACAGAGAGTACTGAGAAGCTTCGATCATCGCCTCCTGTGGACGGTGTCGAGACTACAGGACCTGAGCAAGAGTATCCCACTGGAGTCAAGCTCGGCTTGATCACCCTTGCTCTCTGTCTGGCCGTCTTTGTCATGGCCCTAGGTAAGTTACCCATCGCAATTAACAGACCCTGCTCATACGTCAGACAACTCCATCATTGCAACCGCTATTCCAAGAATCACCGATGCTTTCGAAAGTCTCAATGACGTGGGGTGGTACGGCTCAGCATACATGCTCACAACGGCCGCACTGCAGCTGTTCTTTGGTAAGCTGTATACCTACGGCAGCATCAAGTGGACCTTCCTGTCAGCAATTGCTATCTTTGAGGTTGGTAGCCTCATCTGCGGTGTCGCCCCCGACAGTGTCACTCTCATCGTGGGACGAGCTATCGCCGGCGTCGGTGGCGCTGGTATTTTTGCTGGTGCACTCACCATCCTTGCCTTTTCGGTACCTCTTCATAAGAGACCTATCTATACTGGTCTTGTCAGTGGTATGTGGGGTATTTCTTCCGTTGCCGGGCCTCTTCTTGGTGGTCTCTTCACAGACAAGGTTTCATGGCGTTGGTGTTTCTACATCAACCTTCCCATCGGCGCCATCACTGTTGTTGTCATTCTCTTCTTCTTTCCCGAACCTGAGCGTGATATCGAGCCTGCAACATGGCGAGTGCGCTTCTGGCAGCTTGATCCCATCGGGACTGGCATCTTCATGCCCGCCATTGTGTGTCTCTTGCTCGCTCTGCAATGGGGTGGCGTTGACTACGACTGGGATGACTCTGTAATCACGTCGCTCTTCATGCTGGCTGCCTTTCTTCTCATCTTATTTGTCTATGTACAATACAAGATGGACGAGAACGCCACCGTGCCTCCTCGTATCTTCAAAAAGCGCACCGTCTGGGCTGGCGCCTTTTTCTCATTCAATACGGGCGCGTGTTTCCTCACAGCCATGTACTTCCTGCCAATTTGGTTTCAGGCTGTACAAGGCCAAAGCCCTATCATGTCGGGCGTGAGAAATCTCCCGATGCTTCTCGGCATCGTTCTCTGTGCCATGGCCGCTGGTGCAGCTGTCACTGCCTGGGGCTACTACACGCCCTTCATGATCGCCGGCTCAATCCTCATGGCCATTGGCTTTGGCATCATCACCACATTTGAAGTCGAAACATCAACAGCCAAATGGATAGGCTACCAGCTCATCGCCGGCATTGGCGTAGGCGTCGGTCTTCAACAATCCCTCATCGCCGTACAAGTCGTCTGCGAAATGGTCGACGTCCCCACAGCCACAGCCCTCATTGTCTTTGCTCAAACTCTTGGCGGCGCGCTCTGCGTTACAGCTGGTAACACCGTCTTCACCAACACGCTCATCAACAAGATTAATGAGCATGTGCCCGGCCTTGACCCATACTTTGTCATCGCGACTGGTGCGACGAATATTCGCAGTGTGATTAGAGAGGAGTGGCTTGATGGAGTGATTCTCGCATACAACGACGCGTTGACGACGAGTTTCTATGTTGGTGCTGGAACCGCGTCGGCGACGATTATTGGTGCGTTGTTGGTGGAGTGGAGGAGCGTCAAGGGTCATGAAATTGAGATGGGGGCGGCTTAGGTAAGGGTCTGGAGTGTCCTTGCATGATGGCGATGGTTGATGTCGGTATTGAGAGAGGTGACGGGTAGATTATAATGAGGTTGGGTATGGTATATGATAGCGGTACGTTCTAACGAATAATGATGACTTGTTTTATCTTTAACTGGGTTTGACTGTTGTGTCTTGTTTATGTCCGAAATGTGCACCTTCTGAAGATCTCAAATTACCCTGCACCTAGAGATATTGCCAGACTTTATTCTCTAGATTTTATATAATATCACAAGTCTTCTAATCCCTTTTCCCTCGGCTGGAATTATATTTTCTAACATCAAGTCATTGTTCCAGAGTTGTGTCACAGTCAACAGAGCCAGTGTCACTGCTCATTTTGCTAAATGAAATCACATTAAGTTTTGGTTTATGATACACGCACGAACCAACACACAGTAAGGAGAGCATCATTCGCGTTTACCCACTAATAGAAAAAAGAAAAATCGTGAGTACCCTACCATATTACCAACCAAAGAAGTATCTACGTCAATTCAATATGATCAATTTGAGGAAATGTCATCGCGATTGAGTTACGTCCTTCCATCATTAAAAATGCAAGCTCTTAAGCTTAAGTCAGTGGAGCCAATAAAATATCGCGACAGAGCCCCACACCGACCGTTCCCGCGGGATATCATGTGACGGGCCACAAGCGAGCCATCACGAAAATGGGGCGATATCAAAACTCAGAATACAACACAAAAATGCCTCATATTCTTCAATGAATGCAAAAATGAAAGTAAAGGGCTCCACCGGGGTTTGAACCCGGGACCTCGCACACCCAAAGCGCGAATCATACCACTAGACCATGAAGCCAATCGTTGTTATTACATTGTCTGAGAAAATTGTAAACTATATTCATGCGCTCTGCTGAACAGAGTTCCCTGACCCCGCATTCCTCTCTGCTGAGGCCTGTCAGCCATTTCTCAGCCGTGAAATGCAATACTCTCATGCCCGTCAGCTCTATCATTGCGGTCTGAAACCGAACAAGCCCATCCTCAGGCATCTCATTCTCGCAGGACATAGGAGGCTAACAACACATATAAAAGACACACTTTTCCCGTCCGAGGTTCCACATCATACTCTCACAAATCATGCAAGTTGTCCTCTGGCCCGCTCTCTCTTTGTTGAGTTCTGTCAAATGAGACTTTCTGGACTCTCGGAGCTCCCCGCATCACCAACTCCGAGTGGGGCCGCAGAAGCCGACCAGAATGGAACGACAACTCATTTCTTAGCATCCTTCTAAATGGACGCGAAACTCAGCTAATGTATTAGAGTAAATGCTATAGATTAGAGCCTCTTATCAAATCCAAATCCGTCGACAGCCAACGGTACGTGTGGCAAGCGGGGATTCCTCATATCATGCTTTGTTCTGTTGAGTCGCTGCTCTATAATCCCTGTATTCACAAGTGATACAACCAACATGCATACATAAACCCTAGCCACCATTGTGCCAGTCAGCCCCCGTTGCAGTAAGTTTACGCGTGCCCAGGCGCCCAAGTTGACTTGCTGGAAACAAAGGGCGGGGAAGGATAGAACGCAGTAAAAACCTCACGTAAACCGCATCACAATATAACCTCACGGGTTGGCCTGCTTGATTCAGCATCCGCACTGCACAAGCCACCAAGCCCTCACCCTTTACCTCACTTTACTCACTTGATGGATTCCGTCGCAACCACTAAGGCCGAGGCGGATGCTCATTTGGAAACTCTTCGTCAAAAGAGGGGCGTTGGTAGAGAACAACCAGAGGAGTCTGTTCTTGTACAAAGCCTGGACCAGGCACTTAAAATGCGTGTACTTCTGTCCAGGAGTATGATGTCTTGTACTGACTACCTACCAATAGCGTTTCTGATCAACTCTACAAAGCATCAACACATTTCATTCTCGAGTTAATTCAGAATGCAGATGACAACCAGTATGATTCTGAAATTGTGCCCAGTCTGCGATTGCTATTGTACAATGATAGAGGTCAGAAATATTTCCGTTCTGACTGCAACGAAGTCGGCTTCACATTCAAGCAACTTGACGCTCTGACACGAGTCGGTCAAAGTACCAAGGCCGCCGCCATCAATGACTCAAAGTCGTACATCGGTGAAAAGGGCATCGGATTCAAGTCCGTGTTCAAGGTAGCTGATGTGGTCCACGTTGCAAGTGGTCTTTACGAGTTCAAGTTTGACCGCAATGCTCGTATCGGAATGATTCTTCCCATTCCCTCACACTTTCCTGCTGCAGATCGCGTAACCGATCATACGCAGTTCCTTCTGGCGTTGAAAAGTCAACGCGACTACGATGTCATCAAGGAGGAGCTAAACAGTATCGGGCCAGACCTGCTGCTCTTCTTGAGAAATCTGGACCAGGTCTATATATCTATACGCGGCTCGAACAAGCGGTATCGACGCAAGATCACCAAATTCGACGCAAGATATAAAGGAGAAACTGTGAAAATATCTGTTCACGGCGACGCTGTAACGTCAAAAGAATACATCGTCCATCGACATACTGTCGAGAAATTACCTCTAGAGCCCCAGAGAGAAGGCACTGTTTCTTCTGAGGTTGTAATTGCGTTTACGGTCGATAATGAAGCCACTCCCGTATTCAACACTCAAAGGGTTTTTGCTTTCCTCCCAGTTAGTGACTTTGGCTTCCGTGTAAGTGACCCTTGGGTTGAAGCCAGTTTTACGTTGGCAGGCAAGCATTTAACACTAATGGCTTGCTCGGTTTAGTTTCTTATCCATGCGGATTTTATCCTTGTAGCCAGTCGAGAGGGTCTCGATGAATCGAGCCTTTGGAACTGGTCTCTCAGGGATGCAATCCAGACTGCCTTCGTGGACGCAATCCATCGTCTTGCTGCACTATCCCCTATCCGGGATGGGGAGGGACTGTGCTACAAGTGGCCGAAATACCTCCCTCGTTATCATGAAACCTCAGGATTTTGGCATGGCCTCCATCAAAATATGATGAATGCCTTGCGTGATACACCTTTGCTTGAGTCGCGAGCGGGCGGCGCTCTACGAAAGCCTACTGATCTCTACTGGGTACCTAGAGATTGTAGATTTGAGAACGGAACTCTTTTCGACCTCCCGTCACTTTTGCACTCGCACTTGTCGTTTGAGTATGATAGCGTAAGGCCGGAACTCTCCCTAATTGGGGTCGACAATCTTGATATCAATGATTTGTGGCGAGAATTTTCCCAATGGGTCAATGAAGTTGGAATCGACGGCCTAAAGAAACGGCCAATCAAGTGGCATCAAAGGGTCAGTTCGATCTTCTGCGACCGAAAAGAACTACGAGAGAAGCTCCGACATTTACCAATTGTCCCTCTTCGGGATGGCTCATGGGTCAAGGCGCGCAAGGATCGAGTGTTTTTTACTTCTACGGACACCGAAGAGCATGTACCCACTGGCATCAAGCTATTTCTCGTGGATCGCTCTGTATCTGAAGATCCAGCAAGAAGAAGATTCTTGAGTTTCTTGGGAATTCAAGAATATAGCCCTGCCCAAGTTTGCGAACTGATTGTCAAACTGCACCGTGATATGCCTTCTGGGCCCTGCCGCACAGAAACGGATCTTGTCACAGACGCTCTTTATCTTTTTGATCATCGATCGTTCCTCGGATACAAAGTTCCTGACATTTACCTTACCGCTATAGAGGGTGGAAAGAAGATTCGAAGCAGAAAACGCCATCTCTACTTGGTCGACCCCGGTGTCAAGCCAGGTTTGATAGCAAAATATCAGTATACCGCGGAAAGTCCACTCGTGGTGCTCTCTGATAAGTATGAGGCTGAGCTCTGCAAAGACCGACCACAAGAACATGCAGAGCTATTTCGACAGTGGCTCCTGAAATCCGAATACAGAGAGTTTTCCACAATCCCGACACTTTTACACGATAACAAACTGAGCGTCGAGTGGCACTTTCTTAGCAGACACGATGTGATGGATTTGCTACAAGCCATCAGGCTACAATGGGACAAAACAGGGATTCTATCCCCCAAAATCATCGAGGCTGCGGCAGAACTACAAGTGCCTTGCTGCGATGGACATTCGAGATCTCTAGGCCTCCTAGCTATCCCAACTACGGAGCTGGAGCAAAAGTGTCCGCATCTCGATTTTGTGAACCTTCCCGATCCTGCAGTGTACAACTGGGGGTTTCTATCAGATATGGGCGTCTTAACCAACCACAATACAACAGCAACTCTACGAGAGCTCCAAAAGATTGCACAGCTCCAGGTAGATGAGGTAGATCAGGATGCAATACGCGAAATTTACGAAGCACTGAACGCAAGCATGCGTTCCGAGTGGAAGGAGATAAAGTGAGTAAAACCAATAATAGAAATCTGAACGACAATGCTGAACACACCACAGCACGGCTTTCCTGGAAAAGCCCCTTGTATTCGTTAAAAAACCAAAACGCAGATGGTTAAGCCATCTTTCCTGCGTCTGGGATGCCCCAGTTGCTCTGAAGCAGGTCACAAAACTCAGAGATCGCTACCGCACATGCAAGCAGTTATTCAGTTCCATTCTGTGTGTGAAGAAAGTCAGCACTGGAGACATTGTCGAGGAACTGTGTTCTGTCTCAGATGGAGGCGACCTGGATGTCCAGCGCTTCAGTGAGCTGTTCTTTTTACTAGAGAGCTATCGTTCTCATCATGAAGAGCTGAGCAAGGATCAAGTTCGAAGAATCCGAGAAGCTGCGGTATTTCCTGTCGTGGCTGAAGGGAGAAACGGTGACAAACAGCCGAATATCTCTTTGCAGTCTATATGTGAGAGTGATTGGTACGTTCCAGACCAAATGCCCCTGGAGCGAGCTTTTCGACGCAGGGTCGCTATGCTTAGCATGCCTGTAAAGGACGTTAGGTCTTTGCGTACTCTCTTTGAGGATCTTGACTGCGAGCAACGGTTTCTCTCTTATGCGGTTGAGCAAACAACTGAATTGAGAGGCACATGTATTCGTGACTTGCGTCGGGAAGGTGATCTCATGACCCGACTTGAATATATTGCGTATGTATATCTATACTGCGAGGTAGGTTTGCGCTCACATATTCGTTTCTAGGCTAGCGACAGATCAGTCGGCACTCGTCGAGGATATCACGATACAAATGTGGTCGGTATCATCAATCCTAACTAAAAGTCGATTGGGAGACACTGAGATAAGCGATCAAGACAAGTTAATCACGATCAGAGATGATGGAGGGGTCACAAACATATACATCCGCGAAGATATATTCATGGACAACCAGGCCCTGGTCAATCTTGAATTGCAGGAGCATTTTAGTAGTCTATGGGACGTTGATACCGAGCACACCGAGCTGGTCCACCCCCTCCTGACTGCACCTATTGTTGAAATACCTGTTATCTTGGAGCGATATAATATCGAAATACCCGAAAACTCGGACAATGGAGACGCTGGCAATCAAGAAAGCAACAGCGAGGATCAAGAAAGCGACAGTGAGGAGCAAGCGACGACGATTGCACATCTAACCACAACCTACTCCGTTAACGATTCTGGTAGGGAGGCAACGATGGAGAGCGACCACGAAAGCCAGTTTATCGACTTGGCAAGACAATTCAGGAATCTTAGAATCTCACCGGCAGCAGGTGGCAACGATGAGGAATTCATCACTCCAGCAAGCTCACCTCGACTTGTCCCACGGCACGAAGTGATTCCTTCTCACAATCCAAGGAGTCAGAGAATAGTCCAAAAAGCGAGTGTACTTCATGCAGACGAGACACCAGTTGCGAGAGCTCCGAGGAGCAGCGCTCAGTTTGGCGGTATACTAGACCAACGTTTGCCAACAGAAACAGCAGAAAAACAACCCGGTGGGGGAGATATTTCTTTGCCTCGCTATCCAACCATGGAAACTACTTTCTACCAGAATCCCTCCGGCTTAAACACCCCCAGACCCTCTCAAAATTCTCCCAGAGCCTTTGAAGTTCCATCTATCAGATATAGGGAGATTGGGTTCCTTGGGGAGCGTTTCGTATGTCATCCTAGGCAACCATCAAACTGCTATTCCCTGACGTATATGTTTTGCAGATTTATCATATGCTTCAACCTCGTATCAAGGATTGGACATATGAGAATTGGACGAGTAAGTTGCGAGTCGAGGCCGGGCATCCCCGATTCACAGAGCGCGAAAAGGACTTTTCCGACTTTACCTACCTGGATCGTTTTGGTCAAATGAAAAGAGTGCTGCGAGAGGCTGGCATGGACGTAATCGTCGACTGGTCTCATAACACGAAATTTCATCTCGAGGTCAAGACGACACTAGGTCCTTGCAGCGAGCCATGTTTCGTGTCCCAGAATCAACTTGACAAGGTATGAAATACAGTGATTGGTATGGCGTACATCTTTGTGCTAACGCTTTGGCAGATGCGTCAGTACGAAGGGAACTTGAGTAACGCCTACATCTTAGTTCGGGTTTTCCAGATAGAAGCAGCTGGTGGTCCAAGTTTTCGATTCTTTCCAAATCCTTGGAGCCTCTACATGGAGGGGGCTCTCGACTTCAGGTCGAATGAAGGATATAAGGTGTATGGGTTGGCATAAGCTTAGTACCTACCTTAGTAGCAGGCGGTTCCGATGACGGGCAGGGCCTCCCTGATGACGCTCAATATCGCTGTTAGCCGTGTGTTACTCGCCTCCTGAACTTTGACATCAAGTCCGAATGCGAAGCCCTCTGTGGTCGTTCTACAGTGCTTGCCGGACTCTCAAATCTCAATGACAGTGAAGCTACACGGCGTCGAGTGTCTGCAGTTGCGACAAGTATATCCAAATTCTGCATGGTGAAGAGAACGCTTGCAGGTAATGAGGGTGGGAAATCGGGAAGATCTAGATAAAGAGTTGGCGTAAGAAGAAGTCGAAGTTGAGCATACGAGTAACGAACCTTCAGGTACTCAAGGTCTTCATGGCGGATACCCATAGTCAAATCAAGAAAGGCATGCTTGACAGCATAGAAGATGACGACCGTGTTTCCGACTTGAAGGTTCGAGGGGCTGATCTCGACACCACGGCGTTCCGTGTAGATAGCAACGGGGAGCTCTTGACCATCTCGGTCTTTGACGACGAGCCTCACGCGGAGATCAATCTCGGCCTTGACGATCTGGCCGAGAAACACCCAGTGCTTGCGAGGCTCCCAGAAACCATTGTGCCTTTCGCGGTAGTAGTCAGGGTTGAGATGATTGTCCCAGGCTAGATCTTCGAATGCCGGGAAGTGTTCTTTGCCTCGTAGACTCGCGAGTTGGGCGCCGTTGGAAGCCATAATGTTTGGCAGCGAGGGACGCCTTGATCTTTCTCGTTAAGACCTTAGGCAAGATTCAAGATGATGTGAAAAGATTTGGAGGTGTTCAAGTGAGGTAGAAGTTGAAGAAGAGGTAGTGGGAAACAGGAAGAACATATGGCAAATGGTGGTGGGGAATGCCGTTTGGATACGGCTAGTTGCAGCGTTTGTCGGTCCCCTGCAGTGCAACAAGCAAACAAACGGCTTGGGTCTCTCTTGTTTCCATTACAACGAATGGTTGTTAAGCAGGCATGTTGTGCTGTGTATAGAAGAGAAACGGCTCACTACTCCACGGATCGGGTGCCCCTATACATCGAAGCTTTGTATTGGATTTTCCTCTCTTTTCCTATTACTTATATTTGAATATGAGAACTGCATCCATGAAAGATGTAGGTAACTAGAGCTTGTAGAATGTCAACCGAAACACAACAAGAGCTATTAATCCTCATAGACATCAATCACATAATTTGCATTGTCAGTAATGCCATCACGCCAATCTACAGCAATGGCAAGATTGCTAAAGCAAGATTTGCATAGCGATTAGGTAGAAAGAGGCTGCTCGTGACTAGAAAAGCGGCATAGCACCGTACACCTCTTTCAGTTGCTCCCAAGTAACACTCTTTCCGTAGATTAGCCCTGCAAACATCTTACCAGCAAAAATGCTTCCTCTGGGAGAAGACATGTACTGACGATAGGTGATCTCCGCACTCTTGGAAGCCAGGCAGGTGGAAAGGGGCCTAAGATTCGACTGCAGTGCAATATCAAAATCGGGATTATCAAGAGGCGGCTCTTTTCTTGAAATCTCTCTGTCTCTCTGATATATTCCACAGCGAGATTCTTTAGGTCGACCATAGGTTGATTCTACTCATCTGATAACCCTGTGAAGGTGGCAAATTCCGGACAAACAGACAACTCTTCCAAAGGAGCAGCCTGGGCACTACTACAATCAATAACCCCGGTTAGCTTGTACTCATTGCCAAAATGCAGATCGAGATGGCAGAGAGGAAATGGGCCTCGGACCCTATCCTCAATGATCATGTGGGTAAGACCTGTTTTCAGTACCTAACATGCTGTCAGCCAGTGTGGTTCATCCTGATGCAGGTCGACAATTTCCTGATTGTGGCTTGGCGATACTGCGCAACCAAGATGAAAACGCAGACTGGGTTTCGCATACCTGTAGACTGTAGTCTGCCCGAATCCCGGTTTCCGCGCGAAGCCCGCGATACTGTCGTGTTTGGATGGCGGGTAAGTCCTTCGGTGTGACAAGGGGCCAGCCTTGCCTGTATGCTGTGTGGTTCTGCACTGTGGTGTTGTTGTATTGATGATAGACGCGTCGTAATTCGCGGCGTGTTCTCCGCACCGACTGGGCACAATTAATGTGGGGATGCTGGCGACTAAGTAACCAATCAAAGGTGAATTATTCCCCTCATAAGTAGCCGCGTGCAACATGTCACAGATTGCTTTATGGACAAGTCGCACATTGCTCTTCAAACGCGCTATACTCTCTATCGCAGCATCTTATCTCAACTCACATTACTCAATTTTGACAATGCCACTTCTACAATTGCCCCCCGAGACTCTTAGACAGATCTTTGATCAACTTGACTCGTCTTTCTTTCACGAGGATTTAGGCCGCCTCACAATCTGCAAACAGTGGTTTGATTTCGCTCTTCCTGCATGCCTCAAGTGCATCGCCCTTTCTCAAGAGGTTCTGCGAAATCTGATTATCTCTACGGCAATAAAAAAGCCTTCTCCGCTTGAAAACAGCTTGGAAACCCTAGACCTCAATCTAAGAGGATACCAATACGGCATCTCTACGCCCTATGGCAACCCGGTCAAGACTTCGAAAAAGGCCCTAAATGATGACCTCGCTCAGCTTGCCATTATCGTCCAGCAGTCTCATAGATTGCGTACATTGTGCGTAAGGGCCTGGAGCTCTTCCTCGCCTAATGCCCTCTCCAGACCAGAAGATTATCTGTCACTCTCTACCGTGCGAGCTTTACTCTCAGTGGAGAATTTGAGTGTCCTGGTGCTAGATCTATCCGGAAGCTCTTTAAACCCATCAGGACAGCAAGGGCACGAATGTCATATTTGCCCATCTATTGGTGCCCTTCTTCATACTCTTCGAACCCTTCACTTACGCATGCGCAGCATCTGCCCCGATGTATTAAAGACTCAAAATCTCGATAGTACGCTACACTTGAGCACGGTGGCCATCAACTTGAGTCTGATTGCAGATCAGCCAAACCTAACGTCAGCAGCTCACTCTAAACCATGCGGTTCTCAGGGCGGTGGATTGATTCAACTGCAAGCGGACATACGGGAACAGGCGGAAGCTCTCGTAACCCGAATGGCGTCCCCTAAAACCATGAGGATTCTGACTCATTCACTTCCGCTGTTTGAAATAAAGTCACTAGACATCTTGACTGGCAAGAGAATGATTCTGGATGACGATGCGGCGTGGGATGACGATGGCAAAACTGTTCAGGAGGACTCGGAGCCAGAGTCCGAGATTTTAGATGAAGATTTTGCTGGTTTTCTAGACGATTGATATTGTTCTAATGGTCAAGCTTCAGATCAGCTTCTGATGATGAACTAGCTTGGCTTGCCATGCATGCGGGTAGGCAACATCACATATCTGCTGTACGGAGTATAAACCTGCAAGGAATGGATTTACTTACCCTAAGAAATGCTTTGCGGCTCAGAGTCTCCCCTTGATCATGATTCATATGATAGCTAGACACCTGTGGTTGAAAGTTCATATTCGATACATGGTTTAGTAGAAGCTGGTTCTCATGGGCGTATATAAGCTTTCAGTCGTGTAGGCTTTCTATTCTTCTTGACCGTTGACTGCAGGACTTTAGACACAGCAAGCCAGCCATTTGAAAAGCACAGAACTTTTTTCTTCGCAGTACTCTTCAACGGGAAGACAAGGTACTCGCGCTTGGATTGTAGAATGGTATTTGTCTATAGTCTACGCCTTGACAACTGTATCTCCTTGCCTTCTATCCATCCCAGCCTTCCCCACTGCAACGTCAACGGCAACGGTGGCAAACCCGCTTGAATACGAACCCTAGTGAATTTTCGGATTCATCATCCCCTTGTCGCGAATAAAGGGGGCGCGGCAGCTAGACCCAAAACCGATTGGACGATCTTTGGGCCGGAGAGATTCTTTTGAGATACGCTGTCGCCGATCAAATAGTGTTCCCGTTTCATAACGAGGCTGTAGTTACATTGGGAGATACGACGTATTGAGTCAGAACAAAGGGGCCTTCTTGTTTTTATAGGAGCGTGTAACGGCAAAGGCGAGTTGGACTCCGAAAGGGGCGTAGTTGGGTCTTATCCTTGTCATGTCTATTCTCCGACGGGGACTGGAAAGAGAGTTTGGACTAGGTATTTTAGGAATTGGAGACTATTCGAGAATTTGCCGACGTTGCGAGTCAAACTTTATCTCCTGCATATGTTTCATGGTTGTGCTATCCGAGTCAGTATCAAGTTTCGCCGATATCTTATCCAAGAATCATTCTGCTCACGCGGCTACGGAAATTAACAGACGTATAGTCATGATCTAATCTCCAAACGTTCCCAACGGCTTAACGGGAAGAGCTAATGTCTAGGACAGAATGAAGGCACCGAATCCATGACATATTGAAATATCCAAATTACCTATTACTAAAAAGCTAAGCAAGGCTGTTGTGAAGGTCACTCCCAAGTCCAAGCTTTTGCCCTAATGTTTCGAGACTCATCCCAAAACCAAGAAATATGCATTCATAACAGGGAGAATATGCATATTCCAGCGTCATCCTTGAATCCCCGAAGCGAACCGCTCTCCGCGTCTCCATAAAGGTCCACAAAGTTCATTTCAAGGCTCCATTTCCCAAACTCTAATTCAAATACCGATGAAAGCCAAGACACATCCTTTCGGGGCGACTGTCTCTGTTTGAAGATGATCGACGATATAGAATTAATCCGATTGGTCCACTAGAAATAGTAGCTGTAGATCTAGTCTCGTTAATGACTCGTAGTGCCCGTTGGGTTTCAGTGGACCAACGGTAGATGCGCAAATTAAAAGCAGCCTTGTTTAGTTTGAGCTGACGACACCAATGTGGAGTAGTGAAAAAGATGTACAGAACTTGGATGCCGTTGAATTTGCACAGACAATGGATCATAGTGGCAGTTATTAGTTCATCTGTAGATTTCATAACTCTCTCAAACTTCCAGACACCTTCTAGTACAGCATCTTCAGAATTCAAGTTCCAATTCTTCATTTAATCATTCTCGTATTCTCCACGATGCAACCGGATGCCCCATCTTCCGTGAGGCCCTCCCAGAGGAATCCTTGGAGAAGCCCGACTAGCGCCAGGGGCACTTACATACAATTTCACCAGTCGGGGAACAAGAAACCCACAAAAAGATCGGCGTTGAAGAAATCTCAACTCCCATATCCTTGAAGAAACAGGGCTAAAGAAATGCCGTTCACCGCTGGCAACCGATGACTCGTGTGCTCAGCTGCTATTCTTCTAGCATCCAGTCATATAGATAGCGAATGATAGCATGTTATATGCCGGCTCTTAGTATAACGCCGGCCGTTGGATCTGCACAGAATGTATCTTGCCCTAGTTAGTTCTTATCTCACAAGTCCAGTCCATAACGTCCAAAACATCGGTGGATTCCTCCACTAATGCACGTACATGTCGATCCTGGATCCATGATTTGCCGCGGGAACAGTGGTCGTATATCATAGCACGATCCCCTCAGCGGGCGGTTCGCTAATCTATTTGATGCGCCTCTTTTATTCTTCTTATTTATGTGTTTTTGACTTCTGAATCTTGACGACAGAGGTTGTGATATCGACTTGCCCATTACAAGATGGAGACGACGCCGAGGGAGTCGAAGCAGATTGATTTATGGATTTCTGAATTCATTACGTTCGTGGCTGCGACGGTTTTCATCGGGTTACGGTTATTGAGTCGACGACTTACGAGGATTGAGTTTTGGTGGGATGACTGGTTTGCGATTGGATGCTATGTAAGTCGACGACAGTCTACACATCGCGGACTTTTGAGTATCATACTAACTTCAACAAGGCCGTAGCGATCGCTTGGGTAGTGATCATTCCTATCTGTACATCTCATCAATCACGATATCCGATACGCTCGAATCTAACGTCGACCAGGGATCAAAGATGCCGGACTTGGACTTCACATCAACGACATTCATGGTCGCGGGACCAAGGCGGAAATATTGATGCACAACAGTCTCATTCTCTACGTTGCTGAATTGTTTTACGCAACAGCTCTATTCTGCGCCAAAGGATCGATTTTGAGTTTCTACTGGCGCATGTTCCGAGTCACCAACATCAAGCTTCCTATTCAGATCTTGGCCTGTTGTTCTTTGATATGGATTATCATTCGAGTGAGTATACCTTCAAGCCATGTCCTTGACGAGAGTTCTAATGACAGTAGACATTCATGGGCATCTTCCATTGTATTCCCGTGCAGCGCTTCTGGGATCCGTCTGCTGGAGGCTCTTGCGCTATTGAGGATAAGAAATTCTTCTTTGGTACTATTCTGGTTCACGTTATGCTCGATATCGCAATCATCGCCCTACCGATTCTTCAGATTCGCAAGCTGCAGTTGCCTTTCTTCCAGAAGATCGGTATCATGCTTATGTTTGTGTTTGGTATCGTGTAAGTGACCCTATTCCTATTGCGTGACTTGGACTGACGCCTGTAGCATTTGCGCTTCGGCAATGGTCATCATTGTTGCTTCCACCCAGTTCGATGCCACTTCGGAGGACCTAACCTGGAACTTGGTCACCATTGTTGTCTGGGCCTCTGTTGAAGTGAACCTCGTTACTGTATCAAGTATGTATCCGAATCTGAATCCCCTGAGCCTTGCTGACGGTCTTTAGCTTGTCTACCTACCGTTCGTCCCGCTATACTTTACCTCTTCACTTGCACCAACCCGACATCAACCATCGGCTCCGGTTCCAACAGCTACGGACCCAGTTACGGCCGCAGTCAGACCAAGAACACGATTCGATTATCGACCCTTCCTAACAACAAAGACAACGACGAGTCAAGCTCAACCCATCAGCTTGCGGACTCGGATCAGGGTGGCCGTGGTTCTTTGTCCGACTTTGAGAGTCATGCTATGGATCGATACCGAGGAAATGTTTCTACTGTTACTGGTCGTGCCCACAATCAAGCTTCAGAAGAGTTCAACACTGGTTCGCCATTTGGTGGAATCATGGTTAAGAACGAGACGACTGTTCGGGTTTCGACGGCCAGACAGTGATAATGATGCAAAGAAGCAAGATACGTGGAGAGTGGAGGGTAATACAGGCAACAGGAATCTCACTTGAAGTCTGGGAAATAAATGAGTACAAACACCGGCCAAACAGTCACAAAGATAGAATATGTCTCAATAGAACTTGATAGAATTTCAATCATGGCTAAATCTCATTACGTGTAGTGAACAATTAACTCCTCTTAAATCAGCAGCTTTTTGGATTCTCATATCTGAACTTGTTCCACATTCAGGAGATTCTGTGATCCGAAGCTATCGGGTTTCGGGTTCGCCTTTGAGCTTCGCGTCCCGGAAACCCGAAAGACCTCAACCAGCTTCAGCAGTTAGTGAGAAAGATACATATAATGCATATAAAGGATTATTTACGCCAGATATTATTCAGGTCTAACCCCAGATTCTTTTGCCGCTTGCAATTACCATTGCAGCCCCGCAAATACCTCGCTCAAGGAGTTTGATATCCACTCACAGAGATAAGAATCATAAAACAACACTACAAACCAGATTTAGATACTTCAATTATACAAAAATGGTCTTCACACCTCCATCATAGGAGCCGAAGCTCGCAATTGGTATGAACTAGTTACCAGCCTATAGAAATAGCGCTCATTCTTGCAGATCCCTTGACCAAAGCCTTTTCATGACCCTGGCTGTCCAAGAAGCCCAGAAAGACGATGCCCAACCTGATGGCTCTACTGACAAGAGCGAGCTACCTATTCAGCAAAGCAGCGCTTCGGTGCCCGCACACAGAACTGCTGACCAGGATGCGGAAGGGGGTGCTGAACTCGAACAGCATTCGACTTCTACCTCGTCGGCGAGAAAACGACCGGCCGATGAAACCTCGCCTCTACCCAGGCCGAAGCACAAGCGCAAGAAACGGCATTGCTGTGACGCCGAGGAAGACATGATGCAGTCGGATGCGGAGCTGGGCGCAATGGAGGAACATATGACGACCGAAGTGAACCAGGAATTTGACGCCAATCGTACCACGGATACGACAACCCACGAGGATGGTAAACCGGTGCGCGTAAGCAAGGGCCGGGACTGGACCCCTGAGGAAGACAAGACGATCAAATCTTACTCTAAGTCGGGGAAAACGCACGGGCAAATCGCGGCCGAACTGAACCAAGGACCCAGCACCAGTCAAGTCAAAGTCAATCAAGTTCGAGAAAGGATTGAAAAATTGACGCTTGTTGAAAAGGCCGCGCCATATGCCGAGGCAGAACAAGCAATGATCATATCAGGTGCGCAGCTTGGGAAATCGGCCAGTGAGATTGCAGCCGAAGTGAACAAGGAATTCCACAACGATCGGTCCACTGATGCGATATCGAGACAGAAAAAGATTCTGATGGGGCCCGATTTCGAGTCTGGGCACCCGGAATGGAGTCCTTCAGAGCTCAGTCACCTCCGGACTATTGTGAGTTCTGGGGAGCACATACCAACCGCTGTGGAATCGTGGGTGGAGCAGACTGATTTCAAAAGAACTCCGGATGCGGTGGTTGCTCGCCTCAAGCTTATTGCAGCAGAGACAGCTGTTCCTTGGACTGACGAGGAGGACGCAGCGCTGATGGCCGCATGCGAGGGTCTTGATAAAACGCGGCCGATGACTGAGGCCTTCAAGTCGGCGACCGAAACAAAGCGAACCGATAAGGACAATATCCAGAGAATTGAATACCTCGGCCTTAGATGTGTTATTTGCAGTTGAGACCTGTGGCTGAGAGCTTATAATCACCACACAGAACTTAGAATACCTCGGCCTCAATCTCGGTCACGGGCCTAACCCCGAATGCGAAAATCACTCCTCTTCATCTTTTCAAGGTTCACAGAAACGTTGGACTTCTAAGGAAGACGAATTTCTCGAGACCCTCCGGGATGGATACAACGACGAGAGCAGGTATCAGGCTTGGAAGAAAGAGTTTGGCCCTACCAGGACTCTGACGAGTCTAAAAACTAGACTTGTTCGTCTGTCTAAGAATCCCCGTGGAAAGCATCATATATGGACACTGGAAGAAGAAATTACCTGCGCTCCTATCCTAACCTGAGCAAATGATAGAAGCTCGCCAAGAAGCTCGCCCTGACGTGGAAACAGAGGAACGCGAGAATGCAGTGTGATTTGTTACCATGTCATGTTTTCGGCGGATATTAATTCGCCAGTTGGGTACATGCTCAGCGAGACTCGAGCGAAGCGAAGCCCAACAGCTCTCTGGACAAGGACTGTGAGATGAGCCAGGTGTTTGCGAGGTTGTTGGGCTGGGATCGGGGCAGGTTTGTGTTACGATGCCATGTGTTTGGATAGTCATTTCACCAACTCAGCAAGACACGGTAACCTGAAGTGCCTGACAAAACAGCCACTCTGAGAAGACAAAGTCCATTCGTGTGTGCCGCGCGACTACCAGAAAATAAGAAGAGGAAAATTTCTAGATTGTTCTTGACGCAATACTGCATGCGTGGTGGACGCCGCCTTGCTCTTCCTCCCCGCGAATGTATGTAGATCTGTCTGTTCCAACCCCAGACCGATTCGCAGAACTTGACTAGCTCCGTGTACCGGAGGCGGGATGGGTGAGGGAGAAGAGTTGGAGGTGGCTGCAGCTCGTCATGGATCATTTACTCCGATGTCGCCCCGCACGCCAACCATGCTGAGCTTATTACTAATCAAAAGGCGCTCTTCTGGTGGCGTCGAAACGAACGCGCGATTGGCTACCTGACACGAACAGAGCCCCCGCATTTTTTGCCGGACGACGTCGGACCGTGGCTGTGAAGGTTTGACTCTACAGTGACTCTGTGTGCAATTTTCTTTTTTTTTTTTCGAGCCTTGCCCCAGGTTTATGTCCGGCTTCGCTCCGATCCAGAGCCAAACTTTCCTTAGCTAGCCTCTCCCACCTCCCTCACCTCCTCGCACTTTTCTTTTTCATCATCATCGATCCCGAAGCAAAGACTGGCATCTTCGGATTCTGTTTCTCTCCACTGAGCGCTTGTGCTCACTCACGCAATTGAGATCTTTTCTTTCCCATTGCACCCCGACTTTCCTCCCCTCCGAATCCATCCACTCCTCCGCGATGCTCCGAAATCGCCCTACAAGAAAGGCTATCCGCGCCTTTGGCCAGGCGCGGGCCTGGACGACGCCGCCTACAACCACTCTTGCGCAGTCAATGCTGCCCGCGACGCAAAGAACAAAGACCACTGCTACCAATTCTTCCGCACCGTAAGTTTCTGGCTGTTTATCTTGGTTCTTTGCACCCTCATAACCTCGTTCGTGGTGTCGCGCCTCGCCACCCAACAACTATTCGTGTTCCTGACTCGAAAGACGCCGAGGAGTGCCCCAACGCTCGTTCCACCAAGTCAATCGGTGTTCCATTGTTAGTCTCATCTCAATCATGTTGCTGACGTGCTTTACAGTCAGACTCGCCCTGCGCCCAGCCCCGCCTTCAACTTGGAACCCGAATCTCGCGGTCATGTTCAGCCTCTTGTCAATCAATCGAAACCCGAGATGGATGAGTCGTAAGAATTCTCTCTCAAACCACGATGAGCCCTTGCTCATGTGCTTTCAGGTTCATCGGAAAGACCGGTGGCGAGATCTTTCATGAGATGATGCTCAGACACGGTGTGAAGCATATTTGTTTGTCTCCCTTCTCCAATCGAACTTGTCTTCGTTGGCAGGGCCAAATGAGAACCCACGTGCTAACTAGTCCTAGTCGGCTACCCTGGAGGCGCCATCCTTCCCGTCTTCGACGCCATCTACAACTCGAAACACTTCGATTTTATCTTGCCTCGACACGAACAAGGCGCCGGCCACATGGCACAAGGTAAGACTTGCTTGGTTGAACAAGGTTTATATTAATATATCATAGGGTACGCACGAGCTACCGGAAAACCTGGCGTTGTACTCGTTACATCGGGCCCGGGAGCGACCAATGTCATCACACCCCTGCAAGATGCTCTCTCAGATGGCACTCCTATAGTGGTCTTCACTGGACAGGTCGTAACAAGTGCGATCGGACTGGACGCGTTTCAAGAGTGCGATACTGTGGGCATTAGCAGGCCTGCGTGCAAGTGGAATTGCATGGTCACAAGCATTGCTGAGCTCCCGCGTCGAATTAACGAGGCTTTTGAGATTGCTACCAGTGGTCGTCCTGGCCCTGTTCTCATCGACCTTCCTAAGGATATTACAGCCGGGATTCTTCGAAAGGCTATACCAACACAAACTTGCCTACCCTCTTTTCCAAGCATCGCTTCTCAGGCTGCCAAACGACTAATGGAGAAGCAGCTTAATGACTCCCTTGGTCGTGCTGCTGAGCTTATCAAAGTAGCTAAGCAGCCTATCATTTACGCTGGCCAAGGCATCATCCAGTCTGAGGGTGGAACTGAGCTTCTTCGCGAGCTAGCTGATAAGTGTTCTATTCCTGTTACAACAACTCTCCAGGGCCTTGGCGCATTTGATGAGCGTGACGAGAAGTCATTACACATGTTGGGTATGCACGGCATGGCATATGCCAATATGTCTATGCAGGAGGCCGATCTTATTATTTCTCTTGGCGCTCGCTTTGATGACCGTGTTGTCCTGAATACTTCAAAATTTGCTCCTAATGCTAAAGCTGCAGCAGCTGAGAAGCGAGGCGGCATTATTCATTTTGATATATTGCCTAAGAATATTAACAAGGTTATTCAAGCAACTGAGGCTATTGAGGGCGATGTTGCCACCAACCTCAAGATGCTTATGCCTATGCTCACACCTACAAGCATGGAGCAACGAAGCGAATGGTTTAAGAAGATATCCGAATGGAAGGCCAAATGGCCTCTATCCAACTATGAGCGCGCTGACTCTCCTGGAGGCAACGGTCGCATTAAACCCCAGACCCTAATTGAGGAGCTGAGCGATCTCACCTCTAAAATTGACAAGAAAACAATCATCTCGACTGGAGTGGGCCAGCATGTGAGTTCCTCATGAGCAGCCAACACTATTACGAACACCAACTGACCTGAATTAGCAAATGTGGGTAGCACAACACTACTCATGGAGAGAACCTCGATCGTTTGTCACCAGCGGTGGACTAGGTACGTGATATTTTTGCAGCACCTTGGCTGTTTTTCTCCGGCCTTTCCTATCACCAAACCCAAATCTTGTCATGTTTCTTGGTCATTGAAGTTTATAACGACCCTAATTCTGACCCTGGGATGCAGGCACGATGGGCTTTGGGCTGCCAAGTGCGATTGGAGTTGCAGTAGGGAGACCAGACGCCCTCGTGATCGACATTGACGGCGATGCGTCCTTTAACATGACCCTAACAGAGCTCTCCACCGCTGCTCAATTTAACATTGGCGTCAAGGTTATTATTCTGAATAACGAGGAGCAAGGCATGGTTACCCAATGGCAGAACCTGTTCTATGAAGACCGCTATGCACACACCCACCAGCGGAATCCGGACTTTGTCAAGTTATCCGACGCAATGGGTGTGCAGGCGAGGAAGGTCTCTAAGCCAGAGGACGTTCGGGCTAGCCTCGAGTGGCTCATCAACACAGACGGTCCAGCTCTTCTCGAGGTTATTACCGATAAGAAGGTGCCTGTCCTGCCTATGGTACCAGCAGGTGCTGGCCTCCACGAGTTCTTGGTTTATGATAGCGGTGAGTTATAGTTCCTGGGACTGTAACACGATGATATGACTATTTGCTAACGGCGGTTGATTGCAGAAAAGGACAAGGCCCGGCGACAGCTAATGCGCGAGCGAACCAGCGGTCTTCACGGTGCTTAGCCAGGAGTCCAGGAGGAAGTAAAGCTGTTAGGTGAAATTGTCAGAGGTCCATAAGGCACATGGGTATTTTGATATTGCGTTGATTTTACAACTATGGATAGGTGCATAATGGATGTTACTTAATGATCGCTGGGGTCTTCAGTCGGCTGGTCTTCTTGTGGGAGCATCACAGGCGACTCAGTCTTGCGCCCCCTTAGCTTACAAAAGTAAAAATATAGGTTGCCTTGAGATCGCTGTCCGGAAAGATGCTGCTGAACCGCTTATGTATTTCTGACCAAGGAAGTCTGTCCTGACTTTCCTTCAAGCCGATAAGGAGATTATCTTCCTCAGGCGTAAAAGCATGGCCGATAGCCCTCCGTGAGGCCCGGCGAGATCTCCTTGGTGTAGACGCCCGTACTCCGGCTCTGCTACCAACATCTGCCACTGAGTGATCATTCATACGCGAATTCCAGCTGAACTGAATTTGAAACAAGGCTTGACCACCTATGAAGACGCGTTTCAAAGTAGCATCTTCGAGACTCCATTCTTGAAACGTCGCTGACAGAGCCCGTGGGTCACTCTCATCTTGCTTGTCATTCGATGGTGGTCGGCGGCTTGATGGACTGGCAGCATGTAGTCGTTGGCGAGGCTTGCCGCGGGTTGAGGATCGTCTAGACTTACGGCGTTTGCGGGTCAGAACCATCATCGGCATAACAGCTCGCTTAGCGCCTCGGTTGCGTCGCTGTTCCGTGCTGGAGGAGAGTACTCTTGTTCACCTCGCACGACACTGCACCCCTCGGTTCGGAAGTAGTTGTGAAAAGGCAGTATCCGAAATGGCGTGTCGGTCAAGGCTATGGTATTCAACCCTGTGGTTAAGCTCTTCGCCATGTCTTGAAGCTAACAAGCATAGGTTTGACCGAAACCTGTACAGTAGTTTGTACGACGAGCGAAGACGACATCGACGTGGGATCCTCAGGCTCTCTGGTACCCGCAACCAAAGCCATGGTTATCGATATTGAGGTAGGCGTCCGAATACGATAAGATTCAGTCTCTCGGCGCGTCAGATATATTATATAAGTTCCTTCAAAAACGAAGCACGGCGTCGCAGGAGAGAAAGAGAAAGCGCTGTGGAAAACAACAGCGTCTGGGAGCTGGGGTTGGAGCTAGTGTTGATGACAGTAGCTAAGTCGGTATCAAATTCTTGCCCTCGAGAGCCAAAGAGTAATGCCAGAGCGACAGAGCCGCGAATACGTGGAAGGCTCTTCCACACTATGGTTGGATCGTGACCCGTGAGATGATGGCACTGGGAACAGAAGAGGTCTTTCCAAAGATCACGGCTTTTCGCAAGGGGGGACACAGTCACGTACGCCATTAAGCGATTCCGAGAAGCTACCAGTGTTTAATACTCCTCATTAAGTTGCCATGACATTGCCCCGGATCGTCACCCATCTGCTCCGTTTTCTATATCACGTTCTAGGTCCTCCACCCGGCCAAGAACCACAAGCCCAAGCAAAGCAACCACACGCATCGTTTAGGAAAGTTCAAGTTGGGTAACGCAATCTTTAACACCTGATGAAAACGGCCAACGCGTATACCAATATCGGACGATGAATGTCGTCTAAGTCGGTGTCCACACGAACCTCATGTATGTGAAATTGAAAGCTCGAGGGCGGAATGATTGTGATGTTATCATGTTGCTTCAATGAGTTGTGATATTAACGAGGAGGCTTGATAGTATGTCTAGTGAATTGGATTGACGATTGGTTTTACCATTGTCTGCGGCGGCATTCTTCACACGGTCTCCGTTGTGCTGGTGGTCATGGAAGGAGTACATTGGGCTTTGACATAGTCGCTAGGTTGGCCAGTCACCGTGAAAATAATTGCTGACGCAACTGACAGGCAGAGTTCAGTTGGTGAACTTGCAATACAGCATAAGAGGGATACCAAATTCCAATGGACAGTTCACAGGCTCAGGTCCGCGCTCCCACTCATAAACTGTTTAACGGAAGTCGTCTCCTGTTCGAGTCATCTCATTCCATTATCACTAGTATAGCGCCGATCTCGCGATAACTAACTCCACACTCTATCATGTCTCCATCGAGATACCACCAAAAGGCTTGTCTTCAACTCATCACGAGGATTGTCTCAAGCCCTTTATTCAGTGCATCGTGTGCACTACCACTTTTCACGAAGAGGGGAGGTCTGATTGGAATCATCCGTGAGAATCCAAGCAACAGGCTCGAAGGAATGCGGTTGGGATCGCGTCCGCGTCTGTGGTGCTCTCGTCTGCGTCATTACAAATAATAAGGCTGCAGCCAATCTGATGGGAATATGAGGCAAGGTTGGGAGATCTCTGTCTTGCCTACACCAGGATACCCATTAACAAAGTAGAGACCATTTGGTATGGCCTTTAGTCTATTCAAGGCAGCGATGTGGTCCTTGTTGAAGATCGTAAATTCTCGAGGAGGCTATGTTGAACCTTATACGCTGGGTGACGCGGGTTCTGTAGGTGAGGGAACATGATGTGCAGATTTATGACAGTTGTATTCGATCGCCTGAAATCGAGGATTATCTCAAATGCAGCCTTGCATTGTGGGTTGACCTGTCGACTCTCAAGTTGGTAGGCCATATGATCCTTATTCAAGGATCAGAATCGTCGCAGAAGACTATGCTAAACATTGTAACCCGCGTGATGTGGGTTGGAAAGGTGAGGGTGATGTGGGTTAGAAAGGTGAGGGTAATGTAGGTTAGAAAGGTGGGTGGTGTGGGTTGGAAAGGTGAGGGAAAATGCTGTGCAGATTGATGAGTGTCTTGTTTGATCCCTTGAAATCAAGGATCACGACCTTATCTGTAATGAAAGACGAATGATTTTATCGTCGAGATTGACAGCAAAGTTGGCAGATGGGTGGATGAGGACTGGGGCGCCTTATGGCTGTCGTGGGGAATGATGAAATGACATCGAATTTGGCGAGGAGAAGAGGTCCCTATGGCTTTTGGGCGTGCGGTCGAGGTGGCGGTGAATATTAGAAGGAGGATGGCGTAGAAAAGTGATATCGATGAAGGAGCGAAAGCTTGCGAGTTAAGAGGTGGAGAGAGGCAAGGCTTCGGGCTGAAAGAAGCAGGGTACTGGAGGTTACGCGAATGGTGTAATTTTGGTTCCCTGGCATGGAGTGCTTCATCCACGAAAATGAATATGGATTTATCCCAATGTCCACATTGTGGGGTTACACAACCAAACGCGACAGTGCTGTGCGCGATACGCAACCGTCGCCATCACAATTTTCATCCTCCTCCACATCGACATTTCTTCTTCACCTTCATCACACCGAACGGACGCGCATTTCACGCTCACAACCACCCGTCGTCGAGGCAAGATGGCGTCGGTCAGCTTGCTCGACTATCCCGACGAGGTCATCGACAATATCGTCGAGGCGCTTCCGAATATCAAGGCCGCCCGCGCAAGCTGCAAAAGACTCAACAGAATCACATCGCCATAACTTCGTCACATCGAACAGACGCGCATTCACGCTTACAAGCGCCAGATCATCGAGGAAAGACGACGCCTGTCAGCTTGCTCAACTGCCCAGATGAAGTCATCCATTATATCATCGAGCTCCTCCCGGGAAGTACCACAAAAGCTGCTCATACAGGCTGAAAGAGACTCAACAGAACCGCCTCATCCCATCTCTTCCCCATTCTCTACATTTCCCGTCACCAGCTTGACCTCGATGTCTTTCGGATGGTGTCAAAGAATCCTCTTCTCATCGGGGGTATCCGCGACCTGGTTATCGATGACATAAGCCTTGTCTTCAATGCATCGCGTGTATCACCACTCTTCACGAAAGGGCGGGTCTAATTGATATCCCGTAGAATCCCCGCAACGGGTTCAAAGAATGCGATAGGTATCAGAGTCCTCAGCTCTTTGGCATGCGGTGCCTCATCCACGGAACCAACATCCGACCTGAAAGTTCAGAGTAGCTGCCATATGCTCCGACTTATTGACTCTCTGGCTTTGGGTGCCTTATCCATGAAAATGACATCCGGCTTGAAGATTTTCGAGAAGCCGCTGACATCCAACTTGCGGGTGATGACGGCCAAGGCGTCGCGTCCCCGATAGCATGCGCTGATAAGTGTTCTTGTTGGAGCCTGCATATTGTATGGCAATGATGGATTCTGAAGGGGTTTTGCTGTTGAGTTGGGCCATGGTGGAGGGACTGGAGGTAGCCTTTTTATCCCTTTGGGAACGTGTCTGAAGTTCTGTTATATGTATTGGACCCAATTAAATGCTAAGCTGCAAACCTTATCTTGGGCAATTGTGTGGGTAGTTGGTATGCTGCCTGAAGTGTATTTTTGAGAGCCTCAAGGGTTACGCTTTGGTAGGTTGTTTCGTGGATTAGTTCCGGAATGGTTTTTGAGCGAGACAATTCTAATCAGTTTCTCAGGTTGAGTTGGAGGCAAGGAATTTACTGTAATGGAGATATCTTGCTGCCGTCATTCCTGCTTGATTCCGGGCTCCTAGGCGGGCGGATTTCTCTTTTCTGGGCGTCTTGGTCGGCGAGCGGGAGAAGCGAAGCAGCTGATTTTCACTTCAACACTTTCTGTCAGTTCATACTGTCGCTTGCCGTTTTCGGATGTCGATGTTGCCGAGCCCAAGCCCTGCATGATCCTCAGTCTCTGACGTCAGTTCACTCTTGCATGCGCCATTTGTTATTTATCATTTTTAACCACCTTCTCAGGGCCGCATTTCTCTCTGGCCATAATATTGCTTGCCGTTTTCATATATCGTTGTTTGTTGCCATGTCTAGGTATGGACTCCGACATCTCTTCACGTTTATCCCTTTTCGCCACCTACCCAGGGCACATTTCCCAGGGTTCCATGCCATCCGAGGTTGCGACACTTCATCTAGTGCCCATCTTGCCCTTCTTCTCGAAGTCTTTCGCCTCTCTCCTTCCTTCTTCTATCATCTCTCATCTCTCAACATCACACACAGAGATTTCTTCTTTCCTCACCACAAATCTCTTTACCTTTCATTGCGCACACATCAGCCTCATCCACTATATTCTCCTCCTCTTGCTTTTCTTCCTCCCACAACAACAACCACACACCTCTTACCAACACACATCCTCTCATCACACATCTTTCACTTGGCCCCTACCAATACCTTTCACATAACAATACCCACTCAACACAAATCTACATCTATTCCACTATGATGAATCTCGAACTCCTCGAAAGATTTCGCGGGTCTACTCCAACCCGCAGTGCCTTTATAGACTTTATTAACGACGGCAAGCCTGTATACAGTAGCCAGCACGAGGTATATCACACAGTTATGTTTCGTCTCTTGCACAAGCTCAGCTCTAACCAACTCTTTAGAAACACTCTCCCGAAACCAGCAACACCCTAGCCCACCATGGCGAGCGAGGAGACAAAGGAGGAAGTACCGAAGTCATCCATGTACCCTGAGCTTCACGACCAAGTCGCCGAAAAGCTTAAGGAAGCTTGATGTCATTTTCGCAGACGAGGCACCCCATGCTAGAGAGGTAGTACGCCAGAGCATATGGCGGCTTCTCGAAAATTTACAAGCCGGATATTATCTTTATAGATGAGGCACCACATGCCATAGAACTGATGACTCTTTTATCGCGTTCTTTGAACCCATTGCTTGGATCTTCATATGTACGAGAACGGCCACAAGGACGAGGAACCTCATGCCAGAGAACTGACGACTCTGATACCTAGTTATCGCGTTCATTTGAACCCATTGCTTGGATTTTCATGGTTACCCCGGCATCGCACGGTAGCGGAGAGGAACAAAGCAGCACCCTGCAACATAACCATTCAAAAGGCAATTCCAGCCTATGCCTGCGACCAGTCACCTTCGTCAGCGCTGGACCTAGCGAGCCCTTAAAGTTACTAGATATGATCCCTACCTTCCCTCTCGCCTCTTCATCTCAGTGGTTGCCCCAGCACCGCACAGCAGCAGAGAGGAGGAGTGATGCGCAGCGGAAAGGAACAAAGCAGCACCCCGCAACATAGCCATTCAACATGAGACAATTCCAGCCTGCGCCTGCGACCAGTCACTTTCATCGTCGCTAGACCTAGCGAGCCTTTAAAGTAACCGGATACAATTGTTGACTAAGCCGATGAGGAACAAGAAGTAATGAATGAAGATACAGACGAGGAGAAAGAGGTGAACGAAAAGGAAGAGGCCAAGTCAAAGACGAAGACAACCGGCTCGATGAACATAATTATGAAGATGAGGAGGAAGAGCAATTGCGCATATCGCTCTTTGTTTTCCCAATCTGCTAGATTTCTCTCCATTTTAAAAGGCACTATTTACACAAATTGTCCTAAAGAATGCCTCAATATAGAATGGGAATATTAAACAGCAGTATAACAGGCATTACAAAAAGTGTAAATTAAAAAAAGAATTCCTCGACGCGGGAATTGAACTCCGCCTCTTCGTGCCTTATGCTTGCCTACCCCGTCGTGAACAACAGGAGAACCGGGCTGCCAAGAGCGTCAGTGAAGGCCAGCACGATATGTTAACCGCTTACACCAGCCGAGGTATTTTTGTTTGTTGAAAGAGTCGACATCATGAGAGATGATATATGATTGACAACACACCTTCGGATTCTTACTCTTATCGAGAGGCCGTTTTCAATCTCGCTGTTTTTATCGAACAGTTAAACCGGTTTCATTGAGTTTGTGCACCATTATCAATATATCAGCGAGATAAAGCAAAGCAATGCATCAACAGCTCATTAACTTCCCCCTTCACATCGCCCTCGGAGCTGATCTTTTCTCAAAGCTGTCATTATATTTCCTCAATCTGGCCGTCTAAAATCATCTATCTCTAGCCAATACTAGTCTCATCGTAGGCATGATTCAGTATCACCTTCCTCGAACAACATTTTCACATCGTCTTCTACAATATCACTTCCAACTTCGAAAGAAGCTTCATTGTTCACTGAACCTTCACCCCTGCACCTTTGAATTTCATAAGCCTTCTATGATATCTCGATGCGAATGTCCGACCGCGATCCTAAAACTCTAAGATCATGTCAGCCACAACGCCCAAAAGGAATTTACAGGATAAGCAATTCAACTTACGCAACCGACTTCACCATCAAGACCCCACCGTTTCTCCCGACAGAAAAGACTGCTCGAGCTGCGCCAGACGGAACGCCTCATCTGAGCTACAATGGTACTAAACAAGACGACGAAGACCTTCGGGCACACCGCCAGTCTTTGCCAAACTTCGATACCAGCGCCTTTCAATACACGGAAACATCTGCGGACCTTGATGAAGCATATGCTGCAGACTCTGGAGCGAAACCGCCATCCCCGCCCTCTAGTCAGCGATGGCCTCGTTCTGCAGCTCAAACGCAGTGAGAAAGGCACTGCGCTCGATATCCATCGACTCACGCTCCTGCTGCACAAGATCATGTGCCTCGCGTTCCATCTCTTTCGTCTTCTCGTCATGAAAGTCGGCGAAGAGCTTGATTCCTTGACGGACCTTGTTGACAATCGCTCGACGCTCCGGCTCTGGAAGCCCTTTACGCAGGGGCTTCAGATCTGCAACGTAGAAGCGGAGGATATCGGCACCCATCCCACACCAGGCCATATCTTTTCGCCGGTTGGGAACTTCGACGGTGTATTCCCACTCTGAAATATCTTCGTCAATAAATTCGGAAAGTTTGTTGTACCACATCGGATCGTGGTTCTTGCACCAGAGATGAACATTGGATTTCATCTCAGGAGGCAGAACGCGAAGGATGGGTTCAGCCAGCCACTTTAATACTGCTAGCTTCAGGAGTTTGTCAAAAAACTTTGACTTGCCCATCTTCCTGATATGCTCACTGGTTTGCTACAGCGCTTCTTCTCTGGTAATTTTCTTGAGGACCGGTGTGGGGACTAGATCAAAGCTGTCGATCGAGGAGACAGACTCTGTGTCCTGCTAATCCAGAGATGGGGTCGGCATTCTGGCGTGGAGTATTCTGCGCAGTCTCTTTGGGCGTTTGTCGACAAAGGTCTTGAATTTGGCGGGAGCAATATTGGTCGTCGCGAATCTTCACCTGAAGGCAAACAAGTTGCAAGGTAGTGTGTCGAATATCTTCGTTCAGTACTTTTGCTTGGTTGGAAAGCCCCTCAAAGACATTAGTTGAGGTCTCTACATCAGTTCACACCCGGGACTCACCAGCCAAGTTCTGTGTGGTGATTATAAGCTCTCAACCACAGGTCTCAACTACAAATGGGACTCGCCAGCAATCCAATGACGGGCCCTATAGCTGGCCTCAGGGTCTGTACTCAAAGAAAGCAAGATGTGGTGATATTACGACTTGACAACAGGAATGTTGAACGAAGTAGCACATGGGAAGGTCGAAAACAGTGATATTTAGGTTCCAGTGCACCAAGACGTAAGCCCAAAGCAAAGATGAAGCATTCAAAGTGTGTCAAGATGAGTGAGTGGATCAGAGGAAGCAGAGATGAGTGGGGCCTCGAAGGTATGGTCTCTCCGGGAGCCTGTCAACTCTATCTCTGCATCAATCTGTGTCCCTCGCTGCTGAATCGTTTGCTAGGGAGCAGATCCACTATCCATTGTTACACAAGTGACGTTGAGCGATATCGGGCTACCTTCTCCCGGCTTTTCAGTGTTTCAATCTGATTTTACAGCTATTAGAATATTGGACTTTGCTACGAACGAAACTTTCAAGGCAACTTATGGGGCTTTCTGCCTGTCTGTGTTGAGATGATGGCAAGCAATGTTTTGAATTTCAAGATGGCCCTACCACTCTCACGTCTCTCTCAGGGGTCCGATTCTGCCTGACATGGACCAAGAAAGACGCCAAGACAAAATTCACGAAAGTAACCCAACAGCTGAAGATACGCTCAAAGAAACAGCTGCAACACACCGAGTCGAGACACCCAGCGACTTGAGACATAGCTCCGATGGCATCAATCATCCAATCACAGACCGGTTCCGTGGTCTAGTTGGTTATGGCATCTCGTTAACACCGAGAAGGTCCCCGGTTCGATCCCGGGCGGAACCACTCTTTTGCTCTGTCCTCCACTGAGAAACATTACTTTTTGGTCTCCCTCTCATAACGCTTCTCTGAAAAGTAGCGGAAGTTGCAAAGAGACTCCAATCTCTCGTGAAAACTTTGCGTTCTGAGATGTAGATGATTGATGTTGTTCAGGGTAGAGCTTGAACCTCAGCTTCGAACATGGAGTTGAGGATCATGACTTTAAACTTTTAAACGCTCTGGATAGTCATTCCAGTAATGCTTATCGATCCCACTGAACGTTGCATTTTCCTAGTGAGGCTTTCATTGGCTTCCCGGTTTGAGAACTCGAATTCCGAACGTCAAGACATGTCTCAATTGGTCTAACATAACAGATGGGTCACGGTGCTTTCCAGAATCCGGGTCATGGATGATCAGAGGATTGTCACAAGAAACAGTAGATAAGGTCAGGCAGTTGTTAAAGTGATCATAATTATATTTATCGTCTATCAAATGCTGAAATGCTCATAAACCATGGTATTCCCCTTCTTTCATTAACCCTCATTAAAGTCCCATCTCTTTCATTTTAAATCATTAAACCAACATCTTAGTTGATCTGCTGGATGCTGCTGAAGCTACCAGAGTGATCGCCGTAGATATACTCCCTCACACTCTTTGTTGTAGGAGCGTCGCCACCAGCATAATCAACAATGGAAATGCTCTTGTAGTAAGCGTTGAAAGGACCCTGGGAGTAGTCGGCAATACCACCGGCCCAGGCGATGGTACCAGGAGCAGCATCGGGAGAACCAGCGGTCCATGTTCCAAGCTTAACCTGCATAGGGGTCTGGGGGAACGCAGATCCGCCCTTGGCATCGGCATAGTTGAGGGTGCGGACGACGACGTCGTCGATCATCCAGTTGATAACAGAGGGTGTCCATTCAATGGAGTAGAGATGGAATTGGCCTGTTGGGTTTGCGACGGGATGGAAAGCGCCGCGGTCATATGTTGAGACGTCACCCTTGCTGAAGTAGTTGGATTGAACTTGGGCATTGTCACCTCCGAGCCACTCCCAATCAATCTGAGATTGTTAGCTGGTAATCGGCATAAGAAGAGAAGGAAAAGAACATACCTCATCAAGATTATCAGACTGAAGAACAGCACTCGTGCAGATGCCTACACCCGTAGAGGCCTGCACCTCGACGTCGACACGACCAAAGAAGATGTACTTGCCCGTCGCAATTGTAGGAGCCTGATTAGGTCCCGAAATTGTAAAGACAGCACCATTGCCGTTATGCTCAAGCGCAGTACCAGCATCCTCTGCAAAAGCGTCACATGCACCCTTTGTAAAGTCACAGTGAACAGTGTCTCTTCCAAAAGCAGGGTTGGCAGGACATGCTATGCAGTGTGAGTCAAGTGTATCAAGTTAATGGGATAAAGGTAAGACTTACTGGCTGTCATGGGGTTACACTTTGTGAATGTTTGGGCTGAGACAAGAGGTGCCGCAAGGGCGAGGGCTGCGATGGCTTTGGAGAACATTCTTGCTAGTGTCGTGTAACGGAGTACAACAGGATATGGCTTTTCAGCAATGTACAGTTATACAAAAGTTTTGAGGATGAGGATGAGATTTTTTTTTTTAATGTTCTCACGCACGTTGAAATAGTAAGTAGATTTCGAGTCGGTTTCGCAATTGGTGAAGGCTGGTTTAATAGTTTGCTTTTCTGCGCTGAGAGAGGGCTCCCAACCTCCCCTGTCAAAGCCTCGGTTTATATCGATCAGACGATGGGTGATCAGGTCTCGTATCGACAGGGCTAGCGTCGACTAAGCAACCAGGGTTGGCCTGCTCGCAAGCCACGCATGCTCCAACGACGGCATGGATCTCCACACCCCTTGCATCAGATCACCAATAGCACGGACAAAACCCTGCCAAGAGTTCGTGAGAGTCATCGGTTGAGTTGCTGTAGTGAAAAAAACGGCGGGACGGAACTCTGAATTGAGACAAGAGGCCTTTCCAGATCCGTTGGATGGTGCAGTAGTTGGGTGGCTTGAGTCTTACCAACCACTGATACGAACTCCCGACCGGCCATTTCTTCAAGGGTCTAGATCGTGGTGGGCTGCTTAGCTCGACGTCGTGGGTGAGCGGGCTGTGTGCGATATGCGTCCAGGGACTTGAACTAAAGCATGCGGAAACTGTCAGCGGAGGAGTAATTCCTTGTGCTGACGTCAGGTCAATCATCAGAATTCAATTGACTCACTGTAGCATTATTTTAATTGTCTCTTTTCGTGGTATTTTCGTAATGGTATCGAAAGCCCGGCTTCGGATCCGGGCTAAACGGCCAGCCTCCTCAAATACGAGACTACGCTATCAACACAGCGGCTAAGAAAATGGGAGGCTGCAAAACCGCTGTATCCGTAAAACAGAGTTGCGATATGGATGGCCATGACCCGTTCTTCTTTTTTCCGCCGCTCTAACCGACTTGACTTTCTTCTTCTCCATTCTTCTCTGCATGTCGACCCCGGCACAATCTAGACCGAGTCAAAGCTCCCCACTGATCGTTATCAGCTCCCCACAGGATGAACGACAATCTGCAGGTCTATTGTTTCGGAGACTTGAAGATCTCGCGGATCTTTATTTGAGCTCGCAGCAAACGAACTGGTTTGATGTCATCGTATAGACAATCATTGATCGATCGATTTATTCACTCAATTGACATCATGAGAATATTGTCTCCGCCAAAAGAGACTTTTCAGTAAGCTTCCACTGTGGGCGGCCAAGCTCAGCTGATCCGTCATGAGGTGCTGTACCCCGCTTGAGCCATGCATCTTGATGGAGAACAAGGCCCTTGATGCATGCATCACCACTCGGACCCGGCATCATCGACAGAACATGGTGTCTGACCGTATATCGACTTTCTGTTTCCCCGCTTCCACATGCTGATTCAAGCAGTTCCCATGCTTTAATCAGCATAGACCTTCCTGATGAAGATATCACGACGTATGCATGTAACCCTATTGTTCACTCGCGCATCAATCATCCGAGCGAGTGTTGCTGCGATGGGATGTTGGATATCACAAGTTCCACCGAGGGGACAAGGCTGTAGTGAGGGGAAATGCACGATGACTTCGTGGGTTGAAGCGGTGTTTCTCAGCCTCATGGTCTAGTGATCAATAGCTCGGGGTCATCCTGGCATCCGGATACCCGTGCTGCCGCCGTCTATTCAACCCCGCTTGTTCCCGTTCAATAGACGACCAAAAGTGAGCATTATTTTTCTTAGCTCAACGGCCAATTCCGCAATCCTCTGTGAGGTCAATGAAGCTATCTCAACATCGTAAAATAGATGCATTTTAACGCAAGGCACAGCCGTATTTTAGCAGTAGTTGGCATCTAAGAATACCAACTAAGGCCGCGCTTTTACAAACGCGGTACAACGTTGCAGAGGTGAGCGCCACGATCGGTGGCTGATTGGCACAACAATAGGCTGGTTCCGGAGGTACCGAAGGTTAATCTGACCGCTTGCGTGCCAATCCAACACGAGGCATATTTGAATACGATCGCTTAACGAGAGAATATTCAATCTATGAATAAGCCAATGTGGCTAGGAGATTATTAACGACTTGGCGATTCTTAATAGCGCCGAATTGTTCATTCAATTTATCTCGGCATTCCTTGACTTCGTATAGCCAAACTGGAGCTTCATTCCAGGAAATGGAACATTTTACTCCGCGAAAAAGAATTCTTCTAGCTTGAAGAATCATTCCCGCCGACAATCAATCTCATGACAGCTGCATGTCCCCGAGTCGTTCCAGAAGTATTAGGATCATTGAACCAATAGTCGTGAACGACCTCAAATCCCGACTTCTCGTAGCATCTCACAGCCGCGACAGAGTTGAAGTTGACAAGAAGAACCAGCATGACCTTTTTGCCTTCATTTTGTCTGGCTGCAAGTTCCTTGGCGTACTCGATCAGCTTATTCGCCAAGCCTTTGCGCCTCTGAGACGGAGGAACGTAAATCGCATTGAGGACGTAAGCAGATTCAATCTCATCCGCAATCGGGCCAAAATAAGTAGTTCCGGGGTCGAAGTTTTGCATATCCTCCCATGTTTTCGCAGCATGCTTGGCTTCGAGCGGGCCATACAGAACAAGCGATGCGAGCCATGGTTCGTTCAGAGCCAACGTGAGGTCGTCAACTGAACCGGGGTTTGGGTCGGACACGATGATAATACTGGTCGCGAGTGGGTTGCTCAAACGGGCTTCCCATATATCTTTCGTAAACTCCGCCTCGCGTGCATAGTTTGAGCTGAATGACTCTGGGGATAGTTGCAGAGAGAGCAGTCGGAACTCTTTGTACTGGTCCACGAGTTTGTCCCATTGATTTGGGTCGGACAAAGACTTTGGCAAAGTGACAGCTTTGATAGACATCTTGAAGATGTTCCTTGACTTCGATTTGTTGAATGTGTCTGGGCCTTGATGGGTCAAGTATGTTGGCTGAAAGTTGAAAGCCTAGAGTCTGACTGCCTATTCCCCTATGACTCATTCCTATCACGCAATCGTGCATCCTAATCAGGCATCCATCGAGAAAGTTCGAAAGAGAGTAACGATATGAACACTCAATTGACGCTCCTCCTTGTGCTTGAAATCAAGTATCCCAAAGCTTGTTCAACAAAGTACTGGTTGGCCAAGCATGGTCACACTCAAGCAGCGTTACCAGCTCCATAATCGCAGCCTGTTCCCCCGGGTCTTGGAAATACTCGCCACACATGGATAGTCCAACAGCAGCTGTGACCATTCCCTCTTGGCACCACTTCTGTGACATAGCCAAGCCACAAACTCGTCTGGTTGCTTCTCGCATCAAGTCTTCCAGTGCTTTATGCGCAGCTCGTCCGCCAATGCCGAGTTGGATCTTGGTGTCCTGCACTGCAAGAACTATACGTGCCAATTCGATGTGTTGGAGGGCTAGCATTTGGCATGGGCTGGTAATCCAATATTCTGGGAAATATCGACCTTCTGATGGGTTGCGTTCTCGGTAATAAAGTGGTGCAAAATGAGGTGGTCGTTTCTCATCCCAGTTTCTCTGGAAGTCCTTGATAGCCTCCCATTGTTGAGATCGAGTTCGACTATCGGTCGACTGTTCATCCTGATCGTCTGGGTAGCAGAATTTGAGAACGTGCGCACACCAGATGAGAACCCGATTTGTCCAGTCATAGTCATCAGCGGCCAAGGTATCATCAAACATGCCGTAGTTTTCGACAGGAAGGATTGGCAGTCGGAATGGCCGACGATGCATAAGAACGGACCAAATCTCTTGACGGAGTGCAATAAGACAGGCCGAAAACCTGAGAGAAGAAAGAGACGTTGCATAGACATCTGATCCGCGGGGAGGTTGCAGAATCAGGTGGAGGAGTCCATCTGCGTCATTCTGAGATGATTGGAATACAGCACGGACGGCAATTGAGAAGGTTTCGTTATCAGTACCGGTAAAATGTGCTATAGCAGTGTCAGAACTGAGCAAACCAAGCCAAGGGATATCTTACTGTCAACCTGCTCATGATACCTCAATATTGTAATGGCCGCCAAAGCATCATCGCTGCACGAGTTGATCGGATCTGCTGATACTCCCATCAGATGGGAGATGCACTTGTTATGGTAGTGTATAGCTGATTCCATATTCAGGTCCGGTAGCTTTACGCCGGCATATTCGATGATGCTGTCTGGATCTTGGATTGAGGAGACCCGAGTGAGGAATCGCGCAGAGGCGGTGCATATAGCGTTGAGAAGCAGTGGGCTGTGCACGGCGCGGAGAGGAACGACTGAGATGTAATGGTGATCTCTGTCTGTGGTATCGAACTAGCCCAATTGTTAGCTTGAAGCTTCTCTCCTGCAATATATCTTGGAATGGTCATACAGCCCTTGCTAGTTTCTCAACGAAACACCGTACCAGACAGGCTTCTTCCAGGTTCAGCGGCTGAGTTGAACTTGCACTCAACAAAGAGGTAGGGTTATGGAGTTCCAGGTCCATGATTGAAGGCAGCGTCTCCGCTTGGTAGAGCTGATTGTCGTTGTATGTACCAAAGGGTGAGCCTTCCTCAGTATTGCCAGGATTCAGATACATTCTTGCATCCTCATTCGGTGAGGAGTGCTGCCACTGCGTTGAGGGGACGGGAACCGATGAAGAAACATGGTGATTGGGAGCAAGGCTTGGCCTTCCACTTGGTGATGAAAGTGATAACTGAGAAAGATCTTGAGGCGCACTAAAGCCTCCATCTTCATGGCTTCGGGATGTTTCAAAAACATCTTGGGGCTCTTCTAAAAGTGCTTCCTCTGGAAGCGCTTCTTGCTCATCTGAAATCTGCTGGTTGTCTTTCGATAACGACTGTAGAACAGAAGCAGCAAAATCTAAACCCTCTGACTGGGGCCCTTCCTCAGATGATGGAGATTCAGCGGCTGTACGGGAGTGGCGAGAAGCGGAGTTTGTTTCATCCACAAACGAAATTGCGTTTGATTTCTCTGTAAAACTGAGTTAGAAGAATAGCAGATAAAGGATTGAGTCAAATATACTTTGATTTGAAGTTTCTATCCATGTTTGGTTCGGATCAAACTTGAATGTGTTTTCAGTCGTAATGAGCTTTTTGATGCGGAACTTTTTGGCACGAGCGCAACTTATGGAGGCCTTTTTGCAATTGGCACAGGGAGTTTCTTTATCACCTGCAATCGTTAGTCTGAAGGTAATGGAAACACTTTACGTAGCAACTTCGGCATACATTTCAGATGCTTTTCTGCGAGTGGTGGTCAGCTTTGATCAGGGCATCCTTGCAAGATCATCTCAACGAACCTCGACATTGATCGCATGGTTTCGTCCGAGTCCGAGGCCCCGAACTCATGATATTTCGAAGTCTGGATATAGGATCCAAGAATGATGAGACGGATTAGGAAGAGTTTCGCCGGGTTTCAAAGGAGAAGGCGTGGAGTTGGCATAAAAATGAAATCTCGGCGAGCAGGCCGAGGTGAGAGCAAGGATATGAAATTGGCGTAAGGATGACCCTTAGCGTCACTCCTTCCCCGCATTCTAGCATCTCCGATGACCTAACGGAGTTGAGTTAGTGGATTGATCCACTGAGAGCTCTCAGCAACCAAGGATCACAGTTTGAATAGGAATTTGGACCATTTTGATAGCTCACTCTAAGAACGTACGTGGATGCGAACCGAGGAATGAATTTCTACAAGTACTAAGCCCTCAGTTAAACCAGTATTCACCAAAGCCCCAAGCAAGAAAAAGTCATATAAGGTCATTTCGTGACTTAGTCGAAGAGGTTGATCTATAGCGATCATACGAGCATCAGGTTACCGAGACAAAGAGAAGTAATATATACAAGCAATTCAAACTGATAGCCTCGTCAGTGATTGTCTAGATTCAACTAGTTACAAAGATAGCTCCTTCAGAGACTCTGCTTAACCTCAACATGCTCAGCACCATAGGCATGACCGTCCCAAACCTGTCGTCTAATACGCTCATAAACAGCCTCTTCATCCGCAACAGCGTGATCCCCAAACAGCTGAGAGATTTGCTCAAGAGACTTGTTCGCAGTTTCAGGTACAAGGAAGAAAGAAAAGACAGAAGCAAGAGAGCAGAAGATTCCAAAGAAGAGATAAGTTCCCCAACCAATCTTAATGATCATCTCAGGGACAACGACACCAATGATGAAGTTGGCAAGCCAGACCATGGCAGTAGCAGCTCCTACACCCTTGGCTCGGCGGGAGCTGGGGAATACTTCAGCGGGGAGGGTCCAAGCCAGGGGTCCATATGAACATGCGTAGCAGAGAACGTAGATGTCTGAGTCTGTTAGTGAGGAGTCTAACGGTCGAGGAGGTATACGTACAGATGAGAGCAACGCCAAACCAGCCCATGCCGGGATTGGCTTCCCACTTGCCGTCAAACTTTCCGACGACACCGGACATGATGAGGTGGGGAACAGCCATGGCAGCACCACCGAAGATGGCAAGCTTGCGGCGACCCATCTTGTCGAGGTAGAGAAAGGTCGGGATGCCAGCGGCCTGTCATTCTCGAATTAGTATGATTTTGAACAAGCTGTTAGAGACATCAACTCACCAGCTGACAGATGTTGACCATTCCGGAAAGGATCAGAGCCATGTTATCATCCTGCCCGAGAGCTTTGAAGAAAGTGGGAGCATAGTAAACTGATATCGTCAGAATCTAATCCAAGAAGGCTGAGGACTGTTCTTACCGAACGCATTGATTCCAGAGAACTGTTGGAAGAAAGGGATTCCAAGCGCAACAGCAGTACGCTTAAGGCATCTTGGTCGGAATAGGTCACCCCACTGCTTCAACTCCAGAATGATACCGCCATCATTGGGATGTTCCTGGGAAAGAATCTCCTGCTGGAATCGGACTTCGGTGAGAATGCCCTTCCACTCGGCTTGCACCCGGTCGTCTGTTGCAGGGACACGTCGGAGTTGGGCGAGGGCGTGAAGAGAGTCGTCGTCTCGTTGGCGCATGACGAGCCATCGGGGAGAGTAGGGGAAGAAGTGAATGCCGAGGCCGACCAGTAAAGCAGGAGGCTGTCAGGTAAGGTTAGTTTCAGGAGGCTGGAAAATCGAAGCCGGACATACCATCTGAAGAAGAAACGGCAGTCGGAAAGACCATTCACTATCCATATCCTTTGTGCCGTAGGTAATCCAGTAGGAAATGATAGCTCCAATGACAATACTGCACCGATGGTTAGATACCCCTCAGCCACAGAAATGCGAACTCTGACTTACGAAAGGGCTTCGAGAACCAAGAGTGAGCCTCGCAGGTTCGGCGGGGAAATCTCAGAAATATACAGTGGCGCACCCATGGCCAGAGTACCCACGCCAATTCCACCGATAGCTCTTCCAGCGACGAGAGTACCGTAGTTATGAGCAGCAGTCTGGATGATGGCACCAATGGTAAAGAAAACAGTGGCTACAGTCATAGCCCACTTTCGAGAGATTCGGTCGGCGAGATACGGGAGGAAAAGACATCCAACAAAGGCACCAAGTTCGAGCATGCCGGTCATGAATCCAACATTGAAGCCATATCGGGGATGCCCTGGGGCTGTTTCAGGGAATTGATCGTGGAATTGTTTCATGGTAAGGATGATACTGATCACACCTTGGTCTGATAACTGTTAGCTTTGAAGTGAGGATGGCAACTGGAGACTTACCGTAACCAAAGGAGAATCCTCCAAGTGAAGCCAGAGTAGCTGCTCCCAGAACATAAGGAGATCTAACGATACCACTCAAGCCATTGCTATCATATTCAACGATAGTCTCAGCTTGGGGCGTTGGATCAGTCTCTTCGACATGGCTGGGGGAATTGCTAAGAGACTCTTTAGACATGGCGGATGGGAACTCGTAGAAGGACCAATTAATAAAAGAAAGCTGTGAAGCTGATGATTTGAAATGATCTCCAAGGTGAAGGGATCATGAGCCTTTAATACTTGGCCAAGGATAAAGAAATCCATGAAGTTGACCTCATCCCAGCATCAACCCCATGGGGAAGAACATGGTCTAGCCCCGGGGAAATAGTTTGGAGTTGGCCCCGCTCACGGCATTGGTTGCTTTCTTGGAGAAATAACCTTCAAACTAGCTCTGGCAGTCTCATTGGAGTAAAAGTTCGGCGAAACATTTCCATTTTGGGTTGACGTGCGGCGAATCTTCCCCAGACTAAATTCTGGCATCCTGCTGCGCTGGATAACCAATCGGAAAGCTGCTAAATGATTGTGGTTCGTAAAAGATTATCCCTTGCGGAGCTGCTTCGGCATACCGCTCTCTTATCGAGGCAAGAAAGATTTCAGTGCACGACTGATAATAACATCCTGAATGTTTCTCCATATCATCCACAAATTCCTCTCATCATACATACCATCTATGAAATGGACATACTGTCGGAGATCAGCCCGGTTCAAGTGCTTGATCCTAGAGAAGAGGTAATTCGACGCATTTGTAGCATCATCTCCTCCCACGTAATCTGGAAATTCATCCCTTAGTGGTGCTTCTGCGAGCCTCTTCGCGAGTCCCTTGAAATTGTTGAAAATGACAATGATACTTGAATTTCTCAGCCAGTGTGAATTGACGGTTGATTCATACTGAAGCAAGGCTTCGCCACAGGAGCTGCTTAGATCGAAAACAAATATGACGGCTGTTGTCGTCTCGAGCTGAGGAAACAGTTTTGTCCGATTAGCTGTTGCGTTGCCAGGGTCTGTAAGTCGCATAGTGAGCTGGCCCATGTTGAACGCAGCCTCCACGCAACCAGGTAGTGGTGTTGTACAATTTATAGCATCTGAGTTAGTGGGAAAATAGTCATCTCGCAGAATCTTTTCGATTTGTTTGAAAAAGCTGGGCAGAAAAGTGTCAGTACAGCGGTGTCAGGTCAAAGTTATCAAAGGACATACTAGTCGCCATTTTCGGGAAACACGAGGGTGTCGTCCGCCATTAACACCTTGGTTGCCGGATGTCCCATTATCGTGCGGATTATTTCAACAACCCACGGTTCAAAGCCACAGTCGAGATCCAAGTCTTCTTTGTCGCCGATCAACATGTCCTCCAAGCTCGCCCGTATGGGATCTTCTCTGATGGCTTCGTCGACCAATAGCTTCTTTGCTAAATACTGAACACTTTCTAAAACTGTTCCAAGGATTATGGGACGGAATATACGTAGTTGCTCAGCTGTGTAACATTGCGGGTGGCCGTCTGACAACCTCATCTCTTCAAAGACTCGCTTCCTCGACTTTGAACCAAGGATGACTACTTTGACCTCTCTCTGGGCCAATTTGAAGTCATCTTTTAAGGTCTGGTCAATACGTTGGGACTCCTTAGCTTGAAGCTTTAAGTCGCTCGTGCTTCGGTTGCGTCTTAGAGGCTGCATCTCCATACTCATGGCGGTACGTCTCAAAGACGTGATCTGTTCTCCTAAGTACGGTATTGATCGAGACGGTTGTTCGGATGTAGCAGTTTCTTCGGGTGTGAGGATATTTTGTTCGTTACCGGTAGGTGGATCCTTCAAGGCCATCTCGTTGTTTGAGATCTGTTGATGATCTTGCTGGGTTGTATCTTCTGGGAAGTGACTATTGGTCCTTCGCGTCGTTGCGAGCTTCCGAATCCATTTGTCGTAAACTTTGGTGATGAAAAGCTCCCGATCAAACGCGAACTGAACCGACCATCTCGAAGAACTTATGGATGTAGCAGTGATTATGGAGTCTGAGTCTCGATGAACAATGAGAGAGGCAGTGTCTCGGTCCATGTCCTGGAGAGCTCGTACGAGTTTCGGTTGCTGCAGGATTTTCGTTTCCTCTTCCAAGGCATTTCTGGCAGCGATGTGAGTAAGTCAAACTGCTCCATGGTTGGCAAACCCACGAGTTGCAAGCACTTAACAGAAGTGTTAACGTATGTGTTTGTTGATCAACCATCCGCTGAATTTGCTCCATATCTTTCGTCTTGAACAGAAGTGAAAGCTTGGAACCAAACTCTAGATTTCCAGCTGTTGTTTTCTGAAACTGCGACACTTCGCCATCGATCTTGCCAATGAGGAGCCGAGAGCACGTTACGCAACTGTCCACCTGCATCACCAATTGATGCGATTGTTCGTTAGATCTGGACTCAGTCCACTTCTGAATTTCACATAGTGCAAATTTGAGGAGATTGAGCTGGTTTTCGAATGCGAACACGGTGAGGTCGGCGACTTTCCAGGCTTGTCGCATATCAGACACCGTTGTGATCGTTTTGGTGAGGACATCGATAATATTTGCAATCGCTCCCGCTGTTCCAATTACCGACAAGGGATCCGCCATTTTGGCCTTCGGGGTGATGGTTCGAGCAAAGTTGTCACAAATGTTGATAGGTATGAGTCGGAAGGGGGCATTTGCTAAACCCTTTGCATGATCTGACGTGAGTGGTTCGCAAATCTGCCTCACGTGGCTGTGTTGGACTGGAAATCCGCCAAGTCAATTGACAAGGCTGAGAAACATCAATCGGCGTTCGCTTAAAAATGCCAAGCGGGCGCGGATGGCAATGTTTCTTTCGAATTCAGCTTGATGAGGTAGGCTACCAGATTTCCCATTTCTGATCACCAATAGCACAAAGCCGATTGAATAGCTGATCTCTACGAGCCATTGCTGTGGTCAACGTAGACTTCCCTCCACTATCAACTATCTCCAAGCCATCCATAATCTCAGCTTCCAACGCCCATCCAGCAAGAAGTTTCGCTTTGGCCCCATACCCGGAATACTTGTTCAGTGTAGTGATGTCCTTGACAGGGATTGTCCATGTAGGGTGAACCTCATGATAGTCAGAACCATCCGAATCTCCCGTAGATCTTCTAGAAAAACACAGACAAGGGGATGAAGTATCGGATGTGATATACACATACCCCTTTTCTCCCTGCCAGCGACATGTGAACTCGACCGGTCCGGCAATTGACGGCTTTTCCCTTGTCGATGCCGCTCCAACACGGTTCTTAGCAGATAGTGTTCCAGTCTTTGCTCGGATTTTGTTAACACCTATGACAGTCTTTGCTGCTGCATGAGCAACAGGTTTGACGATGCCTAAGAGCTTGCCGCGTCTTTTCCCACCGGTCTCATGGTCAGGGTACTCATGGTCATCACCGCCGGTATCTCGGACGACTCCAGGGGATTCCTGAACAGCTTTTTGAATCTTTTCATGTGACGCTCCCACTGGACGGTCGCCATTAGATGCACTGAGGACATCGTCATCAAGAACGTGAGGTTCGTCAAGAGGTGGACCTTTTGGTTCGGGAGGTGGTGGCAGAGGGGCCTTGTTTCGTTCACCATGTCGTAAAAGGGCTATAGTCAATTGGGAATCCGTCGGTATTCCCCGGAACACAATTCTAGTCAATTGTCAGAGAGATTCAGTTTGCATTTGAACAGGCTTCGTACCTTTCCACAGTATGCTTTAGCCAACCATAAGAGTTTCTCAAGAAGATGCTACCAAAGAACCCAACCCCAATACCCAAGGTAACAATTCTATAGAATATGTAACAGGGCGTGAAAGTTGATAGTATAATAATCGGGAGAAGTAGTTGCACGATTCGATAGCGGGCAGTATCTCTCGGAAAAGGTGCAGTTGGATCAAGGAGACTAGTCGTAAATTAAAGTCTGTTTTCACTGGCATAACAGCAGACCAAAGCCTGGAAAGTGAAAACTTACTTTGCACTCCTTTCCCACATATCGCAGAAGCGACATACCCAATGCATCAAGGGTCTCATCTGACTCCACATAAGCTCCTGCATAGGCGATTTGCTCTTGTCCCAAGACGGTTTCTCGATTCCAGCTGCTTTATCCTTCGCAGTCGCTATCCTAGTCGCTAACGATCTTGGATCCGGAAGATTAACAGTCTTTCCACCTCCTCTTTGTGACTCATCGTGCTGAGGATCTTTGTCGACGAAGGTATTGATGGACAGAGCCACAATGCCTGTTGCAAAGTTGCTGGCTTCTCTCTCCAGGGTTTCACCCTTGAGGCTCTCTGGAGCGCCTGTAGCTGTATCGACCGTTCCTAGAATACCCGCGGGCGGCTTTATCAAATGGCCGCCTTGATAATGGACTAGCGCAGGTGGGCAAGGCGGGAATAAGGTATTTCGAATTCTGGGAGAGAGCAGGATGGCCATCAAACCTGTCAACAGTGTTGGCATAAGGAAGTTGAAATACCACGCAGCGAGATAAACCTGAATAGTTAGAGGAGGTATTCTTTGCATGGGAAACTGATTGACCTACTAGACAAAAACATGATGTTCGTCTTGGTTCCCTCCAGGACTGGAGTCTCGAGAGGTGTTGTCTAAACATGATAAAGCCAAGTATCTGCAACTGTCAGTATTTTCCGAATGTCTTGGACTGAAACACCTACAGCCCCCATATAAAGTCTCTCGAGCTGTGCACGCAGTTTGTTTGGAGAGAATTGCTCCTCCTCAGCAACGTTGAAATCCAACTCATCATCTGGGTGATCTGGGGCATATTTGAGATGGAAAACGCGCTGTGGCTCAAGTCAGCTAATGATTTTGCAAACTGAGTGTGTAAACGCACTTTATTGAACCTTCGGACGAGAAGCCAGATATCTTCGTTCTTTATGCCGTCGATAGCATAGTCCTCGGGTCGTATCTGATCATCATCCCAGCCAACATCTTGAACTTCTGCTGAATTGGCGGTAACATCATGGGCCTCGTGCACTTTCTCGACTGCATCATGATGCAAAGTCTCATGTTGAACACTCGTATGAAGGGTCGTGCTGCCATCAGCACCGTGCTCAAGATTGGCAGCAATATGCCTCGTTTGCTGTGCATTTTGATCCATATTGCAGGAATTCTTGCTCAATAAGAAACAAATATATCATTTCCGCAGTAAATACGAAAACTGGAAATAAGCTCATACAAATAGTCTTGGCCCCGGATAGCCAAGATTCTTAGTGCATGATGTCAGGGACTGCAATTCCGCCGCGTCGCGCATCACGGCGTCATATTTACCCATTCGACACGACAGCAACCACTACAAGCGCATCATCCACGGCCAAGAAGTAGCGTAATTAAGGACCTTTTCCTCCGCGATATTTCGAATTTGGTCGGCGAAGATCGTGGTGTGCATTTGTATCTTGGTCTGTTTGAGTGCATGATTGGCTGATTACTCATTTCAGTCAGACGTCGGTCGCGTCCGTGATTTGACGATGTTGACGGCCTAGGGTAGGAGAAGGTACGGAACGAGTTGACTTGAATTTCAACGCGGTAAATATTAGTCGATTTATTTGTAGCGATATAATTAATAAGCCTAAATATCTGGATTTTGGATATTGATCGGATTAGACTTATTTCACTGCGTTACAAGTGAGTTGGGCCGAAACCTAAGTAATTAAAGTCTCCAGTCAGTTACATTCCCTCACACTAAGGCATCAATAGACGCGTCTCAATAACGGCGCGTTTCCATCGAAAGCAACTCGTACTAGATTATGGATACTTCTCACAGCGCCTGTATGGCGGAAATTTGTCTAAAAGTTCTTTTTGTCGCGTCTTTCCCAAGATTACACGTGTACACGGTCACATCGACAACGCGTCTTCATGAAGGAACGGAAGCAATTCTGGTATCTTCATATAAACAAGCAAACACAACACCACGATTTTAATTGGGCCCTTTCGCTTCCAAAATCTCGTTCTTCTCCAATGCCTTCTTTCCAATTTCCACCATTTCCGCATTGGACAAAGTATCCTTACCAAATCCAGTGATCGACTGGTCAAGTAATCCGGCCACCATCTCGGTCCTCCCAATATTTGGGATGTTGATGACAGCATGCGAGAACCAACGAAGCCCTTGTTTCACGAAACCCATGTCCGGGTCGTTGACCATTCCTCCCTTAGCAACGAGGACCTGCATTCTCCCGTCCGACAAATGCGCGCGCTCGATGATCTGTTTCTCTACCTGGCCCTGAACACGCTGTTAGCATTTGTACGGCAGCGATGCGCTTGAAGACATACACGAAGAAGACAATAGTCCCCAAGAATCCATGGCTTCTTTGCAGGATCTCGCTCGGCGTTGCAACCGCTCACGTAGATGAATCGCAGAGGGTCCGGGTTGCCTTCGCGCGGAAGCTTCGCAAACGTATCGGCCGCGTAGAGCGCATACTCATAGCAGATCATACGAACTTGATCCCAAGTGTACTGCTTCAGCTTCCCGGGCGTTACTCCAATAAGCCTGCGCGGTCAGTTGTGTCACGTTGGGAAGCCGGCCGGACGTACCATATGCAAGCGTCTGCTCCGGAGATCTCCTCTTTGACATATTGCGGGTAGTTTTTGAAGTCGGAACAGGAAACGGACATAAACTTGGACTCAATTTCTGGTGTTTGTAGGTCTTCCGGGAGATCATGATCGTGGCGCGATAATGTGACGACTGAGGTGATCTGAGGGTGCAGGAGCGCCTGGCGGACGACTTCCTTCCCAATAAATCCTGTTGAGCCTGCGATGACGACCTTCATTGCGACGAGGATACTTGGGCGTTTTTTTTGTTTCTTTTCACTTCGGGAAGCTACAGCGACTTGAATGTTGGATATATCAGTTTATCGGGTCGACAAAATCCTCGTCTGACGACCTGAAAAGGCCCCATGCGCCGCCAATATTTATAAGACTCGTTATCGCTTACGTCGTCATCTTCAGACAAGAAACCTCAATTCTCCGAAAGCTACAAGGTCTGCACTAAAATCGATCTCATCAACAAACAAGCTCATGAGGCTTGTTCTATTCAATTTAACATGCCAGAACCGGAAGACTGCAAGGCCCCATTCCCGGATTTACGGCGCCGGATCGGGTATCGAGTGAGAGATCCATTACAGCAGGCATTCCACCCCGCCAAAGCTCCATTCTTGAACAGGCATTTATCGGCAGGGTCCAGAGATTTGGGGGCAGGTAAGCCTATATTAAGTTTACACATATATCATGGCTTTCTGGATGCAAATGTGATCATTCCTGACTTTCAAAGCAGTGCGCCTCAACCATAAAGGATTAGCAGAGAGTCTTGTATCAGCCTAGTCGATGAGGTGGAAGCCGAGTATGCCTTGTTCAATGCAAATCCATGTAGGATGCCGAATCTGCAGCGCTGTAATTCCGCTTCCCCGCCTCAGCGCCTGGTTACAGTGGGCGAGACACTGAGTAAGGTATGACAGACTTCATGCAAGGCGTTTTCGCCAGCCTGGTTGAGATGTCAGTTACCAATTCGAAAGACTCTGTCGTGCCTTGAATCTTCAGCATGTAATGCTTTGCGAATAGAGGCATCGCAAAATGCCTTCTCTCCCAGCTTTCCTGTCTCGTTCGGTGCCAGCATCTAGTGGCAGTAGCGGTGGGCATATCACTAACGCCCCTGCAATTCCAAGTACCCGCCTCGGTCCTGCCACCGATCTGCTCGAGACAGAACTACTCAGAATGTACTGGGAAGGAGTAGAGCGCGAACTTCCTTATTTACTGTTAACATTCAGGCGCTGGCAATCACGTCAAGACACATCAGAATACAACCCTGATGAGAATGATATTCATATCCATGGCTATGATACGTTTCTCGATTCCGTATCCGATATTTCTCGCCAATTCCATGAACGCAATAAGAGAAACCAACGATCGAAACGTCCAGAGAAGAAAGCGAAAAAAGACACGAAAGCGCCACCTTCATACGATGAAGTTCTACGAGGTCGTGGCTGGGATATTTTGGCCGATATCGAAAGTCAGACCATCAAAGGCGCGATCAGAACCTCCCTAAGCGAACGCAAAGTACTGGACCCAGCGAGACGAAGAGCTCGGATGCTTCTTCAATCAGCGCAATTTCTCGACATCGACAAGATTATTGAGCATCGCGAACCTGAAAAAGCACTATCGTTTTGGAAAAGACCTGCCTCCGCTCAAATACGGCTTTGGTCATATGACGCTCTAGACCAGCCTGTTTTCGTCCCACAGCTCTGCTCTGAATGTAAGGCGACCATTCGGGGCTGCACATTTCAGGACACCAGCGACGAAAGTATTGCTATATGCGAAAGCTGTTACCGAGCGACACATTATGGACAGACGCGTTTTGTTAAGAAGTACAAAGAATGCTGTCTTCCAACGGCCTTGACGCCAGAGATCAGTCGAAAGTTGTGTTATTGCAGTACAGTTCGTCGACGCGATCAAGATGGACGCTCCCGGTCGCTATGGCCAATTGATCCTGCGCTTGACCAAGGTCATCACGTCAAAGGCGGTCTTGGTCGTGTAGGATGTGGGCTGTATACAGTCACCGACCTCTTTGCAGAGGCAAAGTATGCCTCTACAAGATCAAAATTCAGCAAAAATGACAGTTTGCTTCAGTTACGGAAGAAGGATCCTATCGGAGGCGAGCCGAGACCTGCTGCAGCAACCAGGAAGCAACCGAGTCGATTGGGACATCTCAACGAGACTTCACTACCGGAATACGGCTATTCTTATGGGTTCAGTACTGATGAGCCTGAGGACATTCCCATGTACTTGCGGTCGACAATTGAGAAGTATCCGTATGGGAATGTTCACATGGCTCTTCGTTTTGGCCCTCTGATCATTGAGAATGGCGTCGCAAAGTAAGTCTCTCGACTCGTCATTTAAGACAGCAACTGATAACTATAGCACCATGGGTGGTGTCCTCATCACCAGCCGAGATCCGCCTTCATTACAGGTCATCCGTGATCCGTCAGAAGACATCACCAAGTCTCTTCTTCTCGCAGGCCAGACAGATCGCATACTCTATATGCAGGATAGACCGAGACACCCAAAGCGATACAAAGCCTTTATGAAGCAAGTCGTCGGTGGCGCCTTTTGTGACTTCTTCGAGTCTGGCATTGAAGATGAGCTTATTGACGCCTTCATACATGAATCTAATTGTCTGACCGAGGACGGATTGACTTTTGCAGAGCAAGAAGCTATGATTGAACAGAGTACCAAACGTCTACTTCTACACGTCAAAGAGTACCTCGCATCGAGGGTGCAGGTGTACATCTCGAGCATCACCGCTCATCTTCTAGATCCAGAGGTTCGACTCAAATGGCATTATCACGAGAACAATTGCCAGGCATTCTGTGACAGATTGATTGACCGCGGCTTGTTCAGTCCCCTGTTCGCCTCCAAGGCAGCGGCTAGTCAACCAATGCCATTGTACTTGATGAGCTTTGTCTGTCGATCCGGGTCAAATGTTCCTACACGGGCATTCTCTAAATACGACGTTCCAAATGGTCTTACAGAAGAATATCTGCTCAAGTTCCGCTATGGACGCCACGATGACTCTGATATTGTGGATACACTGGCCGAATATTGGACGGACTGGGGCAGTTTTGAAGGGCCCATCTACCCATACCAAGATGTCTTTCCATGGGATTGTACAGAAGCATATGATCGTTATCCCGGAAACTGTGGCGATTGCAACATTTCGAAACATGTTCTTGCATTCCCGTTTGACTCTTGGTCCATCGTGTCTCTGCATCTAGCCCGGGGTCGGCAACTGTATCCTCCCAGTGCACAACCTGCCATGAGCAAGTCGACTGGGAAGCGGGCGAACCCAGGCGTAATGACAGACACCGATTGGTTCAAGAATCGCATCACCGTACTACTCGGTCAAGACGTCCTCCTAACAGCTGCAGTCGCTATGGCAAACTGCAGCCAATTCCAAGCCGCAACAACATGGCTCACCAACCACGAGGACGAAACCATGGATAGACTCAAGCTCGGAGGCATTCATCGCGCACAACCTTTTAGTCACCATTTTGAGAAAGGCGCTTACCATCAATACTTTGTCGCTGACTGGGCCTTCCTCGCTCAGCCGTTACGAGTCTTGGAGTATGAGAAGTTCAGGGATTGGAGAGCAACTAAGATCGATGTTGGTGCAAACACGGCGGATGATGGTAGCGGAGGAGGAGGATGCGCCTCAGGTCCTTTCGCTTGTGGTGCGGTAGCAGCAGGATGTGCAGTAGGATCACCAGGCATGGCTGGGGATACTTGTGGAAGTGGATGCGTATCAAGTTGTGGTGGTGGCGGCGATGGAGATGGAGGATGTGGTGGTTGCGGAGGGTGAAGCAGAGCAATCTACACCAGTCATATACAATGAACCATTTACTACGTATGATGTCCCGCCCAATGACACTCATGTCTTCCCTTCCCACAAAACCACCAGCGAGTAGCCCTTCTCCCTACAGGCCACATACATATCGCGCAATCAACATTCCTCGGCAAAGTTCTACTCAGATAAAACTCATCTCTCTTCTCCTTCATCTCCGTGAGTTTCTCCCCATCGAGCCTGATACAATAGCGACACAAGTGTCCACCACCATCTTCCCATTGTGGCTCGCGGAAAGTACAGCAATTGATATGCTGCATTTCGAGATCTTGCATGTTCCACTTCGCATAAAAGGGTGCCGCGCCGCCGGGCGCGGTGACGAGGTAGCAGTATGTGCAGACGGCGTAGCAGTGCATAAAGTGGTCTTTTATACGTGAAGACCGAATTCGTTGTTTTGAGGCTTTGCAGGCCTATTCATAATATCAGCAATTGAGTAGTTGGGTGTGCCAGAGCTTAACTTACGTCGCAGATCACACGTTCGCATGACCAACATTCGCTCTTCTTACCCTTGAAACAGGACGCTACGCATACCGACTCTATCCGGTCCTGGCGAGAGTTTGGGTCCATCGACGGATAGAATACAGCGGTGCGTATCAACTTGGATGTGAGCGATAGGTTCACCATGTCATCATAGTGAAGGCGGCTTGCGACTCGCTCAGCGATATTGTCGTTTTGTAGCATAATTGCCAAGGACCTCTCTTGACCTCGAGGCTTCTGTGACAACAGTCTATTGATGTCGTGTGGCCATCTCTTGACCGGCTTGTGCTGTATCGGTAGGAAGCATCGTCTGAGGACGATTGCTGGAACGCTGATGAAGCGAGGAAACGCGGCGATGGGGAATAGCAACACATCTTGGCCAGCAAGAAGGATTATCGTGAACATGGTCATAATTTTCCCCAGACTCGCTCCAAATGTCCAGTCTTTCGATCCCGTAGGAATCGGATTCCGGCAGACTTCCACAATTGAGAACAGAATGATTGCCCAGTCGACGCATAGTATATAAAAACACCCGCGACTTCGTTGGCAAGAGCTCCATTCTCCCATCGATCCTCTGCTTTTTCGTGTTGTCGCAATTATTGAACTGAGAATAGGCCATAATGCCAACCAAATGCCCTACTACAATTAATACCGAGAATTTCAGATGACTGAAGTACTCACCAGGAATTGACGTCCTCTATCCAAGTGTCCCAGCCGCCACCATGGATTGAGCACGACAAGAGGGCCGTAAATGCAAGTTGGAATAATTGACCAGAAGCGAAGCCGCGCAAATGTCCTTGCTGTCCTGCCACAAATGCTAGCAATGTTGACGATTATGAGAATACCCCATGTGATCATAAAGATCGAGAAGAACGCTTTGTGGAGAGTATCCATGATTGCATTGTTGCTCCCAGCATGAAAGTTGAGGTTGTGTTGTGAATATCGACGGCTCAGTAAACTTACAGCGGCTGGTTGGCACCGCGGAATACCCCCGCATCGATCGACAAGTCGAGAACGCCTGGGCGCTTGTCCTCTCTTTAGCCGGGCGTAAGATGTCTTTGCTTCAATGCGCGCGATTGGTGAGATTGCCCAGCTGATAAGCAAGGGTGCCTGAGACGAGGTACACTTTATGTTTGAGGCATGGCGAGGCAAACTGGAGGATTGCGGTATTCAGCCCGGATCGCCTCATTCTACGACTCAACCTTGGTGTGAAAGAAGTTCACCGATAAAAAGTAGCATTAGGAGAATTGAAGATATTTTGACTTCATATTGCAAAATGGCTTTAGAGCACCGATTCACCAAACTTTCCCTGCACGAGCAGGGAAAGGATATGGTCTCAAGTTCATCGCGCCCGAATGATCCGAATGGCAAACCATACGAACTCGCCGTCAAGCCTGAGGACTTTCCAACAATCCCCGACCCCGGCATCTTTAAATTTCCGACTACAACAAATGCCAATAATACACCATCAAGAAACCGAAGTCCTCCAGACTTGGCTCTGCCTACCCTGTCTGAATGCGCAGCTCACCTCGAATTCCTTGAGACGCTCTTCATCTTGAGGCAGAAGATTCTGGTTTCGAAAGAGCTGGACGATGTGATGCAGACTAAACCTTTGAGAGAGACCAAAACTGGCACTCAGGGAGATGAAAAGACGTTTAAGGATGAGAAGCTTTGGGAACGAAGACAGGCGAAGTGGCCGAGATTTGTTGAGCTTGCTACGGTTCGCTTTCTAGCGTGGAGAGAACACTTCAATATGTCTTCGGAAAGAGAAATCACGAAAGATAATCTACCACCTCTTGATATCCTTATGGTCTGGCACTCGTTTCTCCTCAACCCTCGCCTGTTCGTCAGCATCTGTTCAGAAGAGCCGCTCTTCTCTGTCAAGTTTCCTTGGAAACACATCCACAACGCCATCGATAACGCAGAATGGGTATTCAACTTACCACCAGCGGCAGCAGCAAACTATGAAGAGGCATCCGGCTTTGCACCAAATCTCTTCAACGATATACTCTCATGGAAAGATCTTACCTACTCCACGCTTCGGAGCATGTCAACCACTGGGTTTGGCAGCATTGGCTACAAACCCGTGATTTACGAAAGCCCATGTAAAGAATACTCGCAACTATTTAGAGATTTTGACTCACCTTTGGCAAAACAGCTCAGGGATGCTGTTATTCGTCAGGCATCGTTCGTTGATAAGATGAATTCATTCATGTGGATACGCAGCCCTGCTCTTGAGGGCACTATCAGAAGAGCTATTGCGCGGTACCTGAACTTCTGCAAGCTTCTCAAAATGTCTAAAACCACTGTTGTTCCGACCTTGGATATCGATCTGGTTTGGCACACCCATCAATGTACGGCGAAGCACTATGGACAGGCGATGAAGGTCCTAGCCGGAAAGTTCGTCAACCATGATGATACCATTGAGAAGCCACAACTAGGCGATGATTTTGGTAAGACAAGAAGACTGTATCGTGTGTACTTTGGCCAAGAGTATCGTGCTTGTGGGTGCTGGGACTGTCAGGCGCTTTTGACGGAACTTGAGAGGGCCATGGAAGGTGAGCAAGATGTGGATATGGATAAGATTGCAGCAAGGGTTAAAGAAGATGTGTTCTATTATAGGGCCGTAGAGTGGTCGAGGAGGCACAAAACGAGTTTGCCAGTGCGACGGATCTGAAAGCAGACCAAGTAGATCACGTCTTCTATTATCTTGAGTATTATCATACAGTTCCCCCAGACTCCTGTACCAATCTTTCCAATCTGTTGAGATATATCCTCCGCTTATGTACAGATATTTCAAAGAAGACTAATTTGCAAAACTCAATTGGAGATACTCTTAGTATATCGAGCTTTTGTGGTGGCGTATTCGTTTCCGTATTGAGTTGAGCTGATCTCAGCTCTACGGTATTTAAGTCCAGTTTGGCTCTCAACACAATGATATTTCCAACGACATAGAATTCGGGTGGAGGGAGCCTCCAAGTAGTGTCATGATTCCTCTCAACTTGAGTGTTGTTCGTAAACGTGGTATTATTGAATTCAGATAACGGTAGTCCGTAGGCAGATCGGTAGAGACTAATGATAGATGTGATGTAGCCTTGGTCCACCCTCGGAACTAAATCGTATTCGTTGACAACAGCGTAGACATGACGAGTTTGAGGGAGGCTTTGAGCAAGCTCGGTAGTGTTGGTTGAAGTAACCGGCGGAGCGCCGAATGTGATAAGTGAGAACTTGACATCAAATACTTTTAAAGGCTGTCAGCCTTCGATATCCAGATTCGAAAGGGTTCAACCTACGATCGCTTGGGCAGTGGCAGACAAAGTGCAAGAACATCATTGCTGCAACAGCTCCGCCGGCTGAGTGACCTGTGAATACTATGTCTTCCAAACTCTTGTCGGCTGTAACTTGGCGGATTATCTCTTCGGTGAGCCAGGGAAGCAGAGTTGTTGCACAAGCCAAGAAGCCACTATGGGCAAAGATTTGCTCTTCAGTACCTGGGAACGTCTGAAGATGACTGTTAGCGTTTGAAAGATCTCAAGATTCCCGAGACTTACAAAGACTGAGGCAGCATCCTTCTGGTTTTTGTTGAAGTTTACAAGATGATCTGTCTTGCAAGATGTGCCTCTTATGGAAACGAAGAGTGTGTTTGTATCTTCAGCCTTCCATATTGAAGTAGCTTTGACAGTCCCGGTGATCGATGGCGTGCGTGAGATCACTGGTACGAGGTCGCCTCCTGGATGGATATCTGGTTTGTAGACAGAACATGCGCATCTGCAGGCGGCAAGCAGTAGCTCAAGCAAACGGCGATCCCTATCAGATTCGGTTAGATTTAGAGTTTTCCGTTCTATTCAGACAGAAAGACATACCCAGTCCATGGTTTTGAAACTTGTTCATTAACCCTTGAGTTTTCGTACTTGGATATCTCCTTCGCGAGCCGTGACAGGTGAAACTGTAACAAGTCTCCATGTTCTCCTATTTTACTTTGTATCAGCATGCTATGTATCTCTTAAACAGCCTCTTTCACCTTGGTCATCCAACTGATCAAGCACAAAGTCCAGACATTCGAGCAGCTCAGTCACAGCTACGGAGAAGGCTTGTGAGTTGGCACTGAATTCAGCTTGCGATGTTGGCGCTGAGGCAGCTGTTGCAATTGAGGTCTTGGTGATCGATCTTGCACTTCGACCTTTGAGAAGCTTTGAAGCCCACATTGTACAAATAATTATATCACTTGTGATAAAAGTCCCAAGTTTTCTACGATTGAAGAGGTGAAGCCAAGATAAAGCCCTGCTGCGCCACGTACTGCACTGCCACTCCCAGATCGATCAATCGGCTCTTAGATTAGTCCGCACTCAGACTTACCTTATCGGGCCATATAGAGTAGACCATTTAGCTACCTGCCTACGACAAGAGGTAAAAATTTTAAAAATATCAAGTTTATTACTACAGAGACACTATAGAAGAGATGAAGTCTATAATGAATAACTCGGCTTCTAAGCAGCTCTTTTGCTGTATCAAGCTGTGGTTTGAGCGGCCCTGAGCGCTAATCTAATTCAGCTTCTTAGGGGATAAAGGATGGTTATAACTCGATTCGTGAAATAAAACTTGGCTCTTATGAGTTGGCGGCATGTTTTCCTTCTTTAGTGAAGGCTGAAATGTTTGTTTGTAAGGCGGCGTGTCTTGACACTCAAAGCCAATAAAGCTTGTAGCGGGATCTTGAGGTAAGCCGTGCCAAACGCAAAAGGTGATAGCAAATATGACAATGATAGACGTGGACTTGTAGATTTTGTCGACTCTGATACGGCCAATTGCATACGGGCGACTCCCAATCCAACTCTGCATAGCACCCAGTGTTTGAATATCAGTGTCGTTAAGGTGCACTGATAAAATTACATTGGCTGGTTGGAGTCTCACCCCTCGGGTAGGAGCTGGATACCAGGACTGGTGAGTGTTGAGGAGCATGGGCATCAGGAAAAGCGGAGTGACATGCTTGTCATGGTGCTGGAGGAAGATAGGTATAGCTGCCAGTTCTGGCACTCCAGCCTGCATGACGAAATGCTTCGTAGCTAATCGGTTGTACAGCTGGGATGTACTCAAGACTTGCCCCTGGTTGTAAGCATGTTCTAGTTGCTGCACAACGTTGTTTGTGAAGCCTTGGGGTCCATCTCCGCATGTGCTCTCGAAACTGCAGGCGGCGATGAGTTCTTTTCTTTGTCCTATGCTACCACTAGCCGCATGGCAACAATCGAGAAGAATAAGTACCTTTGAAGGGGAGGGGTCGAGGGTCTCGTGTCTGAGGCGATTGAAATCAATGGTCGGGTCCGGTAAAAGTGGGGTGTCTGTGAGTAGTGACTGTGACTGATCAAGATGAAGTTCGTCACGGTTCTGGGAAGGGTTTGGAACTCGTTTTCCGTGACCAATGTAGTGCAGTACAGCCAGACAATCCTCGTCCATATCCGCCACGAGTTTTTCCGGCGGGGGATAGGCGGGCAACAGGTCATCATTATTGCCAGAATGAGGCGAGTTCTCGTTATTATCAGCGGGGTACGAGTCCAGGTTATTACGCCCAGCGCCTTCTTCGGCAATGCGCTGGGTCTGGCGCGACAAGCCCTGGCGCTGGCGGTTGCTCTGAACATATTGGCAGTCGTCTGTACCTCAAGACAATATCAAACCTCTTCTTCAAGACGAGATTGATATGAGGTTTGAACTTACTGTCTGCTTAGAGACACCACCTCGACCACCACCTCCTCAACCACTGCCGCCGCCGCTACCACTATAGTAGGTGATAGTGACTGTTCTGCCATAGATATTTTTAGTTATAATTTGAATATAGGTTAATTTCTGATTTACTATCTATAAGTATATTATAATTAAAGACTTATCTGAGTTATTAGAAGATATACTATAATTAAGCAAGAAAAGCTATAAAGAGACTAGCACTTATATAAACCTCTCTCATAATAAAATAGCTTATATAAAATATAAAAGTAATACTATTTATTATAGTATTAGGGAAAATAAAAAGTAATATCTTATTACTAAGAATTCTAGGTAGATTAGAATAAGAAGAGGGAAAAGAAGAGCAGTTTGAAGAAGCTTATAACACTAAGAGGCCGCCTCACTTTTACTGGATCAGAAATGAATTAAATTTGGCTACCTTAGGTACCTTAGGTATCAATTAACCACTGTATCACTATTTGCCACTCCTGCCAGTGTCTGTAAATTCTAAGTCCACAGGTCTTAGCTCTCTTGTATGTCTTTACTAAGAGTGCTCTGAAAACATCACAGGGAACAGTCAAGGATTTCAATGACTCGGCCATTTTCTTTATTGAAGCATTGCCGTACGTACTTGAAACCTGTTTTACGAAACCTCCTGTGGAAACCGGGCGGCATGTAGTTAACTTCATCATTTATGCAAGCCTTCATACAGAACCAGAGCCACGAATGTGGCTGGCCCATCTAATAAGTGATAGGAACTGTAGGGATCTATTCCAGCCTGCTTGGCTTCGTTTGTATCTATATGATTAGTAGAGATCTTGCATGTTATGGTGAAGCTCTATCCATGATTTGAATTGAACTTGATAGTATTATAATACTAAATATTAGAAGGAAACTCGCTAGCTGTACATATTTCTTCTATATGTCTTCCTTCAGAAGGGAGCCACCGGCAGCCTCACTAAAACAAACCAAAGATCAAAGACAGATGGCGATACATGGATCTTTGGTTCTCGTTGTTGCCAGCAGGGGTCCCACCTATCCCTCTTACAGCATGGCCACCGGAGCCCTAGACTAAATTTACCTTCATCTTCATCCATTAGAATAAAGGTCCTAAGTTTTATTACTTACTCCATCAATCCCCATTGACGAAATCAGCCCCCTGCCAAAAACGTCAGTACCATTCTACCGGGCTTGATATTCATTAGGCGACGAGTCCGAGTAACTGGTCTGACTTTGAGTTTCACGCAGCCTCAAAGAGCTTCTAAGCACATCAGGAGCAATAGCTCCCGTGGCATAGCTCTAACGCAGCCCAAAAATCCAGCCTCTCGGGCCATCTGTTGTCACAAGCCCTTGGGTCCTTAAAAGCTTAGGATTCGAAATAGTATGCGGAAAATATCTAGTCAAAGAACATGGTAAGTTTAGCCTATAACATACTAAACTAATCTAAGTATTTCTGTCACTTGGGATGAATGTCTCAAGCATTCTCACATCCCAAGCCAGCTTCACAGTGGTGTTGTGGCGTAGCGCTAGATATCAATGTCAAGCCACAGGATTCCTGATCTACAGGTTCATATACGGATTTGGAATTAGCTTGTCGAACCTTGGCAGGGGCAAGCCCATGCGATTTATCAAACCCAGTAAGGTTACAGATCTTAGAGTAAATCTTTAAAGTTCCTCGAGAAACGGTCGCTTCCCCCGTGATGGGTCCATGTCTTGCTAGGGCTACTATCTAAGTCAACTTCAGTTAGTCTAGCCAGCACGGGAGAAAGTGGAACGACATATGCAGCCACAGATGGTCTCGATTGTGTCTTATTAATTGTAATATATCATTTTCAACGCTAAATACAAGCAGTTACTGTAGCTACACTAGCAACCTCAAAACGAACATGCCAGCAATATTCGTTAATATACATGTAAAAACATTTGTCTTGATTTGTCCTGCACTATTCACAGTGATCGGGGAATCGGGGCTCCAGCTATCATTGCCAGAGTCTTTGGTGGCTGGTTTTCCAGTTGAGGGGGTATCATTTTGAGAGTAGGGGGAGTTATTGCCAGACGAGCCGGATCCGTCGCTCGAGGCACCAGAAGTATCACCTGTATACGGGCTGCCGGTCTTCTGGTTAGGAATGAGATATGAGTTATTGTCCCCTGAAGTGACCGTATCAGATGAACTTGTGTCGTCTGGTGAAGATGAAGAATGGCCATTAGGGGAACCAGCAGGGGAGGAAACGGAAGGAGAAAAGTGATAGCCAGATGTAGGTGTCTCAGATAATGGCCGAGTTCTAGGAACACCGGAACCTGTCTCATTAGAAGATTCTCCATCATTTGCAGAATCTCCGTTGTTTGATTGGGGCTGCATGGATCCAATGTTGGAAACATCTTGGCTCTCTTGACTCCCGTTGCTGGAGTCTTGTGCGGTCGAATCTCCAGAGTCTGAGGAAGGATTTGTAGAAAGAGATGCGCCATGGTTATTCAGTGCATGGCCAGCATTGGAGCCAAAAGAATCAATCTCAGAAGTTGAACTGCTCTCGGATTGTTCACTGTGGCTGAGTGGAATCTGTGTTGGCTGTGCAATAGGTATAACGACATAGCCAGAAGATGAGTATGCTTCAACAGACTCAGTTGGGAATGTCAAGGTAGCGACTTTAGTCCCTGAGCCTCCGCACTTGTCACACTTGACCACCGCAGATGTGAAGCCAGGTGGAGGAGCGGTCTCGATAGGCAAGGGCTGACAGTTTATACTTGAACACGATTGTGTAATGGTGTAGACTTTTGTCGTCAGGCCTTGGGGGTAGAACTCTTGATATGTGCGAGTATACTGGTTGTAATAGCCATCAGTGCCTTTTGTGACAGTGATGACAGGTAGAGTAGTGGTTGTAGCGCACGGATCAGAGATCACTCGGGCGTATACAGGTAGTAGGAAGCTCAGTCCACAGCTTATTGTTGTGAATCTCATCATGGTGGCTTTGGCTTGGGTGGTTAAGGGGTATGGATGTCAGGGTGGCATGAGAGTGTTTGTATAAGTCAACCATGGATTAAATGAGTGTTGAAGATGTCTGAGTCAAGATGTTGGAAGGTGAGACATTTCGAGTACTTATGGCTTCCCATGAGATATTAGAGTATCACAAACGCTTCAATAAAACCAGACACAGTCGTCAACTCCATAGAAAGCTTCTAGAAAGAGATTCAACTATAAAGTTCACTGTATGGAATGGGTCGAGACCCTTCAGCGGCCTTACCTGGCTCGAAGGTTCAACCTCTCCAAAGGGTAGCCTCATGGCCGACCTGGAATGTTTAGAAATATTGAGGTTCTAGTGAAATGTCTATTTCTTGGGCTGATAGCAAAAATAACCAAGGAACCAAGTAGGTGGGTGTCCGGCGATAAGCGAATCCCCATCGAAGCCGCAAGTGAGTTCGGCGATCCGGGAACTTGGGTCCTTGTGGCGGAAGGATACTGTTTTGGTCTTAAAGCAAGCCTCTTGTTGGAAACCTAGAGTCATTATACTGTAATCACTCCACAGTCATCCTTCCAGAACGCGGATGGCGCTGGTGTTTGATCTTCATATCTGTCAGCGAGGCCTAGGCCAGAACCATCAACGCCACAGTCAATCCGCACGCAATCGGAATGCCAAGGCTTCTCAGGACCGATCTTTCCATATTAATACTTATAAACTCTGCTTGCAGGTCGATCATTCTTTCCAAATTATTATACGTTCCTTCCGTAGTTAGTAATGAAATACATATAGCAGGGCGCTCCTTCCTCGATCGCTCCATGACTGACACTCGCACGTGACCTTCTCTCCTCCACATCTGTCTAGCGGCAGGTACATCAGCTTCTTTCAATTAAACATCATCTTTGAAGCCATGCGTGCGCATGAAATCACGCGTTATGGAGTTCTTTTCGTCTTATTCGCTGTCGTAATATCATGGGATCCAGTTGTGGATTGCCCTGATGGAGAGAAACGTGCTGAGGTCCAGCCAATCAAGGTTGTCGATGGCTCAAACACATTTGATACAACATTAGCCAGGTTTGACAACTTATATACAGCGCGTATACAGAAAGCTAACAGCTATAGTACATTTCTGATACCTCATGAGGCCTCATACATCACCACCGCCGTCTTCGGCGCTGGGCCCCCTTCAACATACACAATTCCACCGCAAGGGACACCACCCGTTGGGACTGTGATAATGAAGACCCCTTTGACCACAATCACCTCCATTATTTCTTCATTGACAACCGTGCGGACTCGAACACTGACCCCTGATCAGCCTAATGATCCCACGACTGTCGTCGTTGAGATACCTGAGTACAGAACTCAGACAGAAAGCGTTGAAGCTGATTTCACAAAAACTGTCCAGGTGGACGATCCCCAGAAAATCACCGTTGGGCAAGAATATTACACCACTATCACAGAGAAAGGCAGCAATGGAGATCCCGTTACCAAGGTCGTGCACGTCGACAACCGTACTACAGTCGTTGGGCAACCAAAGGCGACAACCATCACTCAAACAAGAGACATCGAGTTTCCTGTTACGCGGACACTTCAGCCAGGTAACCCAGGGGATGTCAGCACGATCATTATCGAGGTCCCAGGATCTACGTCAGCATATACAACCATCACCCAGACGGGCACTGTGACTGCTCCCGTAACGTCGACACAGCCTGCGCGTAGCTCAGGGGGTACCGGCACTGTCTATGTAATTATACCATCAGACCCTGTTCTGTATGCAACTGTCACTCGTGTTGGAACAGGGACAGCGACTGTCACCTCAACGCAGCCACCCAAACACCCAGGTGAGGCGGGAGTGGTCTTTGTCGATATCCCTCCGGCAATGGGAAGATATAACACGGTCACACGATTCGGGACTGGGACAGCTCCAAGGACGTTCACTCAGACTCAGAATGGGCCTGGGAGAGATGGTACCATCGTGGTAGAAATTCCGCTCACTGGCGCAGACTACAATACTGTCACCCAAGTGGGTACAGTCACTGCGCCCGTGACTCGGACCATTCCACCAAGTAGTCCCGACGGCACCGGTGTGGTAGTCGTCGAGGTACCTCCCGCACGTTGGGCTACGGTGTCTCGTGTTGGCACTGTAACCGAACCTGTCACACGTACCATCCCTCCAAGCCACCCAGGAGACACGGGGACTATCATTGTTGTACTGCCACCTCTCAACACTCGCCTCATTTACACCACTCGTTATGGGGAGGTGACGGCGCCAGCAACTACTACCCAATACCCTGACGGGTCCTCTGAGACAGGTTGGGTCATCGTGAACCTACCAAACCCTATGACGACTACTATCCGTGGAAGTGACATCGACTCTCCAACGACGATTATACAGAAGCCGGCAAAACCTGGAGAGACTGGAACAGTATTAATCATCACGCCATTCAAGTACATAACCACTACAAGAACTGGAACTGGATCACAAGCGACAACCATAACACAAAGGCCATCTGGTCCAGACGACCAAGGAACCGTGATTGTGGAAATCCCGCCAAATGTGAATCCTTTTGTCACAGTGACCAATTATTGGACAGGTTCAACAACAAGGACGACGACCATCTCCCCTCCAGGCCCCGGCGAAACAGGCACTATCCGAATCGACTATCCCGAGGACTCCTTGCATTACGTCGTCACTAGTGACTACTGGACTGGCTCTACAACGAGAACAATTGTTGTTGCCCCAACTGGACCTGATGATACAGGGACCATTCGTATTGACTATCCAAGCGCTGGAATGCGTTACATTGGCGTTAGCAGTGTCTGGACTGGGTCAACAACACGTATGTGGACTGAGCCGCCTGCAGGTCCAGGACAAACTGGTACCATACACATCGATGTACCGGCTATGCGTTATATAACAGTCACCAATTTCGGGTCAGGATCTGCCACCCGAACATACACACAAGAGCACTCTGGCTCCGACATCACTGACACCATAGTTGTCGAAATTCCTTGGGTCACGTCCTGGACGACTGTTGTCAGTACGGGGACAGACTCAACGACTCGGACGTCTACGCAAATGCCATCTGGCTCGGGTAGAGTTGGTACGGTGTTAATTGATCTACCACCTACTGTCATTGCTTGGACCACAACAACAGTAATAGGAAGTGACAGCATCACTAAGACTGTATCTCAAACGCCTTCTGGCCCGGGGCAGACTGGCTTAGTGATCATACAAGTACCGCCTGTGATCGATCATTATATCACCACAACGATCACTGGTACTGGTAGTCTAACCAGGACTATCACCCAGACCCCAACACAGGCCGGCCAGACCTGGACTGTCATCATTGAGAGACCAGCTGCTCCTGCTAAATATATCACTTTGACAAGCACTTGGACTGGTGGTACCATCACGACCACTACCAGGCAACCAGATTCGCCTGAGCAGACCAGAACGGTAGTTGTTTTCGTGCCCTCAAGCATCACACCATACGTTACCACCACGATCACTGGCACGGGGACAGGAACCACAATTAGAACTACCACTCAGACTCCAACTGAGCCTGGCGCTACAGGAACTGTGATCGTTGAGCTGCCTCCTGAGATAATTCCATATATTACGACAACTTCTTTCGACAGCACAGTCTCTGCACAATATACTACTACGGTGTCTCCGACTCGTGCGGGCCAAACAGGTTCAGTGATCATCATCAAACCTCAGCTGTATGCAACTACAACTCGTTACGGAAGCGTATCAGTTTCTTCCACGACTACTCAGAGTCCCGAGTTCCCTTGGGGAACTTGGACTGTGGTAATTGATAGGCCGCAGCCATTCACGACGTTGACTCGTTACGGTAGTGTTTCGGCCTCTTCCATCACAACACAAAGCCCTCGTATCCCTGGTGATCCCGCAACGGTCCTCATAGATTTACCACAACCCTTCACAACAGTAACTCGCTGGGCAACTATCACGGCTGCCTCAACAACAACGCAGACCCCCCAAACTGCTGGGGATCCAATCAGCGTAATCGTGTTCTTGCCGCAGCCTTATACAACAATAACCCGCTGGACAACAGTCTCAGCTCCCTCGACGACGACCCAAACCCCCCAGATCCCTGGACATCCAGTCAGTGTGATCATAGAGCTGCCGCAGCCTTACATCACAACAACCCGTTGGGGAAGTGTCTCAATCTCATCAAAAACTACACAAGGTCCCCAGAGTCCGGGAGAAACTGGCACTATCTTAATCGATTTACCTCAGCCTTGGACTACAATGGTTCGCTACGGCAGTGTCACGGCTTCTTCAATGACTACTCAGAGCCCCAAAGTTCCAGGAGAAACAGGGACCGTCTTGATTGATCTTCCACAGCCCTACCTCACTTCGACTCAGTACGGTAGCGTCACAGCAGCTGTGACGAGAACACTCACAGTAGCGGTACCAGGGCAAACAGGTACCATTCTTATTGATCTTCCCGAACCCTACACAACTATTATTCGATATGGAAGTGTCTCAGTCTCTACTGTAACCACACAAACTCCGCAGAGCCCCGGCCAGACAGGGACCGTCCTGATTGACCTTCCACAGCCTTACTTAACATCTACCCAATACGGCAGCGTAACAGCACCTACAACCAGGATACTGGGGCCTTCCATACCGGGGCAGACCGGCACCATTCTGATTGATCTTCCGCAACCGTATACAACTATAACCCGCTACGGAGGTGTTTCAGTCTCTAGTATGACTACGCAGAGTGCACAGAGTCCGGGTCAGACGTGGACCGTCCTGATTGATCTTCCGCAGCCTTACACGACCTCAACGCAATACGGTAGTGTCAATATAGCCACGACTAGAACACTTACAGTGGCAACACCTGGTCAAATCGGTACTATTGTAGTCGATCTGCCTCAACCTTACACAACCTCCACCCGATTTGGTAGCGTGACTGTCGCCACTACCAGAACATTGACGCTAGCTAGCCCAGGATCAACGGCCACTATTTTAGTTGACCTTCCTCAGCCCTACACTACTACAACTCGTTACGGAAGCGTTTCGGTTAGCAGTATCACTACACAGACACCAAGTGTGCCCGGCCAGACAGGAACAATCATCATCAACTTGCCACAACCTTACAAAACCATAACGAGGTATGGGAGCGCTAC